TTTTGCTTATTTGAAAATTCAGTTGAATGGTAGCATTGACAATATTTTGCAGGTGAAATGTATGTTTAATACCAAGTTTCATGCTCTTAGCTGCTCAAAATTGTATATTTTGAGCTAAAAAACGCATTTTTGAACATTAAGTTATATGGCAGCCACATCCAAAAACTCACCGATTTTGAACATTTTCTACGTCAAAGCTCAACATGTGAAATGTGCGCACTGTACCAAGTTTTATGCTTTTAACTACTCAACTAGCCGAGTTCTGGACGTAAACCCTGTTTTTGAACCAACAGTTGTTTGGAAGATATACGTTATTGTTGTCCGATTTCAATGAATTTCGCTGTCAATATTTCAGCTTAGATGTGTATTCAAAATACAAAATTTCATAATCTTTACTTAAAATTTAACGAAATTATGACGAAAAAGCTCTTCAATTCAAAAAATAATTTGACAGTTTTGCTCATCTCGATATCCTGCTTATATTGGCACAGATTTTAACTACATATTCAGCGGTTAAACGGCATACATTTTATATACGAGTATATGTACATACATATGTATGTTCAATACATATAAAGGCTGTTAGCATGTATCGGCTCCACGGATATCGTTGATCTTTAATCACATCGGTTGAGCGCAATGAAATCGTTGAAATCGTACGAGGTTTGTAAATACATATATACATACATGTATGTAGATATGTAAATATTTTTTCCTGTTAAATACTTATTCATTTCAATATTATATCTGTATATAGGCTTTAGTTGTGAATGTTACATAAGAACAGTATTTGTATGTATGTATGAATGTATGTGTGTATGTATAATAGGTATGATTTGCAGCCCCATGAAAGCGTTACGTTGTCTTCTTGAAGTCTGACTATTTTTAAAATAATCAAAAACAAAAAATCGAACCACAAAGATCAGCAACTGAAGAATTGCAGTAAAAATAACAGTCTAACAGACGTTCTAAGTAAGTACGCACAGTGGGAAGCACATATTTACATATATATGTATGTATCTATGCATTTTACGTATATACATACGTACATATATACATACACATGTATGTTCTTCCAGATGTTCCAACTGACATTCCAATTCAAGTGTCTTAAGCACTTAAAGATCTCAATAAATAAATTTAACTGTACTCCCATATACTCGTACATACTCGTATTTATATGTGAAAACAAATGTCTAACCTCAAAAACTACTTGGTATGTGCGTGAATATCCAAGAGCACCTCAAAAGCATTTCTTTTATCGACATTTAAAAATAGCGAAAACACTTCGGAAGCCAAAATGATCCCCCCGTTATCAGTTATTGTTGTTGTTGTAACCATAAAAAATATTCCCCAAAGTACCTTCTTGGGAATGTTGCGGGTACTATTGGATTTTAGTCGCCTCTTACGACAGGCATGCCTTACCGCGGGTAAATTCTTGAACCCCTAACCCGCAGGGGAAGTTACAAGTAGGTTTTGGCAGATGCCTTGAAGGAGATGAACAAAGAACTCAAGTTGGGTTATGGAGGACATCGAAGGAGTACTCTCGGAACAGGAAAAAGGAAGTCCATAGCAGTCACATTAAAGGAAGTGAAATACTTTTGCATCATAAGGACGCTGACAGGCTCTGCGGACGGCCGAAAGTTGTGTAAAATGCACAACGCAAAATTTACCAAGTTTCTACTAGCGAAAAATATGTCACAGACTCCAGCCCGCTAGTAGAGTTGTTAAGGCAACCAGTTAAACTTAACCTCCCAAATCCTACGTAACACTCATGTGTAGGAGCCAAGGAGATAATGGTCTGGTGACCACTGAAAACTGAGTGAATACTGAGATCCCAGGTTTATCGAAGAAAAAGTTCTCCACGTTTGGAATGTAAGTGTGTTCTCCTCAATCTCCGAAAAGGGCGCAGTTTGCGCCAATTATCGTGGGATAAAAATAAAAGACTGCCTCTGCGCCGTTTTGGCTGAATTTGGTATACCCGAAAATCTTATACGGCTGTGTAAACTGACGCTGAGTACCACCAAAGGCTCTGTCAGAATCGGTGGGAATCCCTCGGAGTCGTTCGCTACGAACGAGTTTTAAATTGTTGGTATACGTCAACGATATTTTCATTAAGGCTCTCAACTAAGGCACCGACTGTATAAGGAGTAGCGTGTAATTGGTTTGGTAGCGCACCAGGATGAGACGAAATATCTGTTTTCATCAAACAAATAGTCACCCCCTTTGGCATCTTGGCCCTCGCATCTCTTTTGTCAGTAATAATTTTGAAATCGTAAATAATTTCGTCTATAATGGAAATGGAACCAACATCAACACAAACAGCTACATACATACATACATATGTCAGCCCCGAGACCCAACATAGATTTGCTCTTGGCAATAGCGGTTATTTTGGTCTGAGTAGGCAATTGAAAAAAGTCCTCTCTCACTCTCACATTTTTCATTTGCTGCCTCTTCCTCTTACTGGTGGGGTGGCCTGGGCGATGACAACATCTGATGGGACGGCATTACAAGCTTTTATGGTCTTTTGCTAATTGATGGCGATTAGCGAGAAAACAGAGAAAGCGAAAAATCTCTACTTAACTGGAAAGATCGCATGGAGAAGGACCTGACTTCACCCAATATCTTCAATTGTCACTGAACGGCTAAAAGGAGTAGCGATTGGCGCGTTATTTCCAATTCGGCTCTAAACACACAAGTGCTGTCTACGCCAAAGAAGAAGAAGAATTCTTGCCCAGAGCCACTGTACAAGAGCAAAGACAAGACGTCCATTCTGTGGTTTCAGTTAAGTTTGCAGGCTGAGTTGATCGCGAGTTCTGTAAGAGATTACTTTATATGGCTCTGAAGTAGGCTGTCTTTTAAAGGCTGCAATCTTATTAATAACTCGAAGTAAGTAGCTGCACGGACATGGCAAAGACAAAAACGAAGAGATGACTCAGAAAGTGTAGTGACGTTCTGAGTGGATGGAGGACCTCATGTTCAAGGGGAACCAAGGAGAAACAAGAGATCACGAGTAAGCCAACGAAAGCAAACACGTTCATAATTATTTACTGTTCTGATTTACTTTCATGTCAGACAGGCAGTCAGTCAGCCAGTCACACACACACATACACATACATATGTATGTATAATCGTATATATGTTGGTACTCATACATGTTTCAGTTTTCCTACTCATGCGCTCTTCACTTTGGCTTTGTGCAAAAAAACATTTTCTTTTTTCTTAAAAATTTTTCTTTTGCTTCTTTTTTCGCTCAAAATCATTTTCTGCGTAAACGAATGAAGCTACAGATATTACACTTTATAAACGCACATCAGTGCATATGTATGTATGTATGAAGAATGTAAATAACACGCACATACAATATATACACCCATATGCACATACATACATATGTATGTACATGTGTTGCGAATAAAAATCATATTACTCATTTTCAGCCGCCAAAAATTTTATTCGCTTCGGTTTAACTGCCATACCGTCCAGTACGAGTATATAAATATGCCGATATGTATGTATGTACAATATGTATGTATGTATGGATGTATTTAATTACAAATACAGGCACCTGGCATGCTTATAGGCATACATATTTACACACTGTAGATGCACGATTACTAAATTCCTTTTTTTTAGGTTAGGTTATGCTGTCTGGCTGCTATGCCTTATATAGACTTGTTAGTCCTTTGCAATACCGAAGAGGGTTAAATTTATATGAGTGGTTAGCATTGCGTACCAGCATTTGGAAGGCCAGAGTTCGAATTCTTGTTTGACCTACACAAAAAATTATATAAAATTAATTTTACTAATTTCGTTCTGCCCTCGAGAGGAGATGTCAAACTCTCCGGGTGTGTTTCTGACTTGAAATAAAATCTCCACATAGGAATCTATCGGCCGTTCGGGGGCGGCTTAGGGGAAAATGTTGGTCCCTTAATTTATTGATAAATCATCAAGACGCGCAGTAAAAATTTGTTGGAGGAGCTGGGCTAAAAATCGCTTCATCTTAGTAGCGCCAATCAAATGTATATACATAAAGTAATCGTCGCTTAAGTCGTCTACCTACAGCGAAGCTCCTGGGCGCCTAAGACGACTTCTGGTTAGAGTTGGATGGTAACAGAAGAGGCATTTCAGCGTCGCACTCACGATTGCCTTCCGAACCTGCCTGCATGTGGCACAAACTGCTACTAACGCTCATTCTGCTCTCGTGTGATGCCAGTATGTTGTGACCTGTCCTAAGGTCTTGTAGGCCATTCAAGACCGCGTTGGCAAACATGATCTTGCCGGTCTTGCATGCCGTTGCTTAGAGTCTTTAGCGCTGTATTTCCTGTACTATACCCAGATGGATGGATGGCACTTTGACACTTCATCTACTAGTTCGTTCCCAATAATTCCTTATATCCCACTACGCACTAGATATGCAGTTGATCCCTGCGGCCACTTTTTCCACTGCCTCCGTGCTATTAAGGACAATTTCTGACGTAAAATGATGTGAGATTATTGCCTTAAGACCCGTCTTGCTGTCGACTTATGTATATTTATGTTGCGTGCTCCTGCGTCGTCAACCCCCATTTAATGTAACTTTAAATCTTCTTTCTTTCTTCTCTATCGGAGCATGTGCTCAATCGCTCATCGAGCTATGCCCAAATTCCGAAATCTCTCATGCGGTCCAACTGCATTTTTTCACACTGTAAAGTCGATTGGTGATAAGCTGAGAGATCTTCCGAGTACAACTGTTGAATTAGATCTTAGCACTCTCATTATGCAGTGTCCATAGAGCTGCAAGGGTTTCCTACAGCAGCACGTGAAATAATATAGGCTTGAGTACCGCCGTATAACACCAATGCCTGAGGCGATAAGCTGAGGCGGAGTCAAGAAAAACTTGTGGTCTTTTGTAATGTCTTTACCATATTTATAGAGCACTTCGTTTTGCCGCCAATATTTGTGTTCTTTTCCTTTCTCCAACTTCAATTAATATTTTACCTCATTCATTGTTCCAGGACATTAAAACGCCCACGACGCCCGTCAGCAACGGCAGCGCCAATACCAATGGTAACAGCACACACAGCAGTGGTCACCACAACAGTAGTAACAGCACCGGCAGCACCTACCATCATCATCGCGCTCCGCGCACGCCCGAAAGCTACTTCAACGTGCCCGAATCGATTGCGCTGCTGAATATCGTCAAATCCGAGCGCATACAAAGTGCCTTTCAGTCGAACCGCAAGAACCATGCCAGCGTTTGGGAGATGGTCGCCGAAGTGTTGAATCGGTTTAGTGCGCGCAAACGCTCCGCCAAACAGTGCTGTAATCGATATGAGAATTTGAAAAAGATCTACACACAACTAAAAAAGAATCCCGAACGACATGTACGCCGCAACTGGCCGTATATGTTTCTGTTCAAAGAGATCGAGGAGCAACGCGGCGAGTGTTGGGGTTCAGCGAATGGCAAACGTTTGGCTTTGATTGCGAAGAGCCACAAAGAGCTATCCTACTATCAGCGTCGACGACAGGCCGCTGAGCTGGGCGTCGCATATTTGGGCAAAGAAGCGGCCGCCGTTATGCAACACAGTCTGCTGCAGAGTCTCTCCACCGACTCGAGCAGCAATAACAGCAAAATGGAACGTTTCCTGCCCAATCATTTCGTGGAAGCGCAGTTGGGCGATGGACTGGGTAACGGCATGAGCATGTACGATGATGGACCTCCTCTGCATCTACCACCTGGGGCCAGCGCAGCAGCTGCGGCGGCGGCTGCGGCAATGAGTGTGGCCATACAAAAGGAGCAGGAAATGCGTGAAAATCACGAGAACAGCGGACTGGGTAGGTTGGAAAACGAGAATGCCGTTGCGGTGCCGCATGCGAGTGATCTAAGTGGGGCGTTGCCATTGAATGGCAGCCCGAATATGCCTAACGGAGTTGGTGGTGTGCCGAATGGTGGGGGTGTGGCCAGTTTGCTGCCACCACATACCGTTAATGGCATTAAAGATGTCCTGCGACCACCGTTCGAAAAGGAAAGTAATAGTGGTGGGCCGTTGGGCTTGCCGAACGGCGAAAATAATGTTTCTATGAAGTGAGTAAGCAGTTTTGCTAACAAAAAAATGTTGGAGAATTCATGAAATTGTGTTTTTTGAATTACAGATCCGAGCCAATGTCCGAAGGAGAATTCAATCCAGACGATATACAGTTAATGCAAACGAATTATAATGGGTTAGTACATTAAATATATGATAATTTACAAAAGCCAATGACTATGAATAATTTTTTTTTTAATTTTGATCATTGAAATTTGTTCGACTGCATGGCGCGAAATCGATGGTTACGATAAAAATTCGATTGTAGAAATCGATATTATTACAAATTGAGTTGTTTTCCTAACATCGAGTATAATAATCGATAACATTAAAAAATATTGAAAATGCAAATCGATTATTGACATCGGGTATAATAATCGAACATTAAAATAAATGGAGTATAATGGCCGATTATATTCAAAGTGGAAAACGGTTATATAATAATCGATAATATAGGAAATTTGGATCGGTTCTTAAAATTTGAGGGTAATTAAATATTGTTGCGAAAATGCGAGGCGAATGTCAGATGAAAGAGAGAAGCCGATAACACAAGAACCTTCCATAGCGAACAATTCGATGCTTCTACGCTTTCGTCTGCGAGCAGCCGACTGCTATATAAAGGCGACACTCAGCTGCAAGTCAAGCAGTGACAAAGCAAATTGGTTGGCGTTAACATCAGTGAAGACGTAAAGTGAACGCGTTGGGAATTACATTTAAGTAGAGGAAATTGTGAAAGTTGATGTTAGTGATTATAAATAGTAAAGTGCAGTATAATTGAATTGTGAATTACTGAGAAAATAAAGGACATTAGATAGAATCTTTATAACGAAAGAAACTGCAAATTAAGTTGGCGAGTTTTTATTTAACAATCCAGAGATCGTACCCGAAGGATCTAGAAAATAATCGAGGTTGATTCAGTAAAATCGTAACAATATTAAGACAGTTCCAGTTATCGCAATAGTATATCGATTTTCAGCTTCATTGAAATTATACTTTCTGATTATTTTTAGACAGAAAACATCGAAAAATGTTAAAAGTAATCATTATTGATATCGATTTTTAGTTAAACTTTATTCTCGTTCAATACATATATTTTCCAATTATTGTCTTTCTAGCTCCCAAAACTACTACACACATAATATCGAACACAACATCCTCCACCCGGACGTCATCGTGGATACTGATAACATATCCGATTGCAGCAGCGTCATTGGTGGCGGTGATGACATTGGTGGCTCGGCAAAAAGTAAACGCAAGCTTTCCACATCCACCGATGGCGGTGACAGTACAAACTATGAACTGATCGAGTACTTAAAACGTCGCGAAAAGCGTGATGAGGAATTACTGAGGCGCATGGATGCGCGCGAGGAGCGGCTCTTAGCACTGCTGGAGCGCACAGTGGTGGCTATAGAAACTTTGGCGGGCAAGAAGCCCACGCAGATTAAGCAATAAAATCAATATGATTTCAATTGAAGCAAAAAGTGTGCCTTTGGAGCAGTAAGAAATCCAGTCATTTAGTGAGATAAGCCATATTAGTCGTAAGCTAGTTACGTAAGTCCTTACAATGCGCTAACAACGGTGCCAAAGAACAATTTTGATGAGATTTTTTTTACATATTACTTTAAGCCATACTTAATACTCAGTAATCTTTGACGGTTTTTACAAACTTATTTATATTTACACTTAACAATTATATATTTTTAGAATTTTGTGCTTAATTATTTTTCAAGTGCAACGTTAAGGTTATGGATGCTATTTCAAATAACTAAAAATCTTACCAAAAATTTACTTAATTTTATTTAATTTCTTTTTCTCCTCTTCTTCCCTTCTAGGGGAAAGTGAAAAAAGAAATTACTATTAAATAATAATATAAAATAATAAATTATAATATTTGTAATTTTGTTTAACTTTTGTGCCATTTTAATTTCGTTGAATATGATAAGTGATTCTAAGTACAATAATAAGTCGTGTAAGGTGGATTTGCCTTTTTTTTGTTTTGAAAAATAAGTAAATTTTTCCGAAAATTATAAAAAAAGTAGTAGAATTTTTGGCTAATAATACAAAAAAAATAGGAATATGACAATAACTTTGGATTTTTTTAAATCGAATTAATTTGTTCAATCAAAAATACTCTGATAATGTCATCTAAAATTATACTCATTGTAAGTTTTTTCACTTCAAATATAAAGCAACATTCTTTGCAAAAATCATTTTAATTTGCTGCAAAAAAAATAATTAAAAAAAAACTCAGTATAAATGTTTAACTGCATAAAAAAAAGAACCTACTTTTTTGATTGAAAGTTTTTTATGGACAATACTAAACCATACTCGGGCAGGATTTGCGAAAATAAATACTCTTTCTACCATGGAAATGAGAAAAGACAAAAAAGTAGATCTAAAATCTTAATTCATAGAAATTAAAAACAAACACAAATCTTCATTTTGCCACTAATTCAATGGCGCCCTTTTATTCTCCGCTTATGACCCACCCCGCCACCGCTACTGGCTACCAAATTCTTTTTTGTCTTATTAATTTTACTTCTAATTAACAATTTCAAACGATTGCGCACCGCCTCGTAATCTTCTTCGGGTATATCCTTCTTTTCGAATCGGAAGAATTTGGCGCCCTCTGCAATAAGAATGTAGTATGTTTATCTAAATTCAGAAGCTAAAACATTACACCAACTCACCCTTCAAGCGCGCATCGTTGCGTGGTATAAAAAAACTTTCCATTAAAATTTTATTTTGTTGTTGTTTAGATTTCTTTTGTTTAGCATTACCCATAGCAAGTTGTTTTGACTCACTTTCGCCCTCTTCGTCCGAAGACGAGTCATATTTGAAGGGGTTCATTGTGTTTCTATCTAGTTTATTTACAAGTATCTTTGCATCGGAAACTTTTTTCAACTCGTCTGCGCGTTTATCTTGCGTCTGCGCATTACCAAACATATTTAGTAAACTGAAGCCATCGCCACGCGTTTTAAGCGATTCGGTTAATGTATCGGTGACGACATAGAAAACTTCCTTGGACACTTCTGGTCCGGCATCTACTGAGGGAGGTTCTTCTTGTTCTATTTTCTGTTTGTTTTTCTTCTTTTTGTCTACTTTGGCACCCGTGGCGTTGTTTTCATCTACTGGCGCTTCTTTGGCTGTGCGTAGTAACTTTTGGTGTTCTTCATTTGCAGGATCATAGCGCAACATACGTTTCTTTCTCGCGGCCTTTTGCGTATTATCGGAGGTGTCGAATTTAGTGCCCACCACCTGTTCCAGTATGCCCATTTGCCAGCTGCGTTCGTTTATTTCTTCAGTGGGTTTGTCAGCCTTCGACGCTGTTTCTTCCATCGCTTCGTGTTCATCTTCATCGTCCTCGACGAATTTGGCATCAATACGGAAACGCGGATCCAAACTCTGTTTACTTTGCAATTGCACCAGTTTTTCACCTTTCTTGCCAAACAATTCCGGCTTCAGCTGCAAATTTACACCTGTCTCTTCATCATCTTCTGCATCAGAGCCAAAAATGTTTGTTTTAGATTTTAGTATTGAATCGCTTGCTGGCTCTTCGTCGTCCTCTGCGTCGCTAAACTTGATTTTATTAGATTTTGGCGCTTCCTTTAAAAATATAATTCATGAAATATTTTATTAACGCGGAAAATAACACGTTCATTACTCACCTTGCCAGATAACGCCTGCTGTATCATCGATTTCTTTTCCTTATATTGCTTTGTCATCTTATTTTGTGATTCCTTACGCTTTTGCTCTGCCACAGTTTCCGTGCCATCCGGCTTCCGCTTTTTCTTTTTCGTACCCTCGATGACATGCAACGGAGTAGTGTCGTAGCTTTGTATGACAATCTACGAATATTTTATATTAATAATAAATAAATAAATAATCAATTTGTTAGCCGCATACCTTTCCATTGTGCAATGAGCTAGCTGCACGCTTTTTGCTGATCAGTAAGTCTGCAGAAATTTCATCGTCATTTTCTAACGCTGTCAAGTCTTCTTCCGTAAACTTTTTACGCGTATTCTCAGCACTACGCGGCAACGCTCCCTCTGCTTGCTGCTCAGTCCATACAATATTATTATCCGCGGACTTTCCTTTCTCTGCTTCCTCACGCTCTCGTTTTAAACGCTCCAAAAAGGATTCCTTCGCTACAGAGACCTTAAGTTTTGATCCTTGTATTTTTACCCAATTGAGCGCTTCAACGCCTATAATAAAACTTATTATGTTAATAATAAAAGCTACAAATCTACACTTTTCTTGTGTTTCTTACATCGATCCACGTCTTTTGGATGTATTTGGAGTGTTACAAAAGCCAACACTTTGACATTCTCTGGCTCAAAGGGATTCTCTTTGGTCTTTAGCTCGACACGATCGACGATGCCATAATCTTCAAAAACTTCTGCCAGTTGTTGTTCTGAGACATTGGTTGGCAAATTAGCTACAAAGAAACGTGAAGAATCCATGAAAATATTAAGATTTCCAATGTTTTTCCTAATATTGCATTTAAAACAAAAATTCGCAGCACACGTGCGACACTAATATCCCACAAAAGCACTAGTAAATAAACAATTGTCAGTTAGGTGGTATGTTCAATGAGAAACGAAACAGCTGATTTCTAATAAATTGTATTATGTGTTCGTTATGGCCCCGTTCTGCAGACATAGAAAGCTTACACTTAAATTTAGTAAAGTCACACTTAACTTGTCTGTTAAACGAGCTTTGGTATACTGTTACGATTTTACTAAATCAACCTCGATGATTTTCTGAATTCTTCGGGTACGATCTCTGGATTGTTAAATAAAAACTCGCCAACTTAATTTGCAGTTTCTTTCGTTATAAAGATTTTATCTAATGTCCTTTATTTACTCCGTAACTCACAATTCAATTACAATACACTTTACTATTTATAATCACTATCACCAACTTTCACAATTTACTCTACCTAAATGTAATCTTCTATGTGTTTACTTTACGACGTTTTGATGTTAACGCCAACGAGTTCACTTTATAACTAACTTGACTTGGCAGCTGAGTGTCCCCTTATATAGCAGTCGGCTGCTCGCAGACGAAAGCGTAGAAGCATCGAGTTGTATGCTATCGAAGGTTCTTGTTTTATCGTTTCTAGAATGTACTAGTTATCGGCTTCTCTCTTTCATCTGACATTCGCCTCGCATTTTCGCAACAATACGTTATTTTCAAAGCTTCATTTGGAAATATGATGGTTTTTGACATTTCCTTTTTTGACTTGTTTTTGACAATTCTTTTCTTATTAAATCGGCATGGACGCTTTGAAGTTAAATTCAATAACGGTGACACATTATTTCGTCCTTGGATGCGTCGACAAAACTTTTTGTGCTTTTTGCTTACATTTGGAATGTAACTGTTTCTATGCAATATGCGGAGTAACAATCATCGTTCATAATAATGTAATATTTATAAGACTGCAAATTGGCTGTTTAAAAAATTTCAAAAGGTGTTTAGTGATTGGGCGTTTATGTATAAAAGACAGAATCACCAGAAAACTTTTATGAAACAAAATTTATGTTAGAAAACAATTTTTTTAATTATTTTACCAAAAATTAACAGACTTAACAGGACACTTTATTCGATAAAAACTGCTTGGCAATTTACAGCACTTGAAATTTTAAAAGCAACCCTACGTTTTTGTCTATTCGCATTACCATCGTTCAACGAAATGCGACACTGTTTCGTCAACTTTTTTTCTCGCCGTGTGTGTGTTGTACTCGAAGTGACGAATTAGTTTTTAATTGACAAAATTTTTCAATCTTTGAAAATTCCCGCAGCAATTTTGCCAAATAAAAAACAACAAATTTGTGGAAATTCATATTAAAGTCTAGCGAGAAAAAAATTTCAAAATAAAACTTTTTTAAAACTACAAAAATGGCAGAAGGAGGCAATAGCAAGCGCATCGTTGTGAACGTAAAAACGCCGAAGGAGAAGAAAACAATTGAAGTAGATGAAGATTCTGGAATTAAGGAAGTGAGTGTACTTTGAGATTAATTTAAAGCTAAACATATTTTGGTTGAATTATTGCACTTACTGCTGCACCGCCGCATAAACCTCTCATGTGACCACACGCGTTAGAGATTTTACTGCAAAGCATAAATATGTCTTCTCGCTACTATCGCTTGCGTGTTGGCAGGTGATTGGCGTTATAGCATGGGCTGTTAATGTAAGAATGCATACAATTTACGAAATAGACGAATGTACAAAGCACATTGAAACTGCAGACGCGGTGGCTCGACCACATTTTATTGTGTTTTGCTTTTAATAATATATGTATCTCTTTTATTTTGCTTTTCGTTTATTGCATTGTTAACAGCGGCGTTTATGAGGTAGTCGGCGGCAGCAGTGGTGGTTGCATAGTCCTCCTCTTTGTATCACGTCTACAACATTGCGGCAATGAATAAGCAATGTTTTTACTTATGACGTGTACAATCAATATCAACGTTTATTTCCAACGCTCTATTAACGATTACACATTTTTTCTCAGTTCAAGGCACTTGTTGCGAAAAAGTTCGACTCTGAACCCGAACAGCTGGTACTAATTTTTGCTGGCAAAATTATGAAGGATAGCGACACACTGAAAACGCACAACATCAAGGATGGACTAACAGTACATTTGGTTATTAAAGCACCTACACGAGCCGCAGAGCCAGCTGCTCGTCCAGCAGCAGATGTACGTCAAACACCATTTGGCTTAAATCAGTTGGGCGGTTTGGCCGGTATGGAAGCATTGGGTGCTGGCACCGGTTCTTTTATGGACTTGCAGGCGCGAATGCAGAGTGAATTGTTAAATAACGGCGATATGTTGCGCTCGGTATTGGATAATCCGCTTGTACAGCAAATGATGAATAATCCAGATATTATGCGTTCACTCTTTACGTCTAATCCTCAAATGCAAGATTTAATGCAGCGAAATCCGGAAATTTCTCATATGCTTAACAATCCTGAATTGCTACGACAAACCATGGAGCTAGCACGTAATCCCTCTATGTTGCAGGAGCTGATGCGCTCGCATGATCGCGCTATGTCCAATTTAGAATCGGTGCCTGGCGGTTACAATGCTTTGCAACGAATCTATCGTGACATACAGGAGCCAATGTTGAACGCAGCAAGTGATTCATTTTCACGCAATTCTTTCTCTGGCTTGATGGACAGTTCGGGTGGTATGTATAAATAGAGCCTTAAAGAAAACGCTGTGCATTTACATACCATAATTCACACGCCTTCTTAACCCACAGGGGGTAATAACCCGCAGCAAGGCACGGAGAATCGACAACCATTGCCCAATCCCTGGGGCGGCAGAGGAAACGCTAGTGGCACCGGCAGCGGCAGCGGCAGTAACACTTCCGGTGATAATCCCGATTTGCCTCCACGCGGTATGCTCAATACGCCCGCCATGCAGAGTCTTATGCAACAAATGTCTGAAAATCCATCACTCATGCAAAATCTTCTAAATGCGCCCTACACGCGCTCCATGATGGACGCCATGGCACAGGATCCTGATATGGCTTCACGTCTGTTAAGCACCAGTCCAATGCTGGCTAACAATCCTCAATTGCAAGATCAGGTGCGTCAAATGATGCCACAGTTCCTTAATCAAATGCAAAATCCCGAGGTGCAGAATATGTTGACAAATCCCGAGGCATTAAATGCCATTATGCAAATACAACAAGGTATGGAACAATTGCGGTCAGCTGCACCAGGTCTAGTCGGGTCGCTAGGCATTCCACCGCCACCACCGGGCAACACAGAGAGTACCACCGCTACGACCAACTCAACCACCAACACCACGAGCGGTGGCGGTGATACCACCCGCCCGGCGACAGCACCCGGTGGCGGTCCAAATGCTCAACTATTCAATGACTTTGTATCGCGCATGTTGAACGGCATGGGTATGCAGGCAGACAACACACAACCGCCAGAGGTGCGCTATCAATCACAGTTGGAGCAATTGGCGGCGATGGGTTTCGCCAACAGGGAGGCCAACTTACAAGGTGAGTGTGACGGAAAGAGTTGAAAATTAAAAATTCTAAATCTAAATATTGTATTTTGTTTATTTGCAGCGCTAATAGCCACTTTCGGAGATATCAACGCAGCTGTTGAACGATTATTGGCATTAAATCAATTATCTTTAAGTTAACGTCCTTAATTGAAATTGTTTATTTAATAAAAACAAATAACACGAAATTAATGAAACAAAAAAATTTAATTGCTGTTGCTGCTAACCAACCTTTCGGCCTAGTGGCAAACCCTTTCGCTTCTCCTTCAAAATAGTATATAAAACTAACTGTCTCAGCAAATTAAACAAACGGAAGAAGGCGAATTATACAAAAATGAATAGATGTATCCGCTGTTGTCTGGGACCGCAGCAATATTTCGTAAAATTATACCCTATAATGTATACCAAAAGTAAAATGAAAACTCAAAAGGAACCGATGGACAAATGTAATGGAAAGGTGATGTGGAGAAACATAAATATAATATAAAATGAATAAATAAAATAAAGTCATTTAAATATATTTTACTAATATTTGGTATTTTAGGCACACAAAACTTTTATTTAATAGTCAAGTCCATGAAATTGTGCGATTAAGTGCGCAAAGTATTCCCTTTTTTTATCATTATAAAGTATAAAAATTTGATCGAAGTTCTAATGATATACAAAACTAATTTTCATTCAATTATTTCTTAAAATAATAGTCTTTTAAAATAAAATTCGGAACAAAGTTTCACGAATTTGACTATTAAATAGAAAGCTTTGTTATATGAAAGTAAAAGAAAAAATATTTGTAAAAAGGCATTAAATTATTTTTTCAATTAATATTCCAATTGATACTTCAATTATTCCAATATTTTGTTATTACCAATAATTATTAGTCATACAAATAAGTAGTTGAACAAATTTTGGGTCAGCGTTAATTTTTCCTTAGTTCGGTGGTACTCAAAGAATGAAGAAGCAGGTTTAACATACAAGAAAGAAGCGAACTAATTTACGCAAAATCCTATCGAATTAAAAAAAAAATTTATAAAAGATCATGTTTAATTGCTTAGTTCTTGTAAACTTTAGGCATGTGTTATGTGTATCTTATTATTCCTTCATTATTATTAACTAACTACATATACTACTATATGTATACATAAAAACCAACGTATGTATATCAATATCTAAACTTATTAGCTTACAAAATAATATCTATAAAGCTATTAGTATACAAGTATATATACACATAGTACATAAATACATACTTAAAACAACAAACATATTTACATGCGAGTTTATAGAACAAAAACATTATACATATGCAGTGGAGGAGAGAATTTTCACGATATATACAGAAACAAAAACAAAAACAAAAAACAACTAAAGAATGGGAGGGTTCCGTATAAAATAGAAATGTCTTAAATTACATAAAAGTAACAAAACATATGTATAAAACCACTAAAATAATATTAGAAATGAAACAAAAACATATAATAAACGGTGTCACATTGTATTGAAGAAATTAAATAAAGTTTACTTCTATTTTAAAGGTAAAGAAAATAATTTGCGTTTTCAATTTTTTGAGGTTAGAAATTTTCAATGTGGGCAAAGATCTCGGAAAGGCTCGTGGTGTAATCACAGTACGAATATCGTAAACCTACCGTAAAATTAGGTCCAGTGAAAATTTCGAGAGTGGAAAATATTAGAAGACTAAACTAACCAAATATTTCGCCAACAGCAAGCCAAGAAGATTGGTGAACCTTTAACTGTTGCCCTGAGGATTATGTTTCCCAAAAAGCGATAACCCTTGGCCGAATAAGATCCGGTTGAGCGACTGTCGTGGGAGTAAACCAAAGTTAGAGTGGGTGTGACTTTCCATAGCCTTAACTAACTCCGCTTACGAGCGACAATATTCTCAAGTTGCCGCACTTGGAGGACTGTCATTAATTACTTTGCACCAATATGGGCACTGGAGACGTAGATGAAAAAGTTACAATTTTGTCAAAACACCGCCTAGAGAAACGAGTCAGCTGTACTTGCGGTTAAGGAGTATAAGGTATTGCTGAGGCTCTGCAGAAGCGGTCGCCATATGAAATATTCCAGTGAGAGACGTTATTACAACCACCAATTCGGGGCGAAGACCTCAATCGGGATTAAGCCCTGGATGATTTACCAGCCTAAACTCCTACTAATCCTATGATGCCTAATCTATGACCGATATGCGAGACACTATCCAATTATTAACAGCAGCAAATAAATGAGCAACCAGTTAGATGACCACGATGACATCGACTAGCTTTGTTCGCGCCATAACGGCTTTAAACAAAAACGAATGAAGGCATGCCTATCGTAAGACACGATAGTCGGGTCTTAATAACGGAACGACCCGAAATTTTTTCCGACCAAGGACTGGCACTCCCACAACATTCCCTCACCTAGAGCACCAGCTGCTCTGGAAAAGCCCGAGTAATACTGACACAATTAAGATCTGGATATTGTAACCGTTTTAATTTCTGTCTATACACACCCCGACGCACTCAACGTATATCCCGCATGCAATGAGACCCCGCACGACACTAAACACAAAGAGATGGTTCCTAAAACCAACTCATCCCGTTTCCCGGACATTCCGTTAGAAGGACCGATAATTATGTTTTCATTCCAAATAAAAAAAATGATTTTGAACAGTGTGACCAGTTCTTAAGCGAAGTTTTCGAACCTCTGCAACAACAAAACTATCGAACTATCAAAAGCACTTAGCATTTCCAATGCACAACTAAACTTTTTCTTTGGCTCTAAAAATTTAAATAAGAGAATCTTAAGCGCGCCTTCGTAGCTTACTCAAGAGCTTACACAGGAAGAGGCAGCTTCAATTCGCTCAGATCAAATACAATTCAAGCACCGGCAATACCTGTTTGCCAGATTTACACTCAATGGACCAAAAACATAGAATCGCGCTGAGAGACACAAATATGCTGAATATGATAGCGTGTTAACGAACCGTCATACCGTCATACAATACATACACACATAAAGAGACGGCCTACAGCAATGGAAATTAAAATCACAAAATGAAATGATTGGAAAGATTGTCTCAATATTGTCGGCTTGTCAAAGACACTGAGCCACAAACCAAGCAAGCAATCGAACGATATAGCAAATGAGTCGCAGAAATAACTGCCTGAGCTGTGTACATAACATTGACTAACCGGTCGCGCCAACATTTTGCAAGAATGTTGAGCCAACAACTCCCTTATAAGACAACAAACAGTTTTGAGCTACATGTGGAACGGTAGAACTCAAAGGAAGATCAGTAGAATGCATGACCAGTTGTAGATTCCCTCAAAACATAGTAGTCAAAGAGCGCGAGTATTTTTTAAATTAAATAACCGACAATGTGCCAAACCACTACTATGGCGTATATACGTACGCATACATACATATGTACATATGTACCTAGGTATGTAAGCATATCCTGCATATTAGTCGATCGAGTGTATGATTGCGCTATAGAAGAAAATGCGCTAGCGAGAAGAGCACCGAAGTTGCATGAGCAGCAACACAAAGTTTAAATACGAATGGTGGTGACGGTGGTTGCAACCGTGGCAGCCACGGCATTGGATTGCTTGACACTACTTTGTTGTTGGCTCATAGCTGCTGCCCGCACTAAGCGCACAGCTGTTGGCGAGCGGTGGTGTCGATAAAGGCAAGGGAACGTGCCACAAATAGGCGAGGTGAAAGAGCCTTATACAACATTGACAATAACAGCAGCAACAACAACAGACATAATTGATAGCGGCAACAACAATATCAACCACAAGCCCATACCAAGGAGAGGAATGCGGCCCTGCAACTACTACAATTTCAATACCTTGCTACGTTGCTACGCTTGCTGTTGTTGTCGATTGATCAGGTTCATGTATGGCATATGTATGTATGTATGTATTATATGTATGTATGTATATATGTTGTGGGTATATTTCATTCAATTCCCATTCAACAACAACGCGCAGATACAATTACTAACAATTTTTGTTTTTGCTTTTACTTTTACTTACTTTGTTTTTGTGCTATTGCCTTTGCTTTTGCATATTTCATTTGAATTTTCTTATTTTTTTTCTTTTTATTTCATTTATTTTGCTTTGCTTTGGATTTTACTTGCTTTGTGTGTTGTTTTTGGATTCACTAACTTAGCCGCTCGCCACTGAGACAGTCAGTCAGTTTGAGAACGTCGTCGGGAATTGTCGCGCAACAATACCGTGCACGCTAGCTGTCGATTTCGAAAACAGAAAGGATGGTGTCCAACGAACGATGAGAATATTTCGCGAGTTTAGTGTCTGCTTATATGCACTATGTATAGTTGAAGTTAAATTTTGAAAATTGAAATATCCAACTAATGCAAAAACAGCAAAAACAGCAAAACACAGTTGTTTGTTATTCAAAAATTTACGAAAATATCGAAAAATTCTTTGTGTGCTCATTTCAGCCAAAATTGTATAAATTTATTGGCATGCAGCTGAGGGCGCTTTTTTTTAACAGCGATTTTTTTTATGGTTGCCCAAAAATTATTTCCTTCGGCCAACTGGCAAAACAAAGAAAACAAACACAGTCCAATAAGAGCAATGAAATAAAAAATTGGCCGCATATTTCCGCACGGCTTGGAACACGATACGAGCAATAGCTGATGGACGCGCACAACTTATGCATATACTCGTATGTATGCATGTAGATGTATGTATAAGCAAATGCTTATTGCAATACTTGTGTATGTTTGTACTGCGCATATGTATAAGCACGCGCACGCGATTTAAAATAAATTGTATGTAAATACTCACGAAAAACTTTGCAAATAACGACTTTTGGGCGAAACTAAATTTGTATAAACGGAAGACGGCAATACACCAGTGTGGAATCGAAAAAGTGCAGTGATTGATTGCTATCGATTAGTCGAGAGCTTAATACACCTTAAAGTACGTATATGTGCAGTTTATTTAAATATTTAAAGAGCTGTTAAAAAATTAACAGCAGCCATATGTGTATGTATGTGTGGGCAAAACAATTTAAATAGCCGAATTTGCGCATGTGATAATTAATAGTCGGCAATAGCAACAGTTGAACTGAAACCACTACCCGAGCCATCGGTGCTAACACCTCGTCAGGTAAGACAAGTAAATAACGCGACATTTACTAGACGCCAATTTTAATGAAGCATGAAAAGGATTCACTTTTGTGGCATGCACTTTCGAGAACAAGGAAAAAGCAAGCAAGAAAAGACCAGTGTATTGCGGCACTTGACATGTGCATTCTTGCATTTACCTATTCCAGCCAGCTTAGGTGTTTGAGAAATATGCTATATGAATGTACATACATATTTAAAAAAGGAATTTCAAGACGAAATTGTTATTTAATTTAAGAGTTTTAAGCTTAAAAAAACTATATTTTGTCGTCACCCATTTAGGCAACTAGCAAGAGGCCTTTCTAAACAACATATTTTTTTATTTGGTATTTGTAACCTCTAAACCGACTTTCAACCGAGCTCCTCCTTCAATTTATGGTTTGTCTTCCTAAAAATTTTTCCAACAAATGGAGAGATCTACTGTCTGTGCTAAGCCGCTTCCGAACGGCTGATGGATTTTTATGTGGTGTATTTATTTCATGCCAGAAATACACACGGGGAGCTAGATATGCACTCTGCGGCGTGGCAAACGCAATTAGAAATATTTACTTTTTATAATTTTGAAATTTGGTCGGATCAGTACTTGAACCTTGGCCTTCCGAATGGTAGTACGAGTTGGTATTGTCTCGGCTAATGGCGCCATCAAAAATATTTAGTTGATCATGGTTTGATTTTCTATTTACTTATAAACAATATAAATACAATTGAAAAAATCTCAAAAAGCCAAAAAAGCGCGGCCCACCTGTAAAATCTCAACGTCATTAAAACATGTTTGCTCGTTTATACATTTGTATGTATGTAAGTATGCCTGTAAGTAGTAAAAGCCCGCAAAAGCCACTCGCAAGTGGCTCGACAGTCCACTGAGCGCATGCTCAACATTCCCAGCATCGCAAACAAGTTATTAACCACAATGAAGATCTTCAAAGAATACCCCTGCAACGGCAATGAATAAACGTTGAGCTTAAGCGCGCACACAATGTTGTTGGAAAAAAATCTAAAAACAAATTTAGTTAACTCAAAAGAACAGATAGCACAGCAGCAGCAGAGTAATAGCCAGTAGAACCAGTCATCTTTGGTTTATATTGAAATAAAAACAGGAGTACGTTGCCATTTCGATAATTTGTTTTTCTTGGTTGTTTTTTGTTTGACTAAATCTCGCAGGTTGTGTTGGAATTTTCAAAGTGACCAACGGTCAGTTCTTACTCCGTGTATGCGCTGTTTTTTCTTGAGCGCCATTCACTTCTGTAGCAATTTTTCGACTACACATTTTGTTCACAATGAAATTCTCACCAATTTTTGTACGATTAAAAGGATTGCACGAGTATCTCTATCGATAGTTTGATATGAATATCTTCACCAAACCGAGGTTACTTTAAAAATCAAAGCAAGATCACTGTAAATTTGAAAACAAGTGGATTTAGACCAAATATTTTGAATTAAGTTTTGCGCTTTTAAGATTGCACGACATTTAATCGTTCGCACGTCACCGCCGACGCCACGTAAACACGATAGCACTACAGCACTGAGATGTGACTGGGCCTGCTCTATAAAAGAAATCGAGGCAGAGTGTCTGGCAACTGAGATGTGACGTCGCATGCAGTGCCCAGTTGGCGGGAAAGACTGGGCCTGCTCTATAAAAGAAATCGAGGCAGAGTGTCTGGCAACTGAGATGTGACGTCGCATGCAGTGCCACAGTTGGCGGGAGTGACTGGGTCTGCTCTATAAAAGAAATCGAGGCAGAGTGTCTGGCAACTGAGGTGTGAAGCAGAGTGTCTGGCAACTGAGATGTGACGTCGCCTACTGTGATCTGATGTTGCATTTCATCGCGCTGCTACGAGTTGATGCGGTATTGATCGAAAATAGGAATCTCAAGTTGAATTTTCCTTAGTCTAATAATTTGGTAATCCCCATGCCAGGTTTTCCTGCTTTACATGATTGCATATCCATTGTTCATGCATAGTACATATGTATGTCTATTATTTACTATTTATTTAGACTATTTCCACCGCTTGATTTGTTGTTATCAATTTTGTTCGTGGCAGAAACACCTGTCCATTTTTGTCGCCACCCTCGCGTTACGTGCAGCTAACCGCCCCTAAATGAGTATACGGCAGCAGCAGTTGCTTTTGGTTTCAGTTGTAAATTTGTATGTACATCCGTATGTATGTAGTTAGTTCACCCCAAAGCCGTCTTGGTTGTTTGTGTGCATTCTGCGTCCTGTGGTTTCAAATAATAAGCAATTCGGCTTTGAGTCGTAGGTCTCTACCATCTTCGAGTATACACGTATGTTTGCGCATGTATGTGTGTACATGTATACTCGTATATAAAACATATTTATTATACGCGCGCACTGTGTTGTTGCTGTCTGTCAGATATGTAGTGCCGGCTTGGCTGTCGTCAATGACACGTTTGCATTCATAACGGCCGTTTCTTGTGCATTCATACACATGCATGTGTGTTTGTGTGTGCTCGTATATCAAAAAGCGGCGCGCACGCGCCCAATTCGCCCAAGATGCGGTGTAAATAAAAACATACACACATATCTACTTTAGCACTTTTTTGGAGGTTTCCTTTTTTCTTTTAGTAAATATTTGGCGCGCTTTGTGGAATTATGACTTTCTTTTCGGGAAGTTTCTTATATTTTTCGATTTGCGTTCTGTTTTTTTGATTTTTGTGTTGGCTTTTAATTAGGGATTCATCGATTGAATTTCTAATGCACTTGCTTGTTTGCGCACGCGCTCTTAGTGTTTTCAGAAGATGGACTGGACTGGAGATTCCAATTTCCTTAATTATGTTCATAATCATTTTACGAAGCTTACGTAAATCTGTTCTAATAGGAGATCGTGAGCGCCATCGGTTCTGCTATCTTTCGTTTTATACAATTAATTTTACATATTAATCGCCGATATACTCGTATATCGATTAAATGGTTATCTATGAACAAAAAACACAATTTTCAAACTTCTGTGCTCGTATCGAATTTAACTGATCGGAATCCTTGTTCGAATCCGATAGTTCAGCGTATCAGCGAGCAAAGCTGTCGGGTACAAGTCGAGCAGCAACAGCTGGCCACCGTTGCAAATGGTCAGTCTACATGTTTATAGGCATTTTATCCCCGTGAGATACCTGGCCTTGCTGGGGGTTAATAGACGAATGTGATTTACTTCAGCGCACAATTGTACTGGACTTAATTACCAGTGGCAGACTTTTCATTCATTGAACTTAGTCCTACCGACCTGTAGTAATATCTTTCTCCTAAATACCTCAGTTCGGTAGCCAATTGAAGAGTGCGGTGTTTTTATGAGGAGCTTTTATTTCATGTCAGAAATACACTCGGTGGGGTTGACATTCCCTGCCGAGGGGTGACCGCAATTAGAAAATTTAGCTAATTTTTTATTTATTTTTGTTTCTTATACTTTTTTTGGATTTTAGTGCGACAACAGGATTTGAACCCGAGCCTCCCGAATGGCGTTACATAATGCTAACCACACGATTACCGTAGCCGCCAAACGTCCATAGTATTGCCAGGCACACTATACGACTAAGCTACACTGGTACACTCTTCATTGGGCACGACTAAGCTACACTGGTACACTCTTCATTGTGCCCCTGGTGTGAAGAACGTTGCTTGTTCTGTTTGCGAATTGAAGTAGTCGCGTTGGCCTCTTGCCCATCATCGTTCGATGGTTGTGTAGCCTTGCTGATTGTTGGACATAGATTGGGTGCTCCACTGTCTTAATACATTCCCCTACATTTTCTGCACTTTTTGTCCCAAATTGGATCTATATTAAAGACCTGCGATCCCAAAAAGCAATGTACTGTTAACAGTCATATCAGGTGCCTACAATCCGGGTATTTACCGTTAGTAAAAACTTTATAATTCACCATTCGCCAGCTTCCCGCGTTACAACGCCTGCTGCTAAGAAGCGTTTAGCCTCGCAGCAGTTAGCGATGCCCTGTCTTTAGCTACTAGATTTGCTGCTGGAATACTCAATTCTGTTGGCACCCGCTGCCTTCACATCTAAGATGCTTGAACTTTCACTGTGTAGAAAGAACTTAAAGATAGAGAAATTCAACAAAATCGTAATTACTTATGCGGAGTATTAAAATGCAAATGGAAAACATGAAAAAAGGGAGTAACATAACATTATATTAGCGGAAAAAGTCGTTGGGAAGCGAAGCAACAATGCAATTAAATGCACAAATTGCACATGAAAGAAATTTGCATTATATGATCATTGTATATAAACGAAGAAACAACAACAAAATGAACAACAAAACCAACAACAACTTTAATCAGCTACATATGTACTCGTACATATGTGCGCTGAAATGGATAATAGCAGCCGGTGCACTTGAGCAAATTGCATTTTCTCTGAGTTCAAAAGCACCAAACGCTCGTTAGGGCTGCCAGATATTGATGATGGTTAGAAAGAAAATTGGAAAACTGTACGATGAAAACTAGAACCGGAGAGTTGAAAATGAAAAGTCTTTGCTGCATAAATAAGTGCAAACATGCAAGTGGCGAAAGGTCGCCGAAAGCTGCCAGCCAAGATCGTGGTTAAGCCAGTGAGGAAAGAAATTTCAAATCTGCAGCGGCTACAAATCTTCAACTTGTATATATATATATATATGTATGTATATATACAACTCGATATTATTCATTCAGCTTTAGCCTTTTGGTAGCGCTGCAAACCGGTGCCCTGCGACTTCTTGCTTTCCCCTCTCTCTTTCTTGTCGTGTAAAAAATGCACCAATGCACTTGCAATAACTGTCTGCTGTCGTCTTTCTACGGCCAGCCTGTTATGGCTTAAAGCAATCAGCGAGAAATGAGCTAATCTGTAGCTTACATATGTACAGTTTTTAAATAAATAAAAAAAAAAATAACTTGTAAAGGGTGATTTTCCCACTGTGACTGTTTTCAAGAAGACGCGTATAATTCAATTTTGCGGCGAGCAATTTAACTTTATTAATCGATAAGCAAATAACTTCACAAAAAATAGTTTAGCGGTGATATATCGAATTGATCTTAGAAGCCACGCCATAGGTCTACGACGCGAGATAACGCGCTCACTAAATGTTTCCTTCTATAGATTGACTGTATCGTTGGCTGTATGGAATATGGTGTCATCATGTTGGAACCAAAAGACGTCTGTAACATTATAGCCGACTCATTTTTGAAGAATAATGGATCAATGATTTCCTTTGCCCATAGAGCACACACACACACTGACTTCTTGAGGATGTAATGGCGTCTTAACAATGTCATCGGTCCACATGCGACATCGGGATCGATGGCCATGTCGTTTTGGGCTCATTCATCGAACTTGCGACGCACTTGATGATCACTTGGCTGCAACTATGGCACGAGTTCGATTTCGTATGCTCCCAAACCAAGATATTTCCGCAAAATCTATAAAGTGGATGTGTGCAGCGCGATGGCGTATGAACTTATTCGCGTCTTCTTCGATGCTCTACCTCTGAAAGCAGCGTGCGATACCTCGCGCGAAGCGTACCATTATTTTAGTAATAGATTTGCACGATTCACAAACGTTGTGCCGGACTAAGTCCGTTAATTATGAAATGGCAAATCAAACTGAGTATAAATCAAGCAACAGCTATAGAAAAAATAACTCCGAAAAAGAGTTTGTCTCATTTAAAACCGAACGACATAAAAAAACACCCTTAAGTGTGTGTATTTTTTTAATCAGAAAACCTAAAAAAGTGATAAAAGTTAGTACGCCTGGTTTTACAAGCACAAATAATACGCTTCGCTGGGTTTCTATTTCCCGAAGAAGCACGAACTTCAAAACCTAGATGTAATGAGCCACGTGAGAACCATATGTAAGAGAGGAGACGTATAATTAATAAAGAAAAATAGTTAAAATATAAATAAATGCTATATAGATAAATAAACAATCTGCTGTTGATAATTTGTTAGAACTGGCTGAGGTGGAATAAGTGGAAGTCACCAATTTCCTACCACTTTCAGTAGCTGACGAATTCGATTGTACAACTAACGGTGGTTCGAATAAGCTTAGCTAAATTTTACTTATTTTTAATATTTCCTACTCATGATTATAAATATAAACTCACATAAATATTTATTATTAATTCTCGTGAATTTCTATTTCCCCTTAGACCTCTCTATGCTGCCATAAACAGTATGTAATTGAAGTGTCCATACACCATCACTTGGTTACTTTCATGCCAGCCGGTAACGACGACGCTTAACTCAACACCCGTGACGGACATACCATGCTAAAGCACGCTTCAAACGCGGGTGGCAGTGTGGGTGGGCCAGCGAATGGTCAATTGCGTAATTCCACATCTACGACAACCGCATCAAACCGCAATATACACTTGCGACCGCAACAACCACTCAATATCTCCACCCTAAGTACCAACACACAGAATGGCCTTCAAACGTCTAGTAATTCGGCGACATTGAATGGCGGCCAACGCATACCAACGCTATTAAATATCGCTTCAACACCGATAGCAGCGGGTGCAACGAATACTAATGCCTTAACACCGTTAACTCAGTGCGCTGGCAATGCGACGACGACGGCGACGGCGGCGGCGACTGGAGCGGCGACAACTACCACCACGCCGATTACACCTCTTACACCGAATGGCATTGCAAGTAATTTACACACATATACCAATCAGCACATTTTGGCTTGCAACAACATCAACAATCACAATATTAATAATGCAATGCACAACATTACCGCCCCCAGCGCAATAAACCACAACACACTTAATAATAATAATAATAATAATAATACAACGGGACATTATAATAATCATAATTATAGCAATTGCCACAATCTATCGGCCGGTGTGCTGATAAATCAATCAAAACATGGACCTGGCCCGAGGGAGGCGTTAACCAGTCTGGGGCTTTTGTGTTTAGGTGATTATATAATTAAAAATTGATAAGTACTTTAGAAACCGTTATACTCGTGGCTTGTAACATAAAAAAACACTCATATGCAAAATTTTAAAATACGGTGAAAATATGATGTTCACTTTGTTTAAACTTCCTAATAAAAAGGGCAGTTTTTAACCATAACTCGAGGGTCTGATCGTATAAAGGTCCTAAAAAGGGACGTGCTTATAGTGATGCCACATAGAAGAACTTTCCTGAAGGCAGCAATGGCAGCAATCTTTGCTCTTCTCCAGTGGCTCTACCTCCTATAGTGTTTCCTTGAGAGAATTATTTTGGGGAGAGAACCACTTATCGCTGGCAGTCCGATACAGTAAACCGTGTAGCTGAGGATTAACTTGCAAGCCGTAAAATTATATGACTACCTAAGTGTTAGAGCGACTCTTGCAGTGATAGACCTTTTTGCAAGTACATTGCGTTAAGTGGCGCTTATTAAGTGGCTCACAATGTTCCACAGATGGTAAAGAGAGCAGCGTCTCGGACAATTCCCACTTTTTAATGCAGTCATCATCGATTCAGTTTTTATATTTAAACTATTTGCTAAGATCAGAATTGATTTAGCATAAGCAATTTGATATATCCCAGTTCAAGGTAACTTGAGGTTAACTCATGACTATAAGAAAGGCCCTAAATGTAACATCATATGAAAACGTTGTAGTAGCACCAATGAGAAGCATTGCTAACTTTCATTTGAACAAACTGAAGCTCATCCATATGTTCAGTAAACACGTTTTGGCTAAAATTCACGCTGTGATACATAGACATATATGCTCTTCGGTGGTTTTACACCACATTTGTACTTAATTACCTGCACTTTAACAGCGTGCTTTTTTTTCTTTTTATTTCTTATATCTTTTTGCAGTTTCCCTGCTATTAGCTTTATTGTCGTTGATTTTTCTGTTAAAAATTTCACCGAACGCCCGCGAAGATGCTTTAACGCGCAGCTCTGCTGAGGATTTCGTCATTGTCTACGATGTCACATTAGCGCTTTGTGCACTTTCGCTGTCGCTGAATCTTTGTTGCCTGCTGGTGTGTGCGATACAGTTTCTATTCGCTGTGAAATTGGTGCGATCGCCGATGTTCGATGGCAGGTAAGAGCGGACAGGGAATCCCAAATGACAGATTAGATACAATTTTTTTTTGTGCAATTGCAGTTGATTGATCATTTATTTTTTTTAAATTTCACACTCTTACAGAGATAATAAATACTTGGAAAAATCAAGCGCGAGTCGCACGTGTGCTGTTGGTGGTTTCTTCATATCCATACCGATTTTTCTCACCGGTAAGCCGCATTTCAGCTAACAAATTTTAGTTCTTATACGTACATGCATACAAACTATACTATACGTACATGCATACATATGTATTCTCTTTTCTCAAAATCAATATTATCTCTCACAGGCATTATTCTTTACACGTTCAATCATTTCCACTCAACACCAGCTATCATAACGAGCGTACTAATTGGCATTGGTATCGTGTTTTGCGGCGGCGCAATGGTACATAACGTTTTCATTTGGCAGAAGGAGAAGACTATTAGCTATCGCAGTCCGCCATTGAATATGTCGATGGTATCGCATATTGGACCCATAACACCGCCTGCGCAATTTCTCAGTCCTCACCACGCGCATCACTTCCTAAACTTTGCACCGCACATGCATTCAGCACCCACACATACGCACGCACAACCGCAATCGCAAACACAAACGCAATTGGGAGCAGCATCGGCGGCATTACATCCGACCTCAGTGACACCGGTCTCACCAAATCACTCACATGGCAGTTTCAATGCATTACTCTCAGCCGGTGCATTAAATTCATCATTTCTCATACGACCATCGACAGCGACGCCGCCCACACCTAAACCACTGCCGCTGCCGCCACAACTAACCAATGGCGGTAATTGTTTGACGATGAGTGCGCGTGAGGCCAGCGGCTCAGTCAGCCCGGGCATACCAGGTGCATTGGATATGAGTAACATAACAAGCCCGTCACTGCATGAGCTATCAACGTTGGTGTAGATGTAAATATTGTTTTTAAATCACTATATAAAAATAAGAACCTAAACGATACTTGCACAATATTTGTACAAAACATTTGATTAGTAACAGCCGGAAGTGAGAAAATTATCGATAAATGAAAATTGTTACTGCCGTTGAGTTGAACTATTCGATTAAATTATATATGAAGGAGTAATAATAAGTAAAATAATTACAATTATAAATAAGTGTGTAAATATTTGAAAAGTTAATGTAAAAGCATGTAAATATTAGTTGTTATAAATTTCTTGTTGTAAAATAATCAAATTTACTACAAGTATGATTTAAAATGTAAAATTCTTAAAACAAACTTAATATGAACTTAATTTATATTTTTATTTTTATATATCCATGTATTTAAATTATATACATTTTTATTTGTTTTGTAAACTAAAAAATAATGAAATAGATACTTGCCCTATTGATTGCTTTGCAGCACTGCAACATATTTATATCGATTTCCATATCGATATACTAAATTAAATTTACTTTAAGCTAGTTGTATGAATATGAAAAAAAAAATTTATAAAAAATATTGAAAGGTTTTCATTTCAAGCAAATTTGTACTTACCATAAAGTGCTGAAAATAAATACTCTTTATCGATTAAAACAAGCTATAATTATCAGTTGTTGAGAGCTACATTCATACGGAATATGAATGTAAACAAAGTGTCGTAATTAAGTAACTTCCAATCAAATACAAATACAAAAGCAACACCAGCTTATAGAGCAATTTTTTACAACCGAAACTGATGGCATGTAGAAATGGCTGTATGCTGGTAATTTTTTTTATTGGAAAATCTTTAAATCTCTTCCGGTTTGTGGTGTGGGCCTTTTGTGGTGAGTTTTTTCTACAAATAGTGGAACTACTATTTTAATTTGTCATTGGACGGCTACATTAGAGATTAACTTACAATGTCATGTCGTTGAAGAAAAACAGAAAAATGTTTTCGTTTTTGTAAATTTAAAATGCTAAGAACGGAAGTACCAAACCTTTCTATATGTATGTATACACATATGTATATGAGCTGTTCAAAAATCTTAAAATAGGCATTTCAAAAAAGAAAAAACCGGTATTTTTCATCTATCATTCAAGCTCCAATCGACTTAAATATACATAATTCGTTTATTTCGTTCTTTCTTTACTTCGTTTAAAATATCTTAGTACAAAATTTCTAAAGAAAAACTTATATAATAGTTTAAAATATTTATAAAAAAAAAATGCGAATTTTACCAAATAGAAACAATTTTAAAACTCAAAAATTAAAATTAACATAGCATTTACGCATTTATATGTATTTCCATAATTATATAATTTAAAAATTACTATTTATATATATATATATGTATATATATGTAGCTAAATAAGTAATTTCATACTTGTTTGCGGGACATATACTCTGACCTACATATTTCCACAACGGCCGGCGATTAACCACCCCAAGCGATGTTTGTGCACATACAAGTACGTATGTATGCAGTTTAGTAAATATGTGTATTGGTAATATTTCATGTTGCACAATAATTAATTTCCCTTTTATATGTATGAATATAATGCGAGTACCAACTCTCTTTGTGACGGCATATCCGAGCAGTATAAACAGTACATACATACATACACACATTGAAGTCTTTAAATTCAGGCTGGAATAATGTGAAATAAACATCGTTAGGTAAATTTAAAAGAAAATTTCTCATTTAAATTCTCTACTCACATTTCTCCACAGTTGGGTGCCCATCTTCTTTCGCCGTTGGTCACTTCTCCGCGCCAAATAACTGTGTTAAGCCCGCGTTTTGTGTTATATCAACAATATCCGTGTTGGCTTTCGATGTACGCGCTTGCATGGGTGGCAAATTTAGAATTTCAATTTGACGACTGAACATCTGATTCACGCTGCGCCCCACCAGGCGTGCTGTCATTTTCTTGAACATATCCTTCTTGCCTTTGTCGACTTTATTACCCTTTAGCGGCAGCACACTGATTTTTTCATCGAATTTCTGTACATCCGCAGCATTGACATTGGGTAAGCTACGCAGCACTTCGCTAAGGACCGGAAACTTGGGTCGCAGCAATTCATAGAATTGTACGCCGAGCGTAATAAAACCCGCCTGATTAGCTTCATGCATGCCGTGCACTTGTAGGCCCTGCAGCACAGCTTGGAATGCAGTTGCCGCCTTATGTTGATCCAATAACTGTATTTCGCTTGTGGCTAGGAAACGCATTACCGGCGCTACTACATTCACGGCCTTCATGCTACAGGCGCTGTCTTGCCAGGAGAGTGCAGCCATTAGCGTCATAAGTATGTAATTGCTGGTGGCGTCATTCCTTAGCAGTTTGGCACCCAAATCGCTTATGATATCTGAGAGCAGTGCTGATTGCGCTGCACGCGTATGTGTTGTGCCATCCATGGAGTGCTCTTCCGCCTCCATGGCTACATCGGTTATATTGGAGGCCGCATGTACACTGTCAGGTCCCGCCCCGACCAAAGCAATCTTCAACACATCCAAATATTCACGTGTCAAGGATCGGTTTAGCATATCTTCTAGCACCTCTTGGGTATCATTCGACTCCTCATTGAGTTGACCCGATTCATACAGAGATGATATATATGTCCAACGCTGGAGGAGGTGATAGCACATGAATGGTGCTAAGTGGGCAAATATCGGCACCAGCACCGAGTCGTAGAAGGCGGGTGGGCAAGAATAAACGAACGGTTTGAAAAATACACGCACAATGGGCCGCAGTCGATAGTCGGGGACATCTTCCAGCGATGCGAAAACGCTATTGATGAGGGCATCTGCAATGCCTTGCAGCTGATAGAGATCGCGTCCCAATGAAGGTCCAGCAGAGCCCATCATATGATAACAACTTTCATATAGTAAAGACATGAACTGCTGCATGCGATCCACAGTGGTCGCCATTTTTTTTACGCTTGGGTCCAACGGGTCAGCTGGGGGTGTACAGACGCCCATTAAAGTTTTTTTCTCATGCTCTAGCATGGTGTACACATTGCGGAAATCTTTCGAGAGTAAGGCCATTGCTTGTGGCCGATAGAGCTCGTTAAGCACGCGCATCAACGCAAGTATATGTGGCAACAGAGGAATGACGTGTGGTGTAGCGGGATTACGACAGATTGGATTACCGTGTTCTGTGAAGCCGACAACAAAGCCACCACGGGATGCACGATCTGGATCATCCGGCCAGGTGCAACGTTTAATTATAGCCAAAACCACGTTCAGTGCGTCCAAGATATGACCACGACTCAAACTGTGCGGATCTGATTGAATGGGCGTAACTGCAGGCTTATCAAGACCAACGAACTGTATAAAAGTATATGGCGATTTGAATATCTCGGCGAATGTTGGCCAGTGTGACAGCGTATCCTTCATGATATTTGCTACAAAAACAGTCTGACGTTCATAATCACAAAAATGATTGGATATCAATAAAAGAGCCTCCTGTAGCGTGGTGCGTTCCATTTTTCCAAGTGTTTGTCGGGGATCATCCAGCAACACCTTCACATGCGAATCGATTTGGTCGAATACAGGTAGCAGCAGTAGTGGGTATTTATGACCCAGCTTTACCATCAACGAAGCGGCATGGCGGTGCAGATTTTTGATGGATTGTGCCCGTGTTGGATCCACGTTCAGATCGGTTGAGTCCTGAAAGATGAGCGCTTGGAAAATGCGTTCCAGCACACGTGGCAATAGCGATACACCACTCATGGCCACGCAGTTGTTGGGCGTTATTTGACAGGACGACATGCTAAGGAATACAAAGAGGGCTGAAATGCAGGAGAGTAAAATTGAAAGTATGAGAGGATTTGTGGTTTCCACTTTCAGGCACTCTTCTAGCAAACGTAAACCCGATTGTACCGATGGCCGCTCAGAAACCAGTAGTACGCGACTGAGTACGCCATCAATTACGCACACCAAAGCCTCCCACTCCATATAGACAGGATCTTGAACGGAGCAGTTCACATTGTTGCGTTCGGTGTGCGCTTTAGCCAGCCGAGCGTTGAGCCATTGCTCGCAATATGTAAACGTAACGATCGGCTGAACAAGCGTTGACTGTCGAAATATCTCGAGGAAATCTGTACGGCAACGGTAGTAGAAGACGGCAAATTCCTCTTCGCTATCGTACTCCAAACATATATACGCTGCAGTCGTGATTGTGATGGGCAGAGTTCTTGTGCTGGGATATAATGTTTTAATTATGCGTGGTGCTATGACAGCTATTAATTTTGGAATGTATGGGATCACTGTTGCGTCCTTGGAGATGCCATCATGTTTTAATAGCACATTCCAGATGAGTGTTGCACCATGTGCGACAGTAAGCGAAGGGTGACGTGCAAGCAGTAACAAGCATTCAAGAAATATTTCAAAATTTGGCGGTCGCTGTATGTTGCCATCTTCTTTACCCCACAGTAACACGATTTGTTGTGCCAAACCACTCAACATATTTAATAATTTCTTCAAGAAGTTGTGGTTTTGTTCCAATGCGCTGGAGTTACCAGCATCCGGCAACATTTGGCTAGCTGTGAAAATATAACGTATTGGCTCTTCGCCAAACAACATCAGAAGCGGTTTTCGTTCTTTTACTTGACCCTTACGATTTGTAATTTGAGAGAGGCACTCAGCTGCGTTGCATTGGAATGACTTGTCGTTCAGCAAAATGCAAAGTATTTGCAACAATTTGCAATTATTCGAAGTAATATGATTCATAGAAACCCATTCAACAAAGCCGGTTAGTGTCAGCAATACCACCTCCACAACGCGTCCATGGGCGCTTGCCTTCTGAAAATTGCCGACCGCTGTAGCTTCACGAAAGGACGTTACATGTAGTTCGATGAGACGTTGAAAAAATTCAAATATATCGCTCATATTATTGGTTAAAGCCTGATACATATCCTTACGCCGCTGATTCGATTCAATCGTCTGCAGGAGGGCAACATCCTCAACAAGACGCAGGAAAACTAAAAGCACAAGTTCAGTTTGCGGCTCACCTTTGTTACAAGCGTCCGATAACTCTGATAGTAGTGTTGTCCATTGTTGGGGCCATTCGCGTTTAATCATTTCCACTATAATGCGTGACAATGCATCTTTCAAATGCGCTAAGCTGGCATCTTCTGCCGGTCCAACGCCAAAGTGTAGCAGTTTCATTGCATTTTCTTTTATGAAGAGTTTTTCTTCATGTGAAATGCTGTTCCACTTAAATTTTATTGTATATTCCATTAATTGCAATCCGAAATGCTTGACATTTTGCCCGAATTGTTGACCGCTGGCTAAGTATAGACCAACTTGTGCGCATAAAGGTGATTCTTCTTTAAAACGCTCACAGGCCATATAGGCCTCCATACGTGATTGTTGTGCAGTATCTGGCCGCATAATCAATTCCACAGCCTGTGCAAGCTCTTCCCCAAGTGCAGCTACATTTCCACGTTGTGTCATCTTAATATCTGTATTGAGCCACTGTCAATTGCTTATCTTTGAACACTCTTTGGATGTGTGCTAAAAATTAAAAAAATAAATACTGCAATTTCAAACCTAAATTTCATAAATACTCACTAATATTTCACGTACTATATGCGGGCACCCCACATACACAATCAAAACTTTCGTAAATTTGTATTTCCTTTTTTTCGTATGGAAATGCGGTTTATGACATCCGTCCTTCCTTTACTCCTCCGCCAACAGTACAACCAATACGGTGCAATCTAAATTCTTTGCTTTAAATTTTTTCTTTTTCACGCGTTACCTACTACGACTCCTTCATTGGTGGCCCTTGTTTCTATTACTAATTTTTTATCGTTCAACAGCTGATTTAGTTACACGTCTGTTTCATGCAAAAATTCTCTTGTATAAATTTTTCATAAAAGAGACTTTTAAAAAATGTGCTAAATTAAATTTGTTGGAATTTTACACGGCAGAACACAGCAAGCCCATCTCACCTTGTGCAATACAGGGTTGGAAATGTCGATAAAGGATACTCCCCTTTTGACACATAGGCAACTCGTAGTTGTGTGCTGACAGCTGCGTCAAATTGATGCAAAGAGCATATGTTTATATTTTTTTTAACTTTACTCTAAAGGGTATTTCACGTATTATAAATATAAGGAATATAAAATACAAATTATTTAGTTGTTTTGTGTTATAATAATACATAAAATTGTTCTGAAGTGCCATACAAGATGATCTCTCTGCCGCCCTGCTCAAATTTTTTTAAATAAATAGGCTCAGTGCAACGCTGCACTGGCACCCTGTAGCTCCACACTTAAAGACCAATCAAATAGTTTACTGTCACTGAACACACCCAGTAAGCAAGAAATGCAAATAGGAGCAGAAAACATTAATTCCATATGAAATCCGCGCGGTAGAAAAGTTTTTATTTCAACAAAAATTCAATCATACGCATTAAGACTTCAAAAAATTTGTGTTATTTTAATTTAATCAAACTAAATTGGAAAATGATACGCACGGAGTGGTATGAACTTGCCGTGGATGGTGGACGCACACTCAAATTTCCAACTATGGGCCCTCAGCCGGGAGAACCAAAACATACGGAACAAAGTGATATTACTGCAGCAACTGAAGTATATTCAACTGGTAAATATTAACGAGATAATTTATTTAGTGATAGTGGCTAGCAGACAAGCTTTTTCTTGACTATCTTTCAGTCCCTCAACAATACGGTGGCATCATAAAGAGAGGTGCGTGGTGTTGGATATCTACCGGTAATGTATTAGAAATTACAGCGCTACGTACTGGACAGACTATAGCCACTTATGGATTTGTGGAACCACGAGGCTATGAGAATTGTTGTATACGATGCGTAGAGGAATTATTTCCACAGAACAATGAAACAGTCCTCTTGGCTATATCTCTGGAGTGTTTCAGCGCAGCTGAGAGTGGTTGCAGTTTGGTAGCAATTTATTCCATAGAGCGTAATCAAGTGCTGAGCTGCATGGAGTTGCCACTACATATTACTGCACTAGCTTTTGTCAGTTCAAATTGTTGCCGACGTTCGCTCTTACAGAATTTCGACGGTTGTATTGCAGTGGGTAGTGAAGAAGGTGTAATCTTACTATTGGATTTGAATATAAACAAACTAATTAATACATGTGACGAACGTTTAAAAGCTCCAATTGGACAACTAACAGATGATATAGTAAAATGTCGGATTGTTGATTATAATTTACAACTAGCAGAGATCCATCGCACGTTTCGGGAAGCGCGACAGGATGGTGTTAATTTCGGATTGCAAGTTGAGGGTGAGTGCTCAAAGTTGTTTGTTTGAATATTCTAAGCACATACGCAACCCTAAACACATTTTTATTTTTTTGAAAAATCAAAATACTTTAATTGTTTTCAAAGTTAACTATTTATTTATTTCTTATAATCTCTAAAGCTATCATTTAAAGATACAAAAATCTAACTTAAATTCCTGAAGTAAACATAAAGTACCACATTTCTGCTCTCAACATTAAAAGAAAAATTTAGTAGGCTTAAAAATTAAAGATACGAAAAAAGAAAAATACCTAACTTAACAAAAACTCCATTAATCAAAATTAGTTTTAGAATAATCGGAAAATTTCATTGCTCCATATTTCCCAACTGCACGTCCAACATCCCACAAATCATGAAGGATAAATCATCCGTTGGATCGCCGGCATCCCACATGCCTGGCTGAACTGCATTCTCAAAATTATCGTAGTTAAAAGTCATTGCCACCTGGTTACTACCCTTCTCATCCTCCCCGCTGTTCAAATCCACTTGCTCATCCCGAACTGGTATATCCAACATTTGCGGCTGGGGCATCCGCAGTAAAATAACATTGTCCACATGTTTTGCTAGATTATCCATCAAACCATGTTGTGTACGCAAATGTTTCAAGATATTACGCCGATGCAGCTGCATAAAATTGCAGAGTGTGCAAATGCGCATTTCTATTACATTGGTGCGCGTTCGGTAGACGTAGTCTTCGAGTAGCTTACCACGCTTTCGACAAGGTTGACTTATGTGCGCCACCATAGATGAGCGCGTTGCTTTACGTATATGGCAACCGCTGCAACGGTAGGCATATTCACCGGTATGCATTGATAAGTGCTGATACCAGTAAGGTATTTTGAAGCAACACTGTTTATTGCAGAATACACAATCAGCTGCATATTGCTCTTGGCCATTCATGTAGGGACGCAGTTCTAAGATTTGTCCGCCTTGACTGCGTAAACGCGCCATGGTCGCGCGAGGTAGGCGTGAACTGTATACTTCAGCGTCGGGATGCATGCTGACATAGTGCAGCACGATGCGTGGCACGTTTTTATTACAAATTCTACATCGATCGTTGAGCGCGTGCCAATTGGCATTAGTGTTTTTGGGAATAGTTTGATCTGGCGCGAACAGTAGCTCATCATCAATGCTCGTCGAGTCGCCGGACGTGCTGTCGCAGGTGATTAATTCGCACTCGTTCGATTTTGCGTCTACCTTGCCGTTGCACAGTTCTTGCTTGCGTGGTCGACCACGTTTCGTCTTAGACGTATTTTCGTCAGTGTCATTGGGGCAGTCTGGTGTCGGTGCTAAGCGTTTCGGTGCGGCAAGCAACCGCGTTGGCACCACTTTGTAGATGCGATGTGAGGGTGGCTCACCATCCTCAAGGGTGTCTTCGTCATCGTCGTCAATGACTATGTGCGCATTGGACGACGTAGTGGCCTGTGTGTCTATGGAAAAGAGCACAAAAAAAGTTTCAATATATTGCTTGTTATAAGTTATAAAATGCGCCAGCAAATTTACCTTTATTCGTTGCTGTAACCGACGCTTTGACATTTTTACTACGAATAGTGTTCGCAAACATTGCCAAATAGGCACTCTCAAAGGACTTCACTTGTTTTTGTCTTTGTCGTTTCGCCTCCAGTCGCTTCTCTTCCGCCTTACGCTGGACTAAGGCAATCATTTGTGCGTCTTGCCGCCTCTTGGACGGACCTGCTTTTGGTTCGACAATAGCCGGTTTTTCTTCTTCCGTTCCCTCTTGCTCGTACAAATAGGTTTCGTCGTAACAACGTGTACGATGTTGTCGCAGCGATTTACGGCGTTCACCCTGATTTACCGTACTCTCCTCTACCTTTTTCTCGTAATATTTGGCTGGCGTGTACTCCTCATCTTTTTTATTGCGCTTTCTCTTATCATCTATTCCAATACAGCCGCCGTTGGCATTGCCAGCTCCATATTTGGCGTGTAGTTCGTCGTAAGTGTTCGTGCGCATTGTTATGCGACCCGTGTGTGCATCCGTCATCAAGGTCACGTTTTTACCAATTTGAGTGCAAGCATCAGAGCAAAAACGCAGAGCTTCGGTCGACAGGCGGCAGTCACCGAGGTAAAAATTGTTGTTCAGCTCTCGCGCTAGGTGTGGATCTGTTGTACAGTTGCTGCTGTAAGCTTTGGTATTGAGCGCAAGTCGCAGCTCTTTGATCCGTGCGAAAGTCTTGTACTTCAATGCACTCTGCAGCAGCACCAGGCACGTATGTGAAGCAATCTGTTGCGGATCGGCGAAATTGTTGATAAATTCATTCAACCATTCCCGGTATACTGGACTGACTGTGTGTTGAGCTAATAAGTTTTGCTGTATAGTGGTAGTGCTCGGTTTCTCTACGGGTGCCGAGGATGAAGTACTCTGCTCAGCGGTGTCGGCCTTTTTATCTTTGACGCTTGTGCGGCGATTAGCATAGAATGCATTGGGTATGATGATATTTCTATCTAACAATTTGGCTGAGAAGGCAAGTGGATTGTCACCCGATGTAGCGGTAGCCGGTAATAAATTAACTGCGTTCAAAAAATTCGATTGCGGAGTGGGCTTGAAGAGCGTGACAGCTTTTTGTGTGCTTGTTGATGCCGCATGTGACGAGTCACTATTGGAGAGCAGTGCGCGACAACTTGATGACAAAGTTCCGCCGATTAGTGCTTGTTTTGGCTTAGTTGATTTCGCTCCTTGGTTTACTGGCAAAAGCGTTCGCTTCCTGCCCACAGTCGCAGTTGGCATCTTCACCAAAGTTCTTGTTACGGTTGGCATAGCACAGCGTCGACTGCGACGACTCATCTGCGATGAATTATTGCTTTTTGTGCCCTCCTCATCCGAGCTGTCTAGTAGATTTATCGTCTCAGTTATGGAATTGACTGATTTAATTGTATTGGCTGGAATAGCTCGTGCGTTGGTATTTTTTATGTGTTGTCGTTGTGTTCTCATGGCATTTTTTTGCAGAGTAACCGTAACTGTACTTGATCGTATAAGTGTTTTATCAGCGAAAGGCATCACACAGGCCAACTTTTCATCCTCATCGTCGGTATCCAAACAAATAGGCGAATTACGTGTCTCGATGATCTCCACATCATCGTCGTCTTCCATCTGAACTGTATTTGCTTTAGCTGCACCGCAAGACTCTGATCGCGTCATTTCCAGAATATTAACGCTAGACCCTGCACTTGCTTCGTCAACGTGTTTATTAATCGCTTCTATTTCGTTGTCCAAAAGACTGTCAACTTGACTTAGTGGATCGTCAGTGTGAGTTGTTTCTTCGAGTTCTGTCGGGGTTTCAATTTGGTTATCCATTTCGATGGCAAACTCTACGGGTAAAGGACTATCTGTGGTTGTATTATTACTTTCTTCATTCTCATCATGGTGTGTTTTTGCTTCCTCTTCAGCGCTACTATCTGCTTTATAGTTTTCAATCCGCTCCTGAGAATCTTCTAAATTCTTAGTACTACTGGTGTCTTGTGTCGTTTCTTCTAGTTCATTTGAATCATTTTCACTTCTCGTGCAACTCTTTGAAACGTTTTCTTCAGCTTCAGCAACAACGGTCTTAATATTTTCTTCACATTTTTGGCTGTCATCTTCTTCAACCTCAGCGACCTCGCCTTGCTCGACCTCTTCCTCATCACTAGAAGGTGCATTGTATTCTGCTTCATCTGCTGAGTCTGGTAAGATCATTTCATCTTCGGCAGTACCTTCTGGAATTTTGATCAGTTCAACTTCTTCATATTCTATATCTTCAGGATCCTCCGCGTCGCTCGGAAATTCTCTTGCAAGTGCTGATTGTTTGTCTTCGGGTTGTCTTAAGCTTTTATCATATTTTTCAGTTTCTTCAAATGCAACCGCGGAGTCCTCTTTTTCGGGGGACTTTGAATTTCTTTCGCTTGAATCAAATTGAGTCGCGGTATTTGTTTTCGAGCTCACATTAACGGATTCAGTGCTTTCTGTTGTATTTTCATTTCGTTTTTCAGACATCGCAATCGCTTCGTCCAAGCTTTCAGTTGATTGTTCGGAGCTTACAATTTGATTACCACAAATCCCAATTGTTTTTATCGAACTTTCGCTCTCCTTTTTGGTATATAAACTTTTATTTGCATTTTCAGAGCTTGAGCTTTGACTTTCCGGTTTAGAACTTGAGCTTTCACTTTCTTTTCCACAATCTAAACTTTCGCTTGACTTTTCAGAACTTAAGTTTTTGGTTTCTTTTTTATCAGAACTTGACCGTTCCATTTCCTTTTCAGAACTTAAGCGTTCACTTCTCTTATCAGAGCTTGAGCTTTTATTCTTCTTTTCAGAGCTCGAGCTTTTATTCTTCTCTTCAGAGCTCGAGTTTTCACCTCTCTTTTCTGGACTTGAGCTACCAATTGTTGTACTCTTATTTCCTTTTTCGAATTTTTTACTTTCTTCTAACGTTTCCAGCGTTTTAACGCAGTTATCATTTTCAACGAATTTACTATCTTTTGTAAAGCTTTTGCTTCTTTGATCGCGCTTTGCATTGCTTGTAACGGAGCTTTCCGTAAAACTTTCAAAGCTTTCTCTTTCTTTTTCAGTGATTTCATCTTTTTTTGCTCCAGTTTCAGTCTCATTTACGCAACTTTCTTTATCAATTGTTTTATCATCTCCTACAGATCTTGTCATTTCTTTTTCAGAGATTTTACTAATTTTTTTGAGACTCTCACTTGCTATTTCACAGATGCCCTCTTCTGCCCTTTCCAAATCGACACAATTTGTTGAGTTAGCTTTTGTAATACTGTTACTTTCTTTCTCAAAGCTTTCAATTTGTTTATTATCGCACAATTTTTGAAATTCTTCAGTGTCTTTAACATTAGTTTTTCTAATAAGTTTGTCGTTGTAAGCTATGGCCTCTAGATTATGTTGATTTTTCGCATTACTGTCATCCACATTTTCTTTGGCTTCCAAATTTGCTGCCTCACACTAAAGTTAAAAAATTTAATGAAACTATATTATGTTTAGCTCACAACAGAATAATTGAAATATTTTCATAATTAAGAATAAATCGAAATTTAAATACATACATACATATACATACACGTAATCAAGAAAACTAATTGCCCCAAAGAATGAGAATTTTTAATTTAATATTTTTGGTAAAATTACTCTCTTATTTGAATTATGTACATGTGTGTGCCATTAACCTAATCAAAATATTCACATACGTATGTATATATGTATGCCATATTTACCTTATCGTCTGTCACATTAACAGCAAACGACGCAGTCGGCATCACCATTTCTACTCTCGTTGTCGGTAATGCCAATCCATTCCCTAGTAGTTCTGCATATTTATCCAGTTCCTCAATAGTAAAACTTAAAAATGAATGCAAAAGAAAAATATTATATTTGACATTTAAACATATTTGTTTACATGCGCTACCTGCCATCATCGGCAGCAGTAGCTGCCTGCCCACACAAAACGCGCTGTAGTAATTTCAATTTGTGCAATTCTTCTTCGTTTTCTTTTTCTACGCCTGCATTTGCAATCCGTTGCTCTAAGCGGGGAAGCATTTTTTGCATTTCATTGACTTTTTGCTCATAGCTGCGAGGTTGTGGTTGTTTTTGTAACTCTGCCGGCTCCATTGTGATGTTTATAACAAGTACATATGTATGTATAATGTGTATGGTATATTTATATATATATTATATATATGTATGTAATTCTTCAGGTAATCGGTTCACTTGGCCTCCGTGTGTTTGTTTGTAATGAGTTGTTTTTATTTTTGCCTCACGCGGTTGTCTATATGTAAAATGTGTATGCTTTTTGAAAATAAAATTAATTAAGAATAGTTTTAAATATTTTTAATATAGTTGCGAGCAACTGTTTATAAAATTTAATAAAAGTCAATAATGAAAAGCGATAAAGAATAAAATTGTCTGCCATTTTAAATTTAGAAAAGTCAAATTGCTGTGTCACTTTTAAATGCATGCAAGAGAGGATAGTGCGTGAACACGGTTACATTCTTAGATTTTTCAACTCAATGGAATTGAAAAAATCTTGCAGTGAATATAAAAAAATACTTATAATTGCTTGTAGTTTTAAATTTTTTATAATTGCTTGTAGTTTTAAATTTTTTATAAAAAAATAATTTAAAAAAAAATTATGATTTTTTTGCTAAACCAAAAATTATGATTTTTTTGCTAAACCAAAAATCAACAAGCAATACAATTAAGACATCAAAATATTTTTATTCCTTTTGAAGGTTAAGAAAAAACTAAAATTATGAATTTTAAAAGTTATAAAAAAAATTTCAGAAAAAGTTTTAAGAAAACATTAGCAGAAACGCATGTCTTCCTTTAAATATTGTACCCAGCACTTTGCCTTCTAATAAAGAAAAATATAAATTTTAAGCATACACGCAGAATCGCAGCAACAAAAAGCCGCACACATCGAGGCACATACAAACGCGCAACTTTACGAAAACAACTATTGCATTGCCGCTAGAGAGCTATTACAAACGGCTTGGTGGATTCCCCTTCTAAAAAAAAAAATTAATAGCTCTGATATTAATAAAGCCCTCTTTGTATGGCGCCACTGTCGAATTTACTTATATACATATAAAATTTTTCCTGCACTACTGCCACAAGCTAATAATATTCTTTCGCTTAGCGTATTTTATACTGAATTACAACTAACTTCTATTTGTATTTGGCGCGTGATTAAAGCGCGTAATTTAAAATTAGTTTTACACTTAATAAATTAATATGATTTTTTTTGCTCAATTAAAACCAACACATTACACTCTGCACGCACAACAACCAAAAAAATTTGCCACCAGTCTAAAATTTTTTCAATAATTTACCGCTGACAGTGCTTGGTTGTGCCACATTATAAAACGTAAACTACTTATTGCAAAGCGTAGTTGGAAAAAGTAGCAGATTTAAAAAGTAGTAAAAAAAAATTTAGAAAAAACCCTAAAATTTTTCGTTGATATTTTGTAAGAGAAAGAAAAAAAAATTAAGTTGTATTACAGTTTTATGAATTTAAATTTAATAATAAAAATTTTACAACAGTTTAAATATTTCCCAACCAATAACGAGTAGCATTAAAATAGTAGTGCAGTAATAGTTTAGAAGCTACATCTGTGCGCAAATGCCACACTTTTAAAACATAAAAATTGTGCACATGGTTGCATTTGAACTAATTGCCAGTTAATATAAGCAAATGTCAAACAATTGACGTAAGAAAATATTATAAGCAGTGGTATGCTTTTCGGAAAAAATTTAAAAAAAAAAATTAAAAATGTTTTTAGAAAAAAATTTAATATAGTATATCAAAAAAATATTCAGAAAAAAATTAAAGAAAAAAACAGGAAAGACTAGATAAATTTTCCGAAGGATTAAAAAAAAATTAAAAAAAACTAGAAAAAATAAATTTAAAAAGAATTAGAAAGATAAAAAAACTTTAGAAATACAAAAAAAGGGCGAAAGTGAAAAAAGTATACTACTAACTAGACAATACAAGATATTAAGGAAGTTTAAGCAAATATTTAGAAAAAATTAAAAAAAAAATTAAAAAATTGAAAATATTCAAGAAAACGTTTTTACGTTTTTTTTTTTTAAGAAAAAACACTTAAGAAAAGCTTAAGTTAGTTGGAAAAAATTATATTAATTAGTAAAAATAATTAAAAATTAAGTTAAAAAGGTAAAAAATGATATTAAGACAAATAAACACGATAAAGTTTATATAAAAAGTTTTTTTTCGTTAATTTCAATAATATATAGTGTCAAGTTTTGTTATTTATCCATACATATCTGCGTACATACATACATACATACACATATACATACATACATACATACACATATACATATGTACATAATTACTTAAACGATAATTCTTTCGGTTAGATTTAAAAAAAAAAATATTCTGTTATTTTTATATCTACATATATGTATGTACATATATCTGCGCTTAACTTTTGGTTGCTCTTAGACTTCATAAAAAAAAAAACGCATTTTCCTTTACAGCCATCAATGATCCTTGCGCTGTACAATCTCTGCTGCCCATAGACTTGACCCTCGGTTTGGCAGTCGGTACCGAAGATGGACGATTGATACTTTATGATTTGGCCGAACTGCAAATAGTACATAACGGTGGACGATTACCGCAACCGCAACGAAGATTAGCACCCATAGTGAAAATGTCCTATATAGAGCCGGTAGATGATCCACGATGCTGCCTCTACGTGTGGGCTTTGCATGATACTAATGTAAATTTGACTGCTGTAATGCACACGGTTGTGTACGACAAACGAGTAGCAGAAGACGATGGTTTCTACTACTTCGAAGTAAGTTAAATTAACTTTTTAAATGTTAACTAATTCATTTGTTTTGGTTTTTCATATTCTATGCTAGTGTTTTTGTGCGGCCGCGTCTTGTCTAGTACTACCGTTAGAGGATAAAAAGTGTGTGCCAATCGGTTGCCAGTCAATTAACAAACTTGCATTTCCAAGTCCGCATAATATCAGCCTAAATGGTAGTATTTTCAATAAGACAGAGGCAGAGGAGAATGGCTATTGTTTGTGTGCGATTTCCTGGTATTCACCACAAGAGGAGAAGAATAAGCTGCTCATATTCGATTTAAATCAATGGTATAGAGAGGAAATGCGAAATTATTATGAGGACTCTACAACAAATCCCAGTTATTTGGCGGGTTATGTGTTGAGTAAGCGAGAGTGTGCATTGAGCTTGTATGTTGATCCCAATACTGTGGCGTACTTTAACACGCTGCAACGCTTTGAGGAGCATTTCTATCCGAATTCGCTGAGTTTCGGTGCGTATTTTTTGAGTTTATACTAAATTATAATGTTAACTGTGGTATATTGTATAATTTTCTTTTCAGATTGTACTCTCCTACATACGGACAGTTCGCTGGGTTACACTTGGCTGGGTGCGCAAAACATTGTCATCAGCATGTTACGCGCTAGTAATTCGAGCATTTTCTTAGAACCGGAAATGTGTTTTAAAGAGATTTTGCGTACACGCCTATTACCGCAATTCTGTGAATTGAATGTAGACTCAACTTTTTCGCGGGTCTGTAAATAAAAAAAGAATATTATAACTCTTATCTGATCTGATTATTGGTTGCATGTTAGTTGTACATATGTACATATGTATATAGCGCAATCTTGTTATTTTTTTTAACCTGTTCGTTCTTATTACTCTCATAGAAAAATTAAGTTTTAGTTTATCAGAAATTATCATTATGCTTTGGATTTATTGCTGGCGTCTTTCGTTTCTTTCTTCATATAAACATTATGCGATGCTCTTAAAAACGCCAATAGAAAATTCGAAAAATAACCGCTCAAAGCGAGCAAACAGTTATAGAAACGTATACCTAAAAATTTTATAATAATTCTGATTAAAAAAACAAACTGACAAATTTTTAAGTAATTTTTTGTAATTAAATATTTTTCAAAAAAGTTAATAGTGAAATGTGCGTAGTTAAAAATTGTATAGTGGCTTGTTAGTTTTCGAAACTAACAAAATGAAAAAAAATTATAAAATTTTGATAAAAAAAAAGTCAAAGACAAATATTTATTTTTGATAGTTGCACCATATGAGCATTATACAATATATAGATATTTAAGTTAAATTTAAACGCATTTATTGATTTAAAATTAAATCACATTTCAGCTCGCCATATATGAGACCATTTTATCCGCCGCTTTGGAGCATAATTGTTTTAGTCTACTTCGAGATTGTGCCAAATGTTGGGCTGATGGTAGTTTTATGGGTTGTAATTTTACAGCGACCACAGGCATTTCGCTCTCAACACTCACCGATTGGCTTTGGAAACGTGCTGCGGATATAAAAAAACGCACGAATGAATTATCAAAGCGTCTCTTTGACTATAGTGTCTTTCCATTAGATCAACGTGAGCAAAAAGAGTTTGGTACTTTAACACGTCAGCTGAAATTATTGGCTGATTTGTTGCATGAGGTGCTGACCGCAGGCAAACGCTATATACCGGACAGAGGTAAGCAGGTGTATTTGTTTTCCGTTTTTTTTTTTTATGTATATTTACATATTTCCTTACTCTTTCTAAAGTTTTCCATACCCTCGAGACACAACACAAGTCCCTAAAAATGCTTACCGAATATCAGGAAGTGCTATTGTGGCTGGTTAGCATCGGCCTGCTGCCAGAAGTGCAGCCTCGCATCGATAGTTATAGTTTCTATCAAGGTATGCGCAACCGTAAACGTAGCTCAGCTTTGCCGAAAGTCAGAGAGGCAGATGTACATTATCCGTATGAAGATTTGAAAAATTTATATGCACGTAAACGTGCGCTATTCGAACGCGACAACGATAATTTCATCTCCAAGAAGACTGGTAGCTGTCGTTTGCTCTTTGTGGATGCGCTCATTGCGCACGAATGTAACAGTGATGCGTTACGTGAATGTTGGTTGGAGAACGGCGGCAATGGCCTCTACCCACCGCCATCCATTGAGGCTATGCTACATACATACATACATACAACGGCGGCAATGGCCTCTACCCACCGCCATCCATTGAGGCTATGCTACGCGTTATGCTTGTGCCGGAAGTAGAGTTTGAGAGTAAATGCGCAATTTTGTTGTATTTCTTTTTGGATTTGCATATGACCATGGACGATCAGACGCATAAAGGTATTGTCGAGAGTTTTGTGAAATTTCCAAGCGTCTTCAAGCTGACAGCTACCCTGATAAAGACAGTGCAATCGTTTTGGAATCTCGACCATGGTTTATTTCAGGTAAGTGCCGTGACTTAAGTGATATGAACAAAAAATCAAAGAACTGAAACAAAAAATGATAAAACTTGGTTGCCTGGAGTGAGTGCAACTGCAAAGCCTATAGAAAGATCTCACATGAAAATATAGAAGCCAAATTATTTTAATAATACGTACGTGGAACGTAGGAACCTTGACAAAAGTACAAAAGTACAAAAGTGACATCATTTGAACAAAAACTAAAAAAAAATATATATATATGTAGCTATTTATATAATTAATTTTTTTTTTCTTGACCCATCTCACCAAGTCTTCCCCTGGAAAATTGTGCAAATCTTGAGACCCTCATCAAATCTCCTCTTTCGCTCTTTTTCTTGCTTTTTCTTTCCTTTGAATTAAGATAACAATGTGAATATGGCCATGACGAAGCAGGTAGAAGCTGCTGCTGATAGGCTCGTTCCAAAGAGAGTGAGAGTGTTAGATGAATAGTCAGTAGAGAGGCTGAACGCTGACTCTTTGCTCTCGGCACCTAAGGTGGTTGTATCGGAATCTTATCTAAATAAATAATTGCTTATGCGAGCTCTTACACTTTACCTACCTATAGTTTTTTCGAGCGTTCTTTGGGCCATTGCCTAAGTGTCTCATATATTTTTCTAGCATTCGCCTTTCTTTCTTTTATTCGCTTCTTTCATTCCATTTCTAGCCCGCTGTAGAGGAGTTTATTTCGCCCTTTAACAATAATCAAACATACAATCAATGGATGTTGGAGGTACTTGTAGAATCCCTGCTCACACAAAACGCCGCCGACTACGCATTGCGTATCCTGGAAGCGCGTCCAACGCTTATTTCGCCAATATTGAAACTCAAGACGTTACTCGCCAACGAACTTACTTCGGAAGCGTTTCATTTTGCGCGCACCAAGCAAGATGACTCACTGCTGGAGCTCTTCTTCAAGTGCTGTCTCTGCGCCGGTAAATATGGTGTCATACGCGATTTGGCGCTAAACGAACGCGAGGGTCAGCTAGTGCAGCGCCTTTTGCGTAGCAGTAAAATACTTGGCGCAGAGAACTTACATTTCGTCTATCTGTTGCAGAAGTCCAAGTATATTGAGGCTGTTTCTTATTTAGATGAGCTTTCACGCGCTAAATCGCAGCGCCAATGTAGCAATGAGAGCAGCAATATGTTACGCGCCCACGATACGCCGAACTTGGTGTTGTCCGCCTTCAATACGACCATGGCGCCGGTGACACAAGGCTTGACAGACGTCTATTTCCGCATTAAGAATAAGATCAAGAAAAAGGAGGCGGACAATCGTTCACCAGTGCCGCTGAGCTGTCAGCTAATCAAACAGAATGCCAATAATTTACTTGGCGGCATTTACCACAGCTCAGCATTGAGCGCGCACTTTGCCACTTACTACTGGGGCGAAATGCACGACGAACGACGTGCTCGCGACAGCACAACCGCCAACTCTCTGCTAAGTGCAAATAATGCGCCGTTCTTACGAAAACCACAAGGTGAAACTTGCCATCTACAGCTAGAGCAAGCACCACAGACTGGCGTCTCGTATCCGCGGCCGTACAGGTTGACTGAAAAGCGCACACTAACGGAACGTGAGCTAGAACAAGTTGACGTACCGGAAGAAGTGCCCAATATGGCGCTCCATACAAACGCGCAACCACGTAAGCGTCGCCGTCTCTTGGGTCAGGAGATCGTTGAGGATCTAGGTCATTTCATTCAGCAAAACAAGTCAGCCAGCCAGTTAACGGCATATGGATTTGATCTGCAAGGTGTGTGCGATACTCCCAGCTACACGTCCGAATGTACACAGCAAGACAAAACAGCCACCGGCGCCGCCGCATGTACAGAGTATCTGACGCAGCCGTTGATGACGCCACGTCGTCGTACAGCAGCGTTAAATGACAACCGCAGGGATTCGTGTGTGGGGGCCTCAGAGCTACATAGCATACTGAAAACGAGCAACTTACCGGAGCGTAGTGTTCGTGCGCAAAGTGCCCGACGGGAGCTGCACGCTGCCATGGATGACAGCAAAAACTTGCGCTTCACATTACCGGCTGCGACAATTGCAGAAGAGACGAAAGAGAAGACGGAAATCAACGCCAAAGAAAGCACTGCAAAAGCAATCACACATAATGAAGAAATTGCTGAGAGCAAGGAGTCCGGAGCTAAGCCCAGTCGACGGCTGGTAACAACAACTACTGTAGATGATGAGGAGGAAAATGTTGGAATGAGTGAAACGCCGTTGACAATAGCCACAACATTGGAGGCAGTGACTTATGAAGACGTCGAAATGGCAGAAGACGACATAATTGACGAAGTATTAATCGAGGTGCATCACGAAAAACTAGCTTCCGCCACACCCTCTCCAACCAAGCTTAAAGAAGAAACGCGTGCCATATCGGTGAGTTCGAGTGCTTCCGAAAGTAATCGCGAGTCTGATGCGCAGGACGAACAGGGCGAAGAGGAAGAAGATTTCTTTTCTCCTCTGTCTTCGCGTAACAATTCTCTGTTAGCGGATAATCTACGTTCTCCACCTCAATCCACTACTTCCATTTTCGAGTCAGCAACATCGAAAATATTCCGTTTCTGCGGCCCACAACCGCGTAAGCCGCTCGCACGTCTTTCAGCCGAACGCAGTCAAAGTCGCACACCGGAAAAAGAGTTACTAGCACCACGCCAGAGGAATGATGGCGAAGAAGCAGAAGTTGAAAAACCGACAGAACAGAGTGAACCGCCGAGCAGTGGCTATGTTACCGCCAACGCATCTAGCAACTCCACAACTGCCGCTAATACTATTGCAATGAGCTCAAACAAAACCACACTGGAGATTAAATCCGTTGTATCCTTAGCCAGCACCGAGTTTACGCCCCACTGCTCGTCTTCAAAGTTAACAACTCAGTCGAAATTTATTTTAGATGAAGCCGAAAGTCTGCCACACCCTGGCAAGCTCTCCGAGTGCAGCACGATGGTGGGCAGTTTCACGGTGGAAGAAATTGAGCTGACCACAGAATCCGCGGATGGTGTCATTAGAACAGAAGAAGAAAAACCGGCCCCAGTTTATGGGCAGCTAAAGACATCCACCGATTTTGCGTGTACCAAAAGGACCGAGGTCCTCCAGGCCAATACTACACTCGGCATGAGCTCATATGAATTCACATTACCGGAGGCCAAAACGACCAGCCCCGGGGCGACTGATGACAAACAAAAAGCAGCAATCCTGAAAGTCATGGAAACGGTAGAAGTCATGGATACAGATGAGCACGCAGATGATGTGCATGAAGTTGAATTTAATGAAGAGCAGCAAAGTACAATTATAGCACCCGTTGCGGCTACAATCGAGGAGTCGGACTTGTATGCAAGTGCTCTGGGCATACCAACGCAGCCAACTGAGAATGTGGAGATAGCGGATAGCGATTATTCGGACGATGTCGTTGCCTTGTATGAGAACCAACGCGAGGCAGTGGAGAAGCACAAGAACCAAGCTGACACCAATGACTGTAATAGTAGCAGTAGCAGTGTTATTATCCTATCGTCTCCCGCATCTTCAGAAATACGCACCAATGAACCGTTCTACTTCAGGCCCGAAAGCGATGATGAAGACAACGACGATGACGACGAGGACGAAAACGATGACGATGACGATGAGGACGATGAAGTTGAAGGTCGTACGAATAATGGTGACAGCTCGTGCTCGTCCATAGAGATTATTTCTGAAGAAGAGGAGCTGGCTCCAGCGTATCCGCAAGTGCCAAAAAAACAAAAACTTAAGACACCAAAAGGGCGTATGACATTAGCGTCACCTGCACTGGAAGTCATAAGGGAGGTTGCGGAAAGTAATGCAAGCTCTGAGTCAAAAACAACAACAGAAGAAAGCAATGAATCTAAGATTTCAAGTGCACCCGTCGGAAAAAACGAAGAACGAATGGAAGCAAATATTGAAGACGACGCGGTTGAGGTCGAAGACAGCTCTTTGCATAGCATGGCAGCATCTGTAGAGAGTGAGAGCAGATTTGTTATTGAAGAAGTAGCTTCAAGCTGTGTTGACATTGAAGAGCTAGCAATGCGTGAAACTATTACATTCGAGGATTCCGATGAAGCCGAGCTAGAGCCATCCTCGTCCGGAGGCACGAAAAAAGAAATATTCTTCAACAAAAGCGTATTCATCCAAGACGGTGCTGAGATTACAATCGAGCACTTGCAAGAAAGCGCCTACATATCATCCTCGCAGGAAGTTTATGAATATCTTGGCGGCGATGTGTTCTATTGTGACGCTGAAAAAACAATTGGAACCATGGAAATGCGCGAAGAGCGCGAAATAGAGATAACAGTTGAAAGTGCCAGCACTTCGGCCAATATCTTAAAAGAAAGAGCAAAGGACGTCATGCGAACCTGGGATGAGTTGCCAACAACCTCTGAGAAGCTCAAACCAGAAGTTAAATTACCGGTCAGGTCACCAAAAGATGATGGCATTGAAAAAGAAGTAGAAGAAGAATCACATAAAGAGAAGATAAGGCTTCCCTCGCAAACGGAAGTTGCGATTGAGGGCACAGAAGAGGCCGAGAAAACAGATAAGTCACCAATAGGGAGCTCAGAAAAACATGGGCAAGCGGAATCGGGAGACGAGGAGCAAATCAAGTTGCACGTAGAGGAAGGTGACCTTAGTGAAGCCGAATTAACCGACACCAAAGCGGATGGATCTAGTGCCACAACAGAAAACGTCTCAGGCACAAAAATAAATGTGCCTCAAGTTGAGCAAACTGAGAAACACGTTGTTTCTTCGCCACAAATCATTTTGGAGGACCTGTCAGAAAAGCCAACTAGCTTTCCATCGACACAAGATACTATAAATGAGTCGGAGACAGTAGACAAGTCCGCCAATTCACCGAAAAAGTCAGTTCAAGAGAAAGAAACTGAAGAGAAGATGACTTCTATCCGGGTTCAACCGGCTTTACCTAAACGCACAGATTTAGTGGAACACGAAACCGAAAACCATGCAAGCACCCCAACACAGAGGCGTTTGAGTCTGCGTGGCACCTCCGTACCACCACCTCCTGTCGATATAATTGTCAATACGCCGATTGACGAAGGGAGTGTGTCAAAACGACGGCATACGCGTGGCATTTCGATGCCACCACAAAGTACAGCACAGCAGGAGCGAGACGCCGCAGTGCATACGCCTGAAACGCGCGTCAGCAGTCGGCGCAGTGTACGTGCAAGCTCAATGCAACCCAGTGACGATGGCGCCGCACAACTTGGCACACCGCGTGCTCGTCGTAGCACGCGTGGCACATCAGTGCCGCATGATGCTGACGAAGCAGCCAGTACTAGCACCCCCGTGCGTACAGGTCGTGGTACTTCAGTACCGCCAGCTGCCAAAATTGCCACACGCCGCCGCTCAAATTTGCTCGACGCCGTCAACGAAATTACCCCAGTCGCAGTGGACTCACCTTCGACGCGTACACGCTCTCGCATGCGTTTAAATTCCGGTGATAGCGAATTGGATTCGTCCGTTGTGAGTGGCGGCGAACAAGCTTCTCAAGCAAAGCGTATGCGTCGGACATCCATATCGAGTAGCGTCTCAGAACAACCGACTACGCCCAGCAGCAGGCGTACACGTCATAGCATTGCTGCTGCTACCACAGATACCACTAGCGAACTGTCCACGCCCAAAAGTTTACGACGCACAACACGCTCGCAGAATATAGATGCGGAGAACCTGGACGCCACGCAACCGCTAGAGGAGCGCGAACGAGAGAAATCGCCGAAGACAAGTGAGCAGACTACTGACGCGGCGTTGTACTCGTCAGCGCGCCGCTTGACGCGCACACAGCTCGCAATCATGGAGAAGTCAGCTGCACTTAGTAAAAATACAAATGCTGAGGGCTTGCGTAGTGGTGTATCCATATCATCACCCACAGCAAAGCGCGTCGGTAAACGCCGCAGTTCACGTTCTACGGTGCCCGATAGCGACGATCTCGAGTCAATTTCTTCGCATATAAGCAATGTTTCTGGCGCACAAAGACGCCGCGTGACACGCAGCTCTATGAAGGATAAGGTGCGTGATTTTTTTCTTTTTACTTAACTAATTTATTTTTTATTTAATTTTCGCTTTTTAGGAGGAGAATGATGACGATTTGGTTAGTGTTGCCAGCTCTGTAGGTAGTGAACGTAAACAGAAGCGGCGTTCTAAAGAGTCCAAAAGCTCGCCAAACTCCACATTAAGTACTATACAGGAAGATGAAGCTGAAGGTGGGTTATTATCAATTTTTAACGGTGTAATATGTAACTAATTCCTAAATTTTACAGAAGAAACAGTGCAAAAGAAACGTTCCAGACTTGCTAAGAAACGTTCAGCTAAAAATCAAGACGATGCCAGTCCATAAGATCAATACTCTTTTTTTAACTAATTTTGTTGTTGTAATGTCAAATTGAAAGAAATGTCAGTTGGCAAAATAAATCTTGAAAAATTTAAATATTAATATATATGTATATATAATGTTTTTGGTTTTGAGCAATAGTAAAGTAAAGGTGAATGATGACAAAACAATCCTTCAACAATTTCTTAACGATAGACAATTTTAGGTTAGGTCAGTTACTTTTGTACCCATTATAGTAGAAGTGTTTAGTTCTCTAATAATATCCTAAAATTTAAAAATTAAAAAAAAAATATGCCAAGCAATTTTCCTTCGTTAAAAAAGACTATTCACAGCATATTCAGAAATGCAACTCTGTACACAGTTTTATTACATACCAGCGTTTTTGTGTTAACTGTCATCAATTGTTACTATTTTCATATGATTTGCAAACATTCTAATTGAATTGAGTTATATATATAGAGTTCCGGATGCAAAACCATTAGGTTTTTAAAAGAAAAGTATTAATGTAAACTAATTTAATAACAAGAAATGGACAAGGAAAGCCCGGAGTTGCATTTTGAATGTCTTTGTCGAACTTGTATGCATGAAGTGCCAGAGGCGACAATAATTGCCAGCAATAGCAATCAACCTGCACAGCAACAGTGGCAATACATCTTCAATACAGTGGATGAATGTGATTCTATGCGAATTACAGATCTGTTGGTCAGAATAATGCCGCAGCTACAATTGAATTTCAGCAAGCAACTGCCTCAGCGAATTTGCAAATTATGTCTGGAATATTTGCTGAACGCGTATCGCTTCCAACAAATGTGTTTGCAGTCCGAACAACAATTGCACGATTTGGTGGCTAAGAGGAGACTCGATGTAAAATTGATGACAACAGAAATTGAAGTTGAATCGAAAATTTCCATTTTGTCAGAAGGTGTAGAACCGGAAGCAATTGAGGCATCATATACTCCAAACGTCGCAATATCCATTGAGGATCCGCTACAAAACAGTAATATAAATGTCGTGACGAATAAAACTGATATATATCTTAAGACAGAGCAAAGTGATGACGAATACGATTGTTGTAACTATGCTTTGAAGGGTGCAGTGGAGCGAACTGGGTTAGCTGACGGACCACATATTAAAATCGAAATTGACACACACACGGATGTGCTGGAAATCGAAGCACGAACAACAAGTGATGAAGTGTCAAATCATGGAGATGCGGGTGATAGTGATTGGGTAATCAACAAAACGACATTACGCTCTAAAAAAGAATGCAGTAATGAAAAAAAATTGACTAAGGTTTTGCTAGACAATCCGTTGAACGAAAAAACGGAGGAAGCGTAAGTATGAGTTGCTAACAACATTGGATCTAAATATGCTTATTAAAATTCAAAATATTTTTTATAGGTCGCCCACTTATGATTGCAATCTATGCAAGAAATCTTTCAACATACGTGGATATCTACTGAAACATTTGAGGCGTCATAAAAGAGCAGAAGACAAAAACAGTTCGCCAACGCCCAAACGTTTCGAATGTGAGATTTGTGGGAATTATTACAATAAACAGGAGTCCTTCGAAAAACACAAACAACTTCATAGATCGGATGCAGAGAAGAGTGCAGCTGCAGTAAAAAATTTTACATGTAAATTTTGCGAAAACAAATACGGCACACAGCCTGTGTTGAAACGACATATGCGGCAAAAACATGGAGAGCAATATTCAGGAACTGCGGATAAGCGTTATACCTGTGAAGTATGTGATAAATGTGAGTATAATTTCTGCTTTGAAATTAATTTTAGATTTACATATAATAAATGGTATGAATAATTTGTAGCTTACAAGCAATCCACCACATTAAAGGATCATATGCGTACACACACGGGAGAGCAGCCATATCTGTGCTCTGAGTGTGGCAAAGCTTTTAATTCTTTAAGGTTTTTATAAACCAATTGGTTTCTTAATTTTATCTTTACTTATTCTTAAATGTTATTGCCATAGCAATATGAAACAGCATCTACTGCGACACGGCGGCGACAAACCTTACGAGTGTCCAGACTGTCCGAAGAAATTTCCGACCATAAGCGATTTAGCTTCACACAAAGTCATGCACCGTCAAATTAAACCTCATGTGTGTGATATATGCGGCAATGCCTTTGGTAAGGCATATCAACTGAAAAAACATAAAATGTACCATAATGGCGAAAAGCCTCACAAATGTGAATACTGCGAAATGCGGTAAGTTGAAGCGAGTGCAAATAGCACAAAATAAATTTTTTTAATTTAATGGTATTTTTATGTCACGCCAAAGCTTTGTGTGTAAGGATCATCAGCGTCGACACATGCGCACCCACACGGGTGAAAAGCCCTACAAGTGTAAGTACTGCGAACGCGCCTTTGCCCAAAGTAACGACCTCATTAAACATTTACGCACACATTTGGGTGAAAATGTCTATAAATGTGAATTATGTCCTAACTCTTTTCGACTGGCATCAGAGCTACGCGTACATTTTGCTGAGCATAAGCATGACGACGAAGAAACGCGTACGCGTAATAGGCAAGCTTTGGCCGATGAGGAGGCCAAGTTGCGTGTGGGTTCGAAGTTGGGCAAGTGTTAACAGGCATCAAAAGAAATGTCCTCACTATACTTATAGAAGTCAAGGAATTAAATATATGCATATGAAAAAAGCAATATTAAATATCCAAAAAGCAATTATGTGCGGCAATGCGTATACAACTTATTTAGTATTAGTTTTTATTACAACGGCATAGGAGGGTACATAGGTAGAAATTATTAATATGTAAAAAAAAAAACTTAATTAACATTAATGCGATATAATATAGATAGATAATAATATTAGAAATAAAAAAGTGTATAATAAAAATGTAATACTTTTATTTAATATTGAAATTTTATTAAACGAAAAACGAAAAACTCAATAAATACTAATAGTTTTTAAGCATGCTCGCAAATCTACTTCTCGCATCGAGAGTATTTTTCGAAATTTTATTTATTATCATTTAACCTGTTGAACGTTTGTCCGTCAAATTAATCCAATCAGGAACACGATCATTTTTCACGTACGCTTCTTTAGTAAGTGAGTGTGTTTGTATGAGATCAGTGCCACCACAAAGGGAGCCACCTAGCCAGGCCGTGAAATTCTCTCGCCCAATTGTTTTATGAAATTTAAATTTAATATCACCACACAATTTATTCTTATATTCTTCGTCCTTCTCCACTAAATACTGCATTTCGGCTCTGAGCCGTGATAATAAGCCCATAATAATGGCACTGCCACCTACTATGAATATACTTTCAATTAATGAGCGGCGCACATCCACTGGTGATTTAATTATAGCGCGAAGTATCAAATGTGGCAGACTATCACGATCGTTATTTTCTTCGAACATTATTTCAAAAACTGTCTCACGTAGCTTTCCCGGTATGGTAATAATTTCCTGACCATTGATTGGATATTCGAGGCTGGGAGGCGCTTCTGGTGTCTGCCCATTACGATACGCTTTAGCACGTTCCAAATTTGTTACAAAACATGTACGAACTTTAATGTCTTCTAATATAGCATCAGTGAGATGTTTCTCATTAACGCCCTCTTCTAATAGTTGACGCTTAATCTCCGCATGTATGGCACGCCCGCCATACGCTTGATCTTGAAATGCCTGCATAATTTGCACACGACTATAAACTGGCATCACAGTAGTTTCCGTATAGCCTATATCGACAACCACTCCCGAGGGCACTGCTAGCGTGGCTAATGCAGACATATGCAAAGGTACAAACATGATAGATGATACCTCAAAGTGCCGAAAAAGCACACGCGCCAGCGTCTCACGTAGCACAGTTTGACCGAAAACATTTTCAACAATCACAATTTTTCGCTCTTTCGGTATAACTAGCAAGTGCCTAAGTAATTATTAGAAGAAAATGTTATTAGAAAGTAATTAGTGTTTATGTACAAATTTACTTGAAGAATATCATTTGCAAAAAGTCCACAAATTGGTCGTACAAGCCACTTATAGTTTCATATTGCAGTAAGGCTTTCGTTTGTCCATTACTTGAGAGTATCACTTCCGATGGTATGATTTTTCGTGGATATGCCTCTGCTGCAAAACCAAGCCTAGAGAAAGGAAACATGACGTCACTTAAATTGTATGATTTATGCATGAATTTACACACTTTGTGTACGCAGTTCCAATGTCCAGTACAACAGGCGGTTTCTCCTGCATTACTGTTTCGTAAAGTGGCATTTTTCCCCTAATGCTATTATGCTATTATGATAAAATGGTTTAAAAACTCTGCTGCCGAAATTGACCGTCAAAAAGTTTATTTGTTAAATTTCAACATTCACAATGGTTGAAACTTTAACATTTTTTTGGACCTGCTAATTTATTCCTTTTTTAATAAGTTACGAAAAATGTATTCTTCAGATTAAAATATTTTCATATTTTTTTCCTATAATAATATCTAAAATCTTATTTAAATTTTATTGTTACTTAAATTATGTATAATAGTTGGTTATTTATTGTGATTGATTCATGCATCAGCTGTTTAACAACAGATAAGTTAATTATAAACATGTTTTAGACGAAGCGTGTTATTTGTGTTACTTTGGTATTGTTTAAATCCAATGAAATACGTGAAAATATTAAACAAATTAAATAACTAAATTCCTCCTTTACTTAAATATTACCAATATGGATTTCGTGAAATTCGAAAGCGCCAGGGAAAAGGAGCGCATTCGCCAACAGCTACGAGAGGCTCGGGATCAAATGCTCGATCAGGTACATAATTGTAAATAAATATATTGAAATAAAAATTTAAAATATTTCTATCTATCAAGGCCAAGTTGCGAAGAGAGCAGAGGCTTCAACGAGAAGCAGCACAGGAATTACGTGGTGAAGCCAATTGGATGTTACCCACCGTAGCTGCGAAAATTGATAAGCTTGGTAAGAAGGCGAGTGAATCTAAAAGATTTAAAAAGAAAAAGGAAAAAAGTAAGTTGAAGAAGTCAAAGAAAAGGGGAAAACATAGCAAGAATAGCAAAAAATACTCGTCTTCAGAGTCTGATCCAGATACCTCAGAGATAGACAGTGCTGATAGCTCATCGGATGGGGAGCCCAGTAGCTCTTCCAAAAAGAAGAAAAGGAAGAAGAAGAAGAAAGAGTATTCATCTTCGGGCTCAGATTCATGGGATATGCCCAGTGATCAAAGCACATCGGAAGATGAAAAGAAAAAAGCGGAAAAATCAATATCAAAAAATAAGAAAAAGCTTAAAGAAAGCTCATCAAGCTCCACTTCGAGTACGGATTCATCTGATTCCGATAGTGACAGTTCTTCCGAAGAAGACGTACGTAAAAAAATTAAAAAGGAGCTCAAACGTAAGCAAAACGAATTATCAGCATCAGATAGCAAAAATAAGAAAACGAATAGTCAAAAACGAAATCATGATGATAGTGATAGCGATGAGGTGGAGAAATGGGTAGAAAAACCACCTCCACCATCCTCCACTTCAAACGTACAATTAGCACGGGACAGCTGGATGACAGATCCGTTATTGCTAAAGACGTTTAGCAAGGACCGAAAAGATAAAGAACCTTCTCATAAACAAAATTATGAAGTTTACGATCCAGCTAAGAGTAGCCGTGAGCTAAATCCATACTGGAAATCTACAGGTACAGGATTGCCCGGTTTCAAAATGCCCAATGAGGACAATGATAACGATAGTGATGATGAACGTTTAGCAAATGCTTTTGACTCTTCTTCTAGTAAAGCCGGTGGTAGCGGTGTGTCAAAAAATTGGCGTAAAAAAACAGATGAGCTGTTATCAAGCAAAAAAGAACCCGCCTCCATGTCAATTTACAGCTCAGAAAGTACCGACGAAGAGTCGAAAACAGAGAAATCGCCTGCATTCAAGAAATTTCTTACAGACCAACAAATGAATGAGCTTGGCGCAAAATTGTTAAAAGCAGAAATTATGGGTAATGATGAACTAGCAGCAGAACTCAATAAACAATTGGAAGATGCACGAAAGGAACGATCTGCTTTCAAGGATCAGAAACTTGCTTCAGATAGAAAAAAATCAACAGCAAAGCTTTCATCTAAAGAGGTTGAAGAGGAGCATGTCCTGCTTACACACACCGATGAACGCGGAAACACGCGACCACTTGCTCAAGCATCACGGTGTGTGGATGAACGCGAATTGTATGGTGGACGCAATGCACGCAAAAAACAAAGACGACTTGAAACTCATGTGGATGGTGAACGGATGCGTTATTTCCCGGACGATGACAAATACAACATAAAGCAAATGGTAAGAGTATATTTTATATTTCTCAATCCCCATCTCTGGTCAACTGAGAAGAAAACCTAATGGCCTGGTGGCGAAATATGAACTCCCCCTCTATTTTTAAACCTGTTGATAATTTTGGTAATAATTAAGACAATCTTATTTTTGTAGTTCGAGCGAGAAAAATATACTAGTGCGAGCGATGCGAACTTGGAGTTTGCAAAAATTGCGGGTAAACATAAGAACCCCAACGACGATTTAGATGACATATTCGCCGACGAAGTAAGAAAGGATGTATCACAATCATCCTCCGATCACAGGGAAATGCAACGCGCTATAAATGAGCATCAGCGTCTTACCGCACAACTGGACAACTGCAGGCAATGCTTTAATTCAACAAAAATGGACAAGAGCCTTATGGTATCCATGGGAGAACAAGTATATCTCGCTTTGCCATGGCATATAGGTATGCAACCAGGACACTGCGTTATCAGTACAACACAGCACGTTACTTGTAGTACCCAACTAGATGAAGACACCTGGGCAGAAGTGAATGATTTTCGAAAAGCGCTCACACGTATGTTTGCTGCACAAAAAAAAGATGTGGTATATTTTGAAATAGCCACACGACTATCACACCGCCCTCATATCACTATACACTGTGTGCCTATACCGGATGAACAGGCGGAGATGGCTCCATTTTACTTCAAGAAAGCAGTCGAAGAATCGGAGCATGAATGGAGTGTCAACAAACAGCTAGTATCCTTAAGCAGCGCTGGCAAGGGATTACGGAATTGTATACCCAAAGGATTGCCATATTTCTGGGTTAATTTTGGTATGGATACAGGATTTGCGCACGTTATCGAGGACGAAAATAGATTTCCACAAAATTTTGCTTTCGTAAGTGTTGTTGCCTGAACGTCGTAAATTTTATAATATTTAATACATATTTTACAGGAAATTATTGGTGGCATGTTAGAGCTGGATGCAAAGAAATGGCGCAAGCCGCAGAAGGAACAAAATAATATAGCTAAAGTTAAAATGTTTGCCGATTGGTGGAAGAAATACGACTGCACTAAATAAGTTGGAAAAGTAATACAGCTGACTCCAAAAGAATTACAAGAAAAATTTATTTAATTATTACTGTTGTTACTGTATTATCTGACAACATAGTAGGTTACATATATACATAAATTGTAATTAAGAAATCAATTTTGTTTTGAGTTACACGCATTGATACTTGCCACTATACTATCGAGGATTAATATAAAAGCAGTAGGAGATTTTCAAGGGGAATTGATCTAGATCAAATCCATATTTGAATGAATGTCACCCAAATACTCCCATCCAGGAAATTCGCGAGAGCCAGGTTGATTCTTTTTAAAACATTTTCAATTTCCGTGCAAATATCCATGTCATATATGAAGAACTTAATACACGGTAAATAAATTTTTCTTTACAATTTTGGAACCATTCACAATAACTGCCTTTAAAAATTGGCATCTCCACTAATTGGAAATGTCAAAAATTCTACTGTCACTTTGTAAAAGCAGCTCACTTAACTCAAAATGTTCTTTCTTCCGGCTAACTTTATCACGCAAGGTAATGTTGCTGTCAACTTAATATAAAATTATTAAATTAATGCAAATGTGAGTGCATTTCCTCAATGAAATATCCGCCTTGAAGTTTCAAACAGTGTTTATATAAAATTTATTCGATTGTGCTGCTAACAAATTTGTAAAAGTGTGGAATTTTGCTGAGGACTGTGCCCATATATTAGCTTTTGTGTGCAACGTGATTAATAAATGTTAACTAACTGTTCACTTGTTATTTTTTAAATAGATGCCCGGCGTCACAGTAAAGGATATTGATCAACATGCAGTTGTAAAGGCTGTAGCTGTCTTCTTGAAGAAGTAAGTTTACATTCGACTGTCTACTTAAACCTCGCTAACCTCAATCTATTTGTTTTCCTTTTGCTTTGTTTAGGACTGGCAAATTGAAGGTGCCCGATCAAATGGACATCATCAAAACCGCTAAGTTCAAGGAATTGGCACCATCTGATCCCGACTGGTTCTACATTCGTTGTGCGTCTATCTTGCGCCACTTGTACCACCGCAGTCCAGCTGGTGTTGGCTCCATTACAAAGATCTACGGTGGCCGTAAACGCAATGGTGTTCATCCATCTCACTTCTGCCGTGCTGCTGATGGTGCTGCACGCAAAGCTTTACAATCGTTGGAGCATGCCCGTCTTATCGAAAAGCACCCTGATGGTGGTCGCAGATTGACACCTATTGGTCAGCGTGATTTGGATCGTATTGCCAATCAAATAGTGAGCAAACAACGTGATGCGGCGAAACTTTCCGGACCTATTGTCATTTCCAAGTAATTTTATTTAAAAAATACGCAAAATGGAGGATAGAGAATGAAGTTAGTGGCTATCGCATACTTCTTGCGATGCCACTTAAAATTATAATAAACCTTTGTTTACGTGAATAAAAACAGAAAAAAAAACAACGTATACCTTTGTTACTAAATTATTCTCAAGGAATTTGCAGCAAATCGTGAAATATAGTATTTGATGATTGTTTTACAGAAATGTAAAAAAATTGATTAAAATTGTGAAGTATTTATACTATCAATATGCATGTGTTCCGCAACAAATGGTGGACCCAAAAAACATTTTTCTATAATTTTGAATATTGCTTTAGCCACGATTCCAACTTATAATAATGAGAATCTTCTAGTTCTAAATAAAATTTCATTTTTAGTTTTTTTATTACAATTTTATTTTTATCGCATGTATAAATTAAGACAAGGGAATGAGTTAACTATACTCTATCAAGCGCTTCCACCATAACAATGCTGTTGCCTCGTATTACCTTTGAGAATAATAGAGATTGTGATTATTACTGGCGCATCTGTATAAGTTTACATATTTCTTTAACTTACCACCATACCAATGTTATTCCTAGTACTATCCTTGCACTCCTCTACTGTTTCGTCTAGTACAACATTCATGAAAGGATCAAAACCACGTAAAATTCCAGCTACCGACCGGCCGCCGTTTAATTTTAACAACATACGTTTGTCCATATATCTATATCAGTACATTGTACGGAAGAATGCATGAAGAATGATAATACATATGTTGAATGTAACTTATAAATTCATTTATACTCACTTTTTCAACTCTGGGGGATGGGCTTTGGACATTTTTCTTTGGTTTATTAACTTTTACTAGGAAAAAATGTGTATTTTAATGGCAAATCGGCTTAGAACGTTGCAATGGCGACCAAAAAGTTCACAGATTCGCAAAACAATGCTGTCGTATCAAATTTTCAACTGTTAATTTCTTTAAATTATTTATTTACTAAAAATTAAGAATGAAAATTTTATGCAATTAAGTGCAGTATAAATGTTTTAAAAATTAATCCAAGTCACTTTTAAGTAAAACTATTTCAAAACTCTTTAATTTTTCTTTTTAAAATATATTTTTTAGTTAATTTTCTTGAAAACTTTTAATGTCACAGTCGATTGTTAGCTACACTGAACACGCCCCACATTTGAGCGCTAAAAATAGCAGACGTAAATATTTACAAACGTTTTTGCTGGTTTTTTTTATTTTTTTCTACTTGTTTTTTAATTTTTTTTACTAAATATAATTGGAATGGATTTTGAATTATTCAATTTGGACGAGGATGACGATTTATTGAGTACAGCATGTTTGGTAGCAACACAGGATCATCTTGCAGCACCCCAACATACACAGGTATTGGAAAATATAGAAGCCGAGATTGTGCTGCCGCAACTGCAATGTAGTGGCGAAGACTCCACTCATGCTCAATTCGCAAGTGATAGTTTTGTTAAATGTGGTTTTATGTTGAATCGGCCTGAGCAAACTTGGCGTGAAGTAAGCGGTGAACAAATCTTAACCGAATTGGAATTTGGCGTTGAACAGATGTGCGGACATGGAAATGTAAACTATCTTTTTGGCACTGCTTGGTAAGTTATTTTGTTTTTCAGACTTTAAATGTTATAAAAAAAATTCCATCTCGTTACAGCATGAATATTCAACATTTGTGGGCTAGTATACGCCAGCCCCTCAACGCAGGTGAAGGCCACATTAATAACCCCCAACGTCGGCAACAGGTGACATATTTGTTTTATTGGCTGCTGCAATACACGTCTGAGGAGCAGTGGCCACTGCTGCGTCCTAACTTGGAAAGCTTACGTCTCTTGATAAATCGCCTCACCGAAGCAGATACGTGGAAGTTAGTATATTTCGCAAATAGCTGTAAAGGTAATGAGTGCAAGGCAGCGTCCTATCATATGTTGCACGGTGCGCTCGAGTGGAAGTTGTTGGATTTGTGTGTACTTTATAAATACGAATTGCGTACTCTTGCCGAACAACCAGTTGGCAATGTAAAGAGTAATAAGACATTTGTGAGCCAGCTGGAGCGATTATTTGATGACTTGGTGACCTGTTCATTGTACTTTTACGACAAGAAGCGACCAGCCGAATTGCTCTATTGCTCACCCTTTCCGTGTACATGTATTAAGGAGTGCTGGTTATATTTGCAACTCGCGTTGGAAAAGTGGTCACTCACCATTCTCGCGGTGGCTGATGAGAAAATCACCTTTTGGCAAATATTCAATGAAAGAATGGCAAATTTGAAAACAAAAATGGGTGAGTTTTCGACATATTATTATACTATGGATAGAAAATAATAATAAGCCTATAATTTCCCAAACTCCAGATAAATTTTCTCTTACGTCACTGTCGCTAGCTGAGTTTTCAAATTGGCTGTTGCATGCGTTGGTGCGACTTTTTGGCTTCCGCTCTAATGGCCACTTCGTTGGTCCCACACACACGCGTGCTTTGACTGATACGGCGGAGAATGTGGACGCGTTGGAAAAATGCACCCAGCAATTCCTCAATTGTACGCCCAGTGAAGAGCAGACGCGAGTATTTATTTGTCTACTGATGCCAACATTACTGGAATGGTGGCGCCCACGCGTTAGCATACCAACAATGCTGTGGGAACACTTTCACAAGCGCCTTAACACGTCGTTCTACGTATCCGGTTCGGCACCAAGTAATTTAGCAGTTGCTTGCGCCAGCGGCAAAGCGTATGTGGAGCGTTATTGCGCACTACTAACGCGGGATGAGTCTACAACCGATGCCAACTTGTGTAGTTATACGCTTTTTATACTATTAATGGGTAAAAACCTGAAGCGTTTGTTGGCCACGGCCGCAACGCGACATCAAGCACAAAAGCTACTCGGGCGTATTTATACAAAATTTAGCGCACAAAAATTTCTAGCGTTAAATGAGACCGGCATACATCATTTAATTGAGTTGTTTTTAGCGTTGGCGCTCTGTGGCGATTTCGAGGACTTAGCGCCGAAATTGAGCGCAAAGTTGCTTTGCATCTCCTTGGACAAAATACCTGCTGTACGACAAATCGCCATCGCTAAAGGTCATATGGCGTTGCTTATACTCTACGCGGAACGGCGTTGCGACATTAGTGAATACGTATCGAAGTTGCTGCAGCAGCTCGCCGCTATCAATAACGATCTGTGTGTGTCAAAAGTGCTGGCGGATAGTTTACTGGAAATTTTCATGCACGCAGACGACTTTCGGCGCGGCGAACACTTGCTCATCGACGCCTGGCTGCCGAACTATATGCAGGCCTGTACGCCTGTCGAACAAGATCGCAGCTTGGAAGCGCTACATCTGATATTCGGTAAATTACAGCGTAACGAAACGATCATCGAGTCCAATTCGGCACTCTTCAAAGCACTCAATGCGCATATACTGCCCTTTGTGATGCAGCAATTCGCGAGTGGCTACAGTCAATGGTTGCCACAACTCGCTGCAGATTTTTGTACGCATGCCTGCACTGTGCCCGACACGCAAACCTTTCAGAAGCTATTCGGCTGTTTTATCGACGCGCCGGTGGTGTGTCGTCAATCGCTGCCGCAGTTTCTAAACAAAGTGCTGCAAACGGAACGCGCTGCGCTCATCGAGCCGAACGTCGTGTTACATGTGTGGCTGAAGAGTTTGGTGCAATTGACTGCAGTCAACGAGGATGTAGCGCAGTTAACGCGCTACGTTGTAAAATTGCAGGAATTCGCTTTGATGACCGACAATTTGAATGCGGACGAGCTAATGCAAGCCAAGGAGCCTCTTTGTGTGTTTATCGCGTCGGTTGGCAAACACTATGACACATGCGTGGCGATGAACCAACAGCGACGCTTCCGCATCGCAGACAATTTGAATGCCTATTTGCGCGATTTCGATAAGTGGTTGCAGGCGGACCTGAAGCTTGAGAAGGCCGAGGTGGCGTTTCGCTTCTACAGCTTCCTGGCGATTGTGATTTACAATTGCGTACACATCGTCTACACCAAGTCGAAGGTGAGCTGCTTCTTTCACGTGGTCATGACGCGCTTTGTGTTGCCAACCAACGTACAGATGGGCAAAGCGCCGGACGTCAAGTTGGCGCAGCTAATACACAAAATCTGGCCTGTGCTGGTGCAGGGTATTGGCCGCTTGAATTTTAAAGCCGATCCGTACATCAACAAAACGCTCACCGATCTGATACAAAAGTGGACGCCACATTTTAAAATCTCGCCAAATGCCAAGTTGGTCGCGCGCCCCTTCATTAGCTGCCTGCAAAGCGATAACAACGAGCTGTCGCTATTCGTCTTCGAAAAACTGACAAGTCTCTTTTTGGCGACACAGCGTCGCCAAGCCGATCCGAACGCCTGCCTGGTGATAACCATTTTCCAAGAAGTCGTCGAATCAATTGAGGCGAGTAACAATCACAGCGCCGACACGCTGATTTTACGCCTCGAGACCTTCATGAAGGCCACATCGTTGCTAATGCTCGAACACATCATGATGGTGGATGAGGTGGTGCCCAGTCGCGCGCTACTGTTGGACCTATTTAGGCGTATTGTCAAAAGCGCTACTTACCAGCGTTCCGATGCACTGCAGGCGTTGCTGGCCGAACATTTACGTCTGCTTACAAAAAAACATCTCGCCTACTATACGTTCTTCTTCTTTGAGCTGCTGCAGCGGCTGGCACAGTTCACGCCCGCAACGATTCTGCAAGTTATGGACTTTCTGCTCGCTGAGGTGTGTGTGGTGGAGCAAAAACGTGGCGCTGGAGAGGACAATCGAATCAGAGGCTGTTTGCAAAAGTTGCAGCAGACCTTGCAGGGCGGCAGATGTTAATGACGCGTTTGCGTGTATAAACATAAGAAGAAGAAGAGATGGAAACTAGTTGTAGTTGTTTTCCAATATGTTAGAAATAATGAGAGTTCAAAAATCATCTTCTTTCAAAAACCTTATTCTGTGAATTTTATCGTTTAGAAATTTTATATACATACTATACATACATACATACATACACAAATTAAATAGTTAGTATACGATATTTTTTTAATTTCGATAATAGTGCCAAAAATGTTCGCACAATGTTCATAAAATATGTTAATGCATTTTCGAATAATTTTAGTTTTAAGAAAATAATCATATAACTGTTTTGTACCGTTACCAGTATTTTAACTGCATGCATTTTGTTTCTTTGGACCATTTTAAGCTGTATATTAGCAAAGTTTCCGAATTTTTTGCAACTTCGAATTTTCGAAGAAGGCAATTTTACAATGTAAACCTGAAATTTGACAGCAAAAGATTTGATGCTTCCTAAAACGCTTTGGTACTGTTTCAAATATTTGACTTTTGAAACTTTTCATGCTTTTCAACTACGTTACATGGTAAGAAATTGTTTTTGTTTTATCATTTTAAATTTTCGAACATAGAAAATATTAACTAAATATTATACATATATGTATTTAAGCAATTTATGTTTAGTTTAATGATATCAACAATAAGCTTTTCAAAAACAAAATATTCGAACACTGGGAAGCAAATACAAATATTCCAATTTTCGTTATTATAAAAAACATTCGCTTTCAATAGACACTTCATTATGTGGGTTTTCAAATAATTTATTAAAATAAAAATATAAGCTGTGCATAGGATTATCGGAAAAAAAAATATATTTCCTAAAAATAAATTAATAAAAGAAACACATTTTTCTCTAATAGCGATCAAAAACTACGTCATATTTATTCGATGTATGTATGTTAATGTGCATACTTGTTAAATATGTATATTTATGTGTAACTGCATACGTTTATTATGTGGTATGTACGTATTAATATTATGTTTGTATACAGCACATATGTATGTACATAGGTGTATACGATTCTTTTATACATAAAAAAACAATAAATGATATACAAACTGTACTTAAATTAAAAATTAGGCTTAAGTAATAACCGGTAATGAGGAAGGAAGAAGATATATGTATGTATGTAGTGGTGGTTGTGGCGCGCATGCGTCCATATGCATTCTTAAAGAATATACGAAATTGAAAACACACATAACTAAACGTACATTGCTTTTGTGATAATTTCTTAAGAACGATTCATAAGATGTATAATTTTTACAGTAAGAATATTAATTTCCTCCTTTTTACAATAGAAATGTATAGTTTTTCTTAACAAAAAAAAGGACATAATAAATCATGATATTTTTTTCTTCAAATGAATATGAATGTATTGGTTAAAGTTTGCTTTCGAAAATTGAGCACAACGTCAGAAATATTTTTGATGCATTTACTATAAACCAAAAAAAAGTGTTCAAGATTATAACTTTTCGTGCATTCTTATAGGCCATGTTCGAAAATAACTGGGTGTTGTTAAATCTGTCTTTTTTATTATTATTTGGCGACCTTAAACCTTAAAAAATATAATAAAATAAAACAATGCCAATAAAAATTAAATTAAAAAAAGTTTCACATCCAATTCAAAAAATTATTTAAGCAAAAATTGTATTCGAAAAGAAAAAAAATGCGTTTTTGTAGGCAATTTTTCACCAAAAATATATATGAAAATTAAACGAAAAAGTGACCACAAAGTTTTTAATGTGCTTTTTCTAAAAAAAAAAAAAAAAAAAAATATATATATATATATATGAATAAGAAAACTTAGTCAGATTCGAAAATTTTAACTCAGAACTGTCTTTACATCTAGGCTGTTTACTAATATTTTTGCAAAACTTTACAAAATTTTCATCTAATTTTTACTCGCAATATATGTACATACGAGTATGTATGTATAAATTTGCAATTTTGAAATTTGCCTATAGACTACAAAGCGTATTTAAAAAATGCTTGCTTATATCAATTTAAACATTGTCTTTACCAACATTGAGATTCATATGTATGTATGTACATATGTTTGTATATTTTAGTTTTAAATTTTAGTTAATATGCAGTATGTAAAGCTTTTATATTTTCCCAATTTCAAATTTCCATTGCAGTGACTTTTTTTTGTTTTTTACTAATATTACGAATATATGTAGGCATGTATAAAGGCCGTTGCTTTCCAAGACTGTAAAGCTTATTTTTAAAATATGTTTTCATATTGCTTAAGTCTCGTTAATTTTCTTTTAAATAATTATATAATTTCTTTTCGCTTTCCAAAATTTCAAGTATACACAGTTTCGACTGGTGCAAGGTCATAGCTGCCATTTTGGAGACTTATTTAGCGAAGATACAATAAAACTGTATCAGTGAAGCGGGGAATGTTTTGTTTTTAGGCTACTTAAGAATATTTTTTTATAAATGCAAAAAATGTTGACGTCTTAAGTACACAATATGCAATAAATAATTAGGCAATATTGTGTTTGAAAGGAGTTTTTGCTTTGTTAAGGAAACATATCTTATAAACAACAAAAAAAAAAAAGCTTTACGACTGGAAAACAAAATTAAAAAGAGCTAAATATAATTAAACATTAAACTATTATTAATGTCTAATCTAAGAGAACATACGAAAAAAAAACCATAATAATTCCAAAGAGATTTTAAGTAATACTTTAAAAAATGTTGGGCTGCTTAAGTAGTTGCCAAAATGAACGCGCGCTTTCAAGAAACCTATGTATGAATGTACATGTTGTATGTGTGGCATTGTGTGTGTGTGTGTGAATATTTGGACTGAAGTGTGGTATAACAACGATCATGATGATGACGACGCTGTAGAGCAAGCTTTAGACGTCATATATTCGATTTTCTTCGTTTCAATGTTGCCTTGTGTTCCGCATTAAAGGCACTAATAACGATGGTGGACCCGCTTGTCGTAAGAACGGATGCGCCAACAGTTCTGCGGCTGTCGCACGTTGCGCCGGATCACGTACCAGCATGCGATCCAAGAATGACTGTAGACGCGGCGACACCTTGTGGGCATTCTTTAGATTCGGCGGTTGCATGTCCCGTATGCGACGCATCGCCTGCAGTGGCGGTTCATTGAAGAAGGGCGGCTCACCGTCCACCATCTCGATAACCATAATACCGAGTGACCAGATATCGACTTCGGGACCGTATGGCAAACGTGAAATAACCTCCGGCGACATCCAATAGGGTGTGCCAACGAGTGACTTACGCTTCGGCAGCTCTTGTGAGACTTGCGCACAAAACCCGAAATCCGAGAGCTTTACACGTCCATCAGCTGCCAAGAGTATGGAATCGGATTTGATGTCGCGATGTATGACACCCTGTGGAGGAGAAAGCACATTCTTTTAGTGAGTTATTGCAAGCAAAAGATTATAAATAAATAAAAGAAAAACAATTCTTTCGTTAAGTGAAATTTGAGGTATTTTTAGTGCATTGCAAATGTGTCAACGCCCATTAAATTTGTTCAAGTTAAGTATAATAGTAAAGGTAAGCGAAAGTGTATGAAAGCAAGAAAAAAAAGCAATAAATTAAAACATAGAAAACCTACACGCACATTCTATGCGCTGACTCATTGCTTATGCCGAGCACGTAGCGCCGCTAACAAGCGCTTGCGACATACGAGTACATACCTGCGAGTGCAAATACGCTAACGCTTTGAGGCATTGCTTGCAGACTGTTGCGATTTGCTCCTCATCCATGCGTGAATGTGTGACAATATCGGTAAGTGCCCCGCCCTCCAAATACTCCATAACCACCCAGAGTTCATCGTTCACTAAAAAGCTGGAGTAGGTCTCGACAATATTCGGATGGTGGTAATCGCGCATAATGACGACTTCGTTGAAAAGTAGCTCTCGCCGCTGTTGTTTGCGTAAATCCATTTTTTTAACAGCCACTTGACGACCTTTTAGAGATTAGAGACATTAGACAGGGTTTAATCTTACTGAAAAATCTCGACGCTACTCACCAGTTGATTTGTCAGTGGCTATACACACAGTGCCTGTTGAGCCTTCACCTATTTTCATGAAGTTGTCTAGATTTTCACGCGGGTCACCAGCTGAAACGACCATTTGCAAAGCGGCGCGGAACTAAAATTATGTTTCAATTTAAATACTAATTTACTTTCAAGAGTTTTCCTTGCACCTACCTGTTCGTGCGTCAACCGCTGTTCCTGTTTGGACGGTGGTGCGGCGCCAAGTCCTCCCGCGTTGCCTGAACCACTTCCTACACCGCTTGCGCCGCCACTTGAGCTTGAAGCACGCGATGCCGATTTCGCATGCAGGTGCGGATGTGTGTTATGTGGATTTTGGTTTTGATCGGCCAGCGTGCCCATATGTTTCGCAGTGTGTTGTTGTATGGCGCCAGGTTGATATGGTGTGAAACCGCTGCCACCGTTATTATTATTTAAATTTGCATTATGTATATGTGTATGTGCGGAGGAGGCGTGTGAGTGTGTTGACCGTGATCCGCTGGCCACAGAACCTACTGGCGACGTCTGTGGCGGTTGTCCACTAACGGCGAGATGGTGAGGCGGTGGTCCACCGCGGTAGTGCGGGCCACTCATTGTCGCCACGCTGCCGTGTGGTGGTTGAGTTTGACCTGTAGGCGGCTGTTGTTGTTGTTGTTGTTGACCTGTGGTAAAATCAGTGCGTACCGCAAGCGGTCCATGACCACCACCATTCTGGGTGGGATGCATGCCATGTGTTGACTGTTGTAAATAACCCTGTGTGCCACCTGTTAATGCGCCGAGTGTTGGTGGTTTAAAGCCACCGTAGGGTAATATTTGACCGGGCACTGGTGTTGGCGCTGGTGTCGATGAACTTTCCTCTGGTACTGCGGGAGGTACATTTGCATTGCCGCGCAAGTCACGCCGTACGCGCGGGGGACTCGAGCTGCGCAAAGAATTCGACCGAGCTACATGTGACGTTTTCGGTAGTACAATGCCACCTGTTTGATGTCCTAATCCAGCTGTTGCAGCGCCTGGATTAGCAGAGGTGTTATTATGCTCGGTAAAATAATGCGCATGCGCTGTTTGGTGATTGCCTAAAGCAGCGCTGACGTTCGGCGCTATGCTACTATTTAATGAAGTTGTATCCGCTTTGTTGTTATTGTGATGCGGTCGCACAATTGTCTTCAAGTCGAGAATTTCTGTCGGTGTTATTTCAGATGGATCAACCAAAGGTAACGGCCTATTTGTTGACTTCAATATTTGATTGTTGCCAACGATGGAAGCCCATTGTAGCGGTAAACCGACGTACCGTCCCTCACGTTTGTCAAATCCAGTGTGCACGCGATGCTCGAAATTACTTGGCATAGATATTAATGGTTTCTTCTTCTTCTTTGAGAACATTTTGTTGCAATAAGTGTACTATCTCCGGTGTATTAACAGCTACTACGTACTACAATAAAAGGTGAAAATTCGTGAAATTCCTATGCCAACGATGTGAATTTCCCGTCGCAGTTTGTTGACTTTATTATTTACCTCCGCCCAGTGCGCACAAAACCCGCTAATAACCAGAAAAAAAGTAGAAAATCTCTTTGTTGTTACACAGCTAAGCTCCACACCCGTTCTTTCTGGCCGTTGGTGGTGCTGCTTGGCTTCCTCCCTTCTTCTTGACTACGTCTTATGGATTTCAATGCTTGCTTTGATTTCCAAACAAAAAGTTAAAATTTTCATCACTTTTCATTTGCACTTTACACGAAACACATAAAAACCACATTTCATTACACGAATAAACATAATTTATAATTAAATAATATAATTAACAGCGAAAAAATTGAATTAAATCAAAAGGAATGTCTGAGCGCACTAATTTAATATTGCATTTTCTCTTTGCTATGGCATTTTACTCATTTGTTCTCTTCTTTTGCATTTTTTTGGCCACCGCCTTTGCACTCATTTTCGCTGTCAAAATACACAAAATATGGCGTCTGACAGTGCTGGTAAACGGTTGAAGGGGGATCTCAAATTAATGTCATTTTTAACTCAACATTATTCAAGAAAATTTATGAGCCAATTTTTTGTTTTGATAATACTCAATGAGGCCATATGTAAGCGTAGGTAAATATGTTACTTATAAACCCCTGCGGGTTAGGGGCTCAAGAATTTACCCGCGGTAAGGCATGCCTGTCGTAAGAGGCGACTAAAATCCAATAGTTCCTTCGACAGTCGGGTCTTTATACCGGAACGACCCGGATTTTTATCCTGCCAAGGACTAACACTCGCGCAACATTCCCCAAAAAGTACTTTGGCGAATAATTTTGGGGTTACAACAACAGCAACAACATGTTCCCTATAAACAGTGAACCTTCGCCCGCTGACTTCTATTCAACGGCGTCAGATTTAATTTTTTGTCAGCGCTTCCCCATAACAGCTGCTTGTCATCGCCGGCTTTGCTGTCAATTACACTTTAATTTTCTCTGAAACAATTTTTTACCTTTGACTAAATAAATTACTAAACATATTTAATAATCGCTGTTAAAATGTCAAATAACACCAATTTAACAGTAGCTGTGGTCTGTTCCTCCAATATGAATCGTTCAATGGAGGCACATCATTTTCTAGCGAAGAAGGGCTTCAATGTGCGTTCCTTTGGTACGGGTGAACGTGTAAAATTGCCGGGCACAGCCATTGACAAACCAAATGTTTATGAATTTGGTACTCCATACGACAGTATATACCAGGATCTTTTAACAAAAGATAAGCAATAGTAAGTTCGTGTATAGTGGATATATGTATTTTCAAGCATATATGTACATACATGCATAGATGATTATGAAAGTGCTTGTATATACATAGGTATGTACATATGTATTTAGTTTATTTAACTTCCTGGTATTATTCATTGCAGTTACACACAGAACGGTTTACTGCACATGCTCGATCGTAATCGAAGGATTAAAAAATGTCCTGAACGTTTTCAGGAGTGCAAAGAACAGTTCGATATTATAGTGACTGTGGAGGAGCGCGTATACGACCAAGTTCTCGAACACATGGAATCATGTGATCCCATCGATAATCGTCCCGTGCATGTCTTCAATGTCGATATCGAGGATAATCATGAAGAGGCTTTAATGGGTGCTTTTCTCATAACGGATATGATAAATATGGTAAAGTTGATACGGATATCAGTTTCAATAAGCATGCTAGAACTGAATCTATTGTATCCTGATGTTAATAAGTCGAGGGTTATATTGTTCATAAAAATCATATCGTACATTGTTAACTTTCGTAAAATATCAAATTATTTAATTTGGTCGCTCAAATATACGACACACACTCGAAAACCTAATAGTTGATTTGCCTTATTTTATATTATCTGACAATAATTTTACAGGAAAATGCTTATTTAAAAAATTTAAATTGTGAAGGTTTTAAATAATAGTTTTCCATCCAATAATCAGCAGCTGCCATTTATTGGCAGTGTTAAATACAGTTTATGTAGGGATTGAGAATTATTCTTCGTGTTGTATCTAAAATTGATATTATATACTATTCACAATATTTTTTGGCAAACCTTTTTTTCATTATTTTCTTCTGGAACAACGATAATTATTATGATATCTTAACATCCATCTAACCTACTCGTCGTTTTGAACTCGCTAGCAATTTAACCCTTATTAACAATAATCTATATTTAAAATTTAGATGGCGAAATCAAATGATCTGGATAATGATATTGACGAACTGTTGCAGGAATTTGAATCTCGTCGTAATAAAACTGTTTTGCATTCGGTGCTTTTCTACTGACAATTGTTCAAATTGTAGATGGAAATTCAAATACGAGTACGTCTGCGTTGCAAAAATATAAAATGGAAATCACTAAGTGTGTTGTTGTCATAATTTGTATTGTTAACGCAAAAAAGCCAAACGGTGGAAAAGATATCCTATAATTGTATGTAAAATTACTATAAAAATAAGATTAAAAAAAAGTGAAATTATAAAGGTAGACGATTCAACTCAAAGGAAAAGGGAATTTTATAATTGGAAGCAGTGTTTTAAAAACGAAAGCAGAAAATGGTCTGGGTAGCTGAAGTAATATTCTATCTATGTAAAAGGACAAATATAAATAAAAGATATTTCAAAATATCGTCATTATAAGTAAATACATGATACGAATAAAATAATCAAAGGAAATAATGTTGGGAATCAACAAATTATTTATTTCAAAGACGATACAATATGCTTATTAAAAATCATTTATACTTATGTTCATATACAACCATACATATTTATAGATTCATACTTACATATGTATGCTATGCAAACGTAAAACTATGTGTAATATATTGTAAAATAAATAAAGAAAAGTATCAGATATAATTTTTACATTCATTATATTTATTTGCATATTTGATTATATGTATGTATGTATTTTTTTTTACTTCAATAAATTTCTTTACAGCCAAAGAAAAAAATAAAAATAAAAATAAAAATAGAATATAAATTAATATGAAATAATTTTAGTTTTATTGTCAGCTTTCTCTATGGATGTATATTTCAACAAGTATATATATAAAACCCAAAATATTAATGTAACAACAAACTAAAATATTCATTTTTATAGACAGCAGTATTACAAGCCAAGTCGAATATTTGTTTGCGTTATACCGTTATTGACGAAAGCTGATTAAGTAAGGGCGAGTTGCAAAACGTTATAATATTTACTTTGTAAATGATGCGGTTAGCTCAAAAAACTTTTTTATTTAATTTTGTGTTTTTCTCATTCAATTTAATTCCAAATATTTTACTTCGTTTACTTTTATTAAATTTTAGTTTGCTATATTTTATTTATTTTTTTCATTTCATTTTATTTTAAATTAATTTATTTAATTTTATTTTATATAAATATTTATTGTTATTTAATTTTAGATTGTTTTAATCTTTTATTTAAATTTAAATTTTTTAGGTTCTTTTATTTTACTTTTTACTTTCATACCGTTTTGATTTATTTTTACTTTCTTCTTTTTTATTTATGTATGTATGTATATCATTTATTATTTCAATTTTTTAAATTTTTATTATTTTTTTCATATATTTTAATTTATATTTTATTTTTTCTCCGTGTATCATCGCCGTATTTATTTTAATCTTGTCTTGGCAGTTTATGACTCAACAGCCGACATTCCGATGTACGCGGTTAAAACATTTTAAATATAAACATGTACATACATATATGTCTGTATATAAGCATATGTATGTGCATATGTACATAAGTGTATATACATATATGTATGTATAGGTACATATGTGGGTTAATTTGTATTTTTATTTTGTTGCTTGTATGTTTTATTTATTTTCGCCATCTTCTCATATACACATATGCACATACACACGCCACAGAGCACTCGCTCTTCACTTACCGCGCCATGCGTTTTGCACGCTTTTAACATGCGTTTCGAAGGTATCATATTATATACATGTTTACATATGTACACATATGTACATGAGCATATGTATACACATACATAAATTCGATCTGAAGTATTCGGTCTAATGAAGTCTTAGCTTCGATTGGCGCATTGCAGACGAACGTGATTTGACCTTGACACAGAGTTCTGCAATTTGGCCAAGAGTTGGTGGAGCAACAAAGCAAATTTATCTTTGCGAAATATTAAAACGAATATTACAAAAATAAATGAATTGAAACAACGCACCTTTGATAGCCTCTCTGAACTTCGGCTTGTATGTATGTGTGTATAATAAGCTATCACTTGCCGCCTTGAGCGCGCGCGCTCTAGTGAAGTGCTCGAGTGGGCTGATGTTGATAATGTGGCCGGTAAAAATATTGAGGTTCAATAATACTATATACCTATGTGCATACTACATACATACACACATACATTTCCAAATGAAATGTTTGGTTTTGTATGTTTCAAAGCTCTTATCGCTATTAAATTTATTTTAAATGACACGAATGCTCTCGATTTGACCACATGTGCGTATTTTTTTTGTATGCCCATGCGCCAGCGCACAATTCTCACGTGAAATTAATGTAAATGTAGTTAGTTATTTGAAAAAAATTAGCATTGATTTTTATTGAATTAAGAAATTTAGTTTCTTATCAAAATTTTCTGTTTCTTTTTTTGACTGTAAGAGTGGGAGTCAGCGATTATGCTTGTCATGCTTGTCCTTTAAAGGTTAGACTGGAAGAACAGCGGAGCATTGAAGCTCTAAAAACTAAAATTCTCATCGAATGATTAGTTTGGCATATAAAAGTGCCACATCGCCAAAGTTAAAACTATTTATAGCAGTGATATTCAGAAAAAATAATAGGTAAGGAATATTGCAAAAAAAAAATAACAAAATATTGAAAAATAGAAAAATAGTATCACAAAAAAATAATAAAGTGATATCAAAATTATTTAAAAAATGAAGTAAACTAATATGAAACAATAAATAAATAGATAAAAAATAAAATAAATCAAAGAAATGAAAAATAAATAAATAAAATAAAGCAAAAAAGCAAATACAATTATAATAAAATCAAATAGAAAATAATTTAAAATAAATTGAAATGAATTAAAATGAAAAAAAAAAAATAAATAAAATGAATGAATGAAAATAAAATTAAATATAATTCAAGAGATAAAAGAAAATTAGCAGTTAATTAAATTGACATAATAAAAGTATTATTATTTAGTGTAAAGTTGAAAAATTTTTAAATTATTAATTGTGCGGCATTTCATAAAACTTTTTACACCAGAAATATTCATTTGTAAAAAACACAATTTATGTTCTGTTGCTTATACATACATACATACATATGTATGTATGTATTTAAATGCACATAGAAAACAATTGAGCACTTGAATATATGTAAATGAAAAGACAATTAGGCTTAATTCTAAAAAAACAGTTAAATTTGGTTAAAGTTAAATTCTATGTTAACTAAATTTTTATTTTATTTTTCTAATACTCTAAATTGTTTAAATTTTTACTTATTAAAGTTTTTATTTAATTTTTACGCCAAACAGTTGCAAAATTCAGTCATTTTATATATTTTGCCTTTATTTATTTTATTTTCCTCATATACATAGATATGTACATAAGTGTACTTGCTGAATTATTTTGATTTTTTAACTAAAACAATACTTTTGCACATTATTACATACCCCACATAAGTACATATAAAGAGGCGTTCACACACACACACTTAAAGCTGTTTGCGTGATGGTTTTTTTGCAATTATCCATTTCCTTTGGGTTTTCGGTAAATAATCTGAACTGATTGCCATTTGATTATTTGTTTTTGTTTTTTTTTCAAAATGTATAATTAGCGTGAAGTCTTTTATTTTTGACGCTCTGTTGTATGCATTATTTTGCTGTTGTAAACAAACGATTTGTGTTTACATCGCACAACATCGTTCATTGTACATCATCGCACATTGTTGTTGAGCTCTGAGTAAAATAATTTTAAAATTGTTTTGTTGCTAACAATTCTTAGCTAAGTGCTCAGGTGTGCTCTATACGAGGGTGCAGCTGTTGATTATTTTTTTTTTTTTTTTTTGAGTGTACATATACTCATGTAATCTCTTTAATATATATAATAAGAGAAAAAAATAAAAAATTGCATGTGTTTGCAAAAAAAAAAAAAAATTTTAAGTAATTGCTATTTCTTGTTTTTTTTCTTTCGCTAAATTTATTTAAAAAAAAACCTCTCAAACTGAATATTCGAAAACACGCCCTCGTATGCTCGTACACATTGGCACAATTGTTGCGCGCGCTCTTTGTGCTTTTCCTAACACAAAAAAAAACGCTTTACGCTCAGCCAACCGTCTTTCAGCTGGCTCCCAAACCATCAGTTGGGGTCTAGTTGTAGCACTGAAACTTAGACAGTCTTCAATACGCGTTGTTTGCTTGTAGACGGTTGGATCACGCGCTTACTCTCCTTTTACGCTATCCTCAGCAACGGCGACTAAAAGAGTTTCTATTTGTAAGGGCTAAGCCACGAAAGCTCATCAGCGAACGACAACAGTTTCACGAGGTCACACTTTTGCAGCGTAATTGTGATTTCATTACATTTTCTATTTATTATTGCTCATTAGTTTTCAATACGCCACGCTTGTGGGCTTTTGTTGTTTCAGTGTGGAAAAATACTGTACTACTGTATAATTTTGAATAAAGTTTGAATTTTTCGCGTAAAACGTGTTTCAGTTACAATTAACTTTCGAAGCTGCAGTGATCGTGCGGGTTTAGCTTTGCCGGTCGACACTTTGTCAGCGTATTAAATATACGAATAAACATACATACATATGCACATACGTAGCAGCGAGTGAAAAGTGGTGTGAAACTCTTTCATATATATAAACAATTAAAGTGTAAACTAAAACATTTTTAAGTTTTAAACAAATTATTTGATTTGCTTTAAATATGGCCACTCAGCATTTCACCAATGGCAGCGGCACCGACGATGGTAAGTCAACCCCGAAAATAAACAAATATGGAGATGTCAGAAAAATATCAATCGATTATGTTATTGTTAATTTATATTATGGTTTCGATTTAAGCCGTGTAAATAAGCCGAAGAAGCAATGAAAAAAAAACAATATGCAAATATAATGAAATAAAATAAAATAAAAAAAAAAATTAAATTAAATTAAAAGAAAATAGAACAAATAAAAAAAATTAAATAAAATACTGTGTGAGGGAAATTAAAAAATTTAAATGAAATATAATAAAATTAAATAAAAAAATTAATTAAAATAAAATCAATGAATAATATGAGATAAAATAAATAAAATAAAATAAAATAAAAAATTAAAAAAAAGTAAAGTAAAATAAGAAAAAGATAAAATCAAATTAAATAAAAATAAGAATGAAATTAAAAAATTGAAATGAAAGATAATAAAATGCTTTTATTGCTTAAATAAATAAAATAAAAAATAAAACATAAAATAAATTAAATTTAAGTAAAAAAAATAAAAAATAAAATAAAATATAAAATAAAATATAAAATAAAATATAAAATAAAATATAAAATAAAATAAAAACAAAAATAAAAAAAGAACAAATAAATAAAATAAAGTAAAATAAAATAAGATGCAAACAAATTAAAAAAATTAACAAAATAGTTTCAATTAAAAAAATGAAAAAATAAAATTTTAATTAATTAAAACAAACTCTACCATGACTTTGAACATGAATTGTGGACAATTTTGCCATGCAGAGCAGGGAAATTTGATTTGTTTGAAAATTGCTTGTGAAAAGTTGAACTTTTTTTAACTTTATGTACGAGTATTTTGTCTTGGAAGTGAATGTATGCCGACAAATTGGCTTTCTTTATGACTTTTTTATTATCTATCTATTAAAATTTTATTCATTTACAGTCAATCTTTAAATATGGGATTACAAAGTACTGAGTGAGCTCAATTTTTCGGCGTCACTCAAACTACTCTGTTCAAAATCAAGTGTTTAAATTTAAATTAAAAAAATGCATTTTATTTTTTGTAGTAAAAAATAATAACCATTTAAGTACAGATTTTATGTGGCCGCACTTATCGACCGGCTGATTTTAAGAATATTTATATTATATGTATGAGTATGTATGTCTAAAAAAAAAGTATTAGTATATTTATAATATTCAAGTATACCTGAGTACGTAAAAATCTGACGATTTTCTTATCAGCGCGTTTATAAACTATTAATACCCGGTTATGGTGTGTCAGAGAAGTAAGGAGTTTTATTAAGAATACATTCATACATACGTACATGCTATGTACACTTGACATTCAAAAACGGCACAAAGTTATCTGCGTAACATCTACTCGTATTTCAATTTGGTTAGAGTGCTTGTTTGGGCAGATAGACCGCTCATTTGTTACACTAGTAGTCAACGAGTAGTCACGTTATTTTGATTTTCGGCTACTAGTCCCACCAAAACTGCAATGACTTTATTTTCACCTTCAAAATGTGAATTTCACAGTTTAATTTCATATGATTGGGAAATTAGAAATATTTTAATTATGGAGATTGGGGATATCTAAAAAATGAGTAGAAAAATATACGCTTACGAAAAAAAAATATCCACAAAACTAACGGAGTTTTACAGGAATGGAGTTGCTGTATTTTTTTATAAGAGAATTGCATTTAATTTAGCCCGCAGTCAAATATCTCTGCAGTTAACAACAAAATAAACGAAGGCTCTGACCTTTTTTTGTAATAGAAAACTAATTATGAATTTACTAAATCCTTGGTGCGTTCAACTATAACCAGCGAAGCTTTAAAAAATTCCGCCAAAATTGTTGAAGTTGGATGGGGAAAAAACAGGGTGACACTGATCATATATTTTTGAAACATTTCAATCGTTAAAATTATTGCTTGATTTATGCTTTAGAGTTCATACTTTCTTATTTCTATAAAGCTTTTGGTGTTTTATATTTCAACAAATTAGAAAAAAAATAAATTAAAAATAAATAACGCTAACATCTCTTAAAACACATTCAAAAAATGTCAAATAAAAATAGTTGCCACTCACTACTTTGAGGTCAAAAGATTGAAAAATTAGCTTACTTCGACTTTAACCTCTATCATTTGCCACACATTAACCTCAACTTTAACTTTTACTTCCAACATACGCACAAATATCTCACATGCTTATACCCAGCGAACATGTTTTGCTTGTCATTTCTAAGCATTCACTTTTGTTAAATACATATTTATGCAAGCCACCAGCTGTTTTGCACAGGGGCATGCTGCTCCTATCACTTTCCATTTACTCTTTATAAATTATATATACATTTGTACATATGTGTGCATGTATATTTATATTTGTACTATGTAACAATCAGCAACATTAATTCAGCTCAACCCACGTACATACGAATTTACAAGCCATTCACCACCGCTATAGCTTGCTATGCGCATATTTCAAGATCGCGCGATCACTTTGCATGACAGCGCCAATGTCATTGTCAAGCGCTTAGAGAACTTTCACGAAAGCTTTGGCCTATACGAAGTTGTTGAAGGAAATGTGAAAAAAATTCTAAAGCTTCTTTTTTTCGTTTGCATTTCTGTTGTACCAAGTGAGTGACGTCATAGTAAAGTTGATCGTACGAGTAGCCGAGCACATCAGGCGATGTTTGGCAGCATGTTGTTGTAGCTTTGTTATCGGTGGGAATATTGAGTGATGACTTAGCATTTTTTAATGGAAATAATTGAATAAATTTCTTATTGGAAATACAGATTTTTATATATAACATAAACTCTTAACCAATTACAATAGAAGTATTAAAATAAAATAAAAATATTTTTTTATAACCTATTTCATTAAAGTGTAAAAGAAAAAATTAAAAACTTAACACGATCTTATATAACGGTAAAGGAAATTGAAAATAAAAAACTAAGCTTACATCAATTGAAACAGCGCGACCTTTTTTTCACTGTTGAACTAAGAAACTTTGAAACTTTACGTGCACAGAGCTTGAGCTTTTTATAGGAAATTAGCGCATTACCATAAAAAACTCAGACATTTTAGTCAATTCAATTAAAAAAATATTTATAACGATAATAATAATATAAAAGTTTAATAACAATAATTATTACCAGCAATTTCTTGGAGACTCTTAGTGCGTCACTCGTGTATCTGTTTTGCTTAATTAAAACAACCGCACTTAAGATGGTGAAACAGACGCTGACCAACTTACCGTCCGATGTGGGTTGGATTTATTGACCGCATCTTCTCGCGATCACCAAAAAAAGGGGTCCCTGGTTGCTCTGTTATCTCCCTATCATTGGTAGGTACTCCCTCAGGGCAGCCATAGGGTTGTGGATGCTTATTTCGAAGTGACATCTATTCACCACGTCACGGCAAATTCCCAGGACTTTTTGGGCATTTCCAACCGAACCCTCCTCTCCTGCTGCTTTTTGAAGTGAGCTGCTTATTGGTTAACCAAAGCTGATCTGAATCCTGAAATACAGCGCGACCCTAATGCTAGCCAGAGCTTAGCACCACCATACTAATAATACTAATTTTAATAATTATTACATTAATAATAGTAAAAAACATAATAAGTTTGAAGTTTTTAATTATATATATTCAACGGTATGTAACCAATTTTCATCGAGCTCCTGCTCCAATTTTTACTTCTGCGCCTTGATGTTTTTCCAACAAATGGAGTCACCTACAGTTTATACTAAGCCGCCTCCGAACAGCTGATAGTCTTTCATGACGAGCCTTTATTTCATGTCAGAAGTACACTCGGAGGGGTTGACAATCCTTGACGAAAGGCGACCGAAATTAGGAAATTTTAACTTTTTTTAATTGCCTTGTCTAAATACCAGCATCTAAATTCAAAGAAATATATACACATATGATATACATATATGTATATGAAAATTTTTGAAACGCAATCAAAACAGCCTAAATGTAGGCAACGTTTGCTTTAAAATTTGCAATCGAAAAATGATAAAAATTGTAATAAATAATGAAGAGCTTTTCATTAACTTCCAGAACAGCCTAAAACTAACCAACGTTTTATTTTGAAATAAAATTAGAAAAATGCACTGGTTTTCGGAAATTTTTTAAACTGTACCAAAATATCTTTTCTACCAATTAAAACTTTTTTGTTTTACTACCAAATTAACGAAGTCTACAACTTTGTATATTTTTAGTGAAAATAACTTAGTTTTATATCATTAAGTGGAATTTTAAAATAAATTGAAAATGCCAAAATATAAAAATTTATAAATATTTTTTTTACGCAAGTTTTGGAAATTTAAAAAATAAAATTAAAAAATTTGATAACTTTGTCATTTTGCAAAATCGCCGAATGCTTCTCCAAATATGAAAAAGAAAAAGTTTTGGAGCCAACACCTACAAGGCCGAAAGCACTAAGTATGTAAGATATATATGTACATACATATATTGTACTATGTATACATTTATGTATATATAAATCTGTGTTAACGTGTTCATGTGTGCTTTAAATTAGTGAATGTAAGCATGAGTTTCATTACAGAAATTCCGATTTGTCATTTCGAAAGCTTTCTTTGCCTTTTTATCCACACGCTCATTCATTAATGTTGCCAATTGATATGCCGATTTTTCTAAATGTTCGACAGCTGTGCGTACGGCAAGTAGTAGTATAAGGCAAGTAAGACATACAATGTCTCATATGTACTCGTATGTTTGTATGTATATCGCGTGATCAAGAAAACGTTTTGCTCATTCGGCTTGACGCTGTCTCGTGTATTTGTATAAAATCATATGCAGAGAACGCAAATACAACGTTCTCTGTCATATGTGTGTATGAGCGAAGCACTTGCAGCGATCAAAAGGCGCTTAGCTGTGCGTGCATGGATTCAAAAAGCATGCTAGCACGTGTTTGAAATGTGGGAGCGCTGAAGTATATATGTACATATATGTACATACGAGTATAGTACAAATATAAGAAGACGCGTTGTAATAAAGCGTAATTCTTTTTTATCATATTTAGTCTATTTTTCTTACTCGTACATACATATATTTGTATATATATGATATAAGGCAAACTAAACGCTTCCATTTCGCTTGCCAATATGCGGTGGTAATGTATTGTATGTATATATGTATACGATCAAAGCGTGTGAAATTTATTTATTAATAGTCTTATTATAAATAGACGGATATGTTTGGTAGGATGGGTAATTTTTGTTTGATTGATTAAAAAAAAACGATTTTACAAAATTATAAAAAAATAAGTGAAAAATAATAATAAATTAATATTAATAATACATTATTTGTTTTTCTTAAATATTTACTTTTCTTTGTGTAAATAAGCAGACTGCCTTTGACTTACTTATAAATAAATATAATGTGCTCATTGCCAAATTTCAATCAATTAAAAAATGTCACCGTGTAAAAAACATTATAATTAAAAAAATACTTGGCCAGGCCGTATATTGAAAAAAAGACCACCCTAATTAACACGGTTTCTGATGGTGTTTAAATTTTGGGTCAAAACTTATCTTTTCAATTTTTATCAAATTAATTTTGGCATATCTTTTTGCATCGTCATCACTCAATGCTTATCATAATTAATTTACTCGTATTTACATACATATGTATATCAATTTACGTGTTAAACATAACGTTCGATAAGAACGCTCACTTCGCGTGCATATGTATGCGTTGTTGTACTCGTATATGTATGCATATACATACATATGTGTGAATAAATATAATACTTCATCATTTAGATTATTTAATTTTTTACGTGCCTTGGTTTCATTAAACTTTAAGAAAATTGTAATTGGCTTTTGAAGTGCAATAAATATTTGCTTGCTAGGGCTGTGCGATTAATCGATTATTCAAGCAAATGGATTAATCGGTTTTCCCTTGAACGACTTCATTATACTGCTTAACCGATTATTTTAACTTTTATTTATTTCCATTTCTTTATGCTTTTTTCTAGTATTTTAGCAAGGCGCCTTTATATTTAGTGAAATAATTCTGTGAAAATAATTTGAACTGAAAAATACACGTTTAAGAATTATTTGTAATCAAATGCTCGATTAATCGCAAAATTGGTAAATATTACTCAAAATTTTGATCAAAAAACTAGATACACAATCTTTATTTCTATATATGTATGTAAATTTGACTTGTTCCTAACGATATGTATTGTTATATGATATGATATTGTATTCGTATTCACCTTTAATTTATAACTCACATATATGTACATATACTCATACTTATTGTATATCTAAAGATCCATCAACTGCAATCAATGCCGTTAGGCCCTTAAGTACAATCAATGAATATCAAATGCGCCGTATAATAGAGAAACGTGAAAACAACAAACGACATTCTCTAGCTTAAAAACAAATTTAAATTTACAATATATATTTTTTAAATTATTATTATTTATTTTCCATTTACCATTGGCTATTGAAGGAATATTCAATATATTTCATATTTTTTGGGCTTTAAACAATCGCTTAAAATACACATTTTTGCTTTTATCTTCATTTGGCACGTTTACTAATATTACTAACATAAGGAAATTCTTCCGGCAACTTCCGAAAAATTCGTAACCTCATTTACTCTTGAAGTTATACAATTATTCAATCAGCTTTTGAATTAGTGCACATTTTAAATAAAATCTGTTGAATTCTTGCATTGGGAAGGAAAGGTGCCTCAATCACTTCCGTCTAGTTCAATAAGCGCGAACCGACGAATTAGCACAAAGTCGTAGATATTTTCGAGAGAGAGACATATTTTTAACTAGTTTTTCTTTAAAAACTTATTTTCTTTAAATGATTTTGTATGAAACTATATTAAATTTCACATTTCGAACCAGCCGAAATTTTAATTTTAATTTAATCAGTCTGTAAATAAGCAGCAACAGCTGATGGAATCACACCATTGTGAACACTTCAGATAAGTAAAATTCACGGTAGCGTTATATTTTATGGAAAGCGCGTTAAATATCAAATTGAAATTAGCTGGTTGGTTAATTTTTGAAACTGCAATTGAACAACCAATTTGGCTCGTAATGCGGACCGGAATTGAGCTGAAGACGTACAGAGTGCAGGTAAAATAGTTTCAAGTGAACTAATTAACGCAGTATGTCATTAAGACCTTTCGCAGCAAACAGGAGACATCTGAGAAGTTTGAAACTACCGAAAATTCGTATTGAAAGAAAGTTTTTAAACACTTTTTAACTAAATTTAAAATAAAAAGGGCTGAAGTACACTTAATAAATACTTGAGTCAAAAGCTCATCAGCAACTATGTAAATATTTATTATATATTGCATTATTGCCATAAACACCTTAAGTGCATGCAATTAGAGGCTGAGTGCACAGTTAATACTACTTACATATATACATACGAGTATTTATTATGGTTAACTGCAAAATTGTTAAAAAGGTTCCACTCGCAATTAACTGTGAAAATAAAGCCCCTCTCCCACTGTCGCATAAATTAGTGGCGGCGACTCTTGCCAGTATTTGCCCCCTAAAAATGGTTGTGCGGCTAAAACTATTCAAGTCCACGAACTTACGTACACGTATGTATGTATGTGTCTAAGAGCTTTTTGAAAGCAAAATAGATATGTACGTATGTATGTAGTATGTATGTATATACAAAACATATTAAATATGTACTATAATCATCTGTAAATGGAAATAGTTAAATATATACAAATAATTATACATACATAACACAAACACGTGCGAGATCGCCACGATCGGTGTGCGTTCGTTCGCAGAGTCAAGCACATTGATTTTTCATTTAGTTTTCAAAATACCGCCAGTGGGTCAATTTGTTTGTTACACTTGTAGGTGGGAAAAGCGCGCTGATTCGCATTTTTTTTTTGGAATAATAACAACCGAAAAAAAAGAAGGAAAGCAAAAAACTCGTGCAGCAAAAATGAAAATTGAAATGTTTTAATGAATTTTGTCTTAATAAAAGTGTTTGATATATTAAATTTTGATTTTTTTTTATGTAATATCAGCGTATATAACAGTGTGGTATGTGTATGCTGGCTTCTGCATATTTTTCAAATACTTCTTTTCATTTCAAATAATATTTTATTAAAAAAAAAAAACATAAAGAACTAAAAAAAAATATTTTTAAAACTAAAATTTCATCATAAAGTGTAACTAAATTCAAAGCACATTTTCAGTAATGTATGTACATATGTATGTATTACAGGGGAGACCGCACTCGAACATATCATCAAATCATTGGAGACTCCAACAATGAAGTGCGAGGGTACACATTTCGATTCCCATGTGCCGCACACGTTTGTCATCTTTGGTGCTTCGGTGAGTGTAACATAAATACAACTTAAAAAGAAATAAATACGAAAAGCCTTAAAAGCTCTTACTAAATTCTTTTACTTACATACATTTGTGTGTAAATATGTAAATTATTTTGCCGGCTCGCAGGGTGATTTGGCCAAAAAGAAAATCTATCCAACCTTGTGGTGGCTTTACCGTGATAATTTACTGCCGAAATCAACTAAATTCTGCGGTTATGCACGTTCGAAGTTAACGATTGAGGAGTTGCGGGCGAAGTGTCATCAATACATGAAGGTGAGTACAAACAAAAGGATGAATTACATACATACACACGCGTACATTGTATTGTACTCAAACTGCAAATATTGGTTTTTCTCTTTTCGAACCGTACAGGTGCAACCGGACGAGCAGGCAAAATATGAGGAATTCTGGCAGAATCATGACTACGCTGCGGGTAGCTATGATCAGCGCAGTGATTTTGTGGCTTTAAAAGAACGTTTGAGCAGTTTGGAGAGCTGCAATTGTAGTTGTAATCGCATATTTTATTTGGCCTTACCGCCGTCCGTCTTTGAGCGAGTCACTGTGAACATTAAGGACATTTGTTTGGCTGAACGGTGAGTTGTTGTTATTGTTGCGATTAGGTGACAGCACTTAAGAGCATTTCGTTTGTTGGGATAAAAAAAAGGTGGCATTATAAATGAATCGGTTTTAGGGGCGCGTATAGAAGTGTTGTTAGTTAGTGTCGTGCGTTCGATATGTAAGGATCTAGTCTGCATCGGTAGTCTCTCGAGCTCCACATCGTGTTCACTTGTCACTTTTTCATTTACCTAATCCCATCTGACCCCACAGATAAAGCCAGTTGGTGGGTATTGAGCTTGTTCAGACACATTCTCTGGTCGTCGCGAGCTGAGTACACATAAAAAGCTAAGTCAACTCTTTTATTTGACTGAAATGGAGCCCATCCTAAGGCATCGGGTGGCTGTTGCTCTTTTTGTAAGCAGACGAATATCGCTGGATTGTGTTTTAAGGTAGTTTTTGTACACGAAATTGCAACTATTATTATTATTATTATGATTACCAGTGCGTGTTGCCATCCGGAAGGTCTTCAGCAGGGAATGTCAAGCCTACTGAGTATATTTCTGACATTACATAACAGGTCCTCATAAAAATCCTTCGGCCGTTCGGAGGTGGCTTAGAAGTGGAGTAGGAAGGAGCGCAGCCTCCTTAGCGGTTACACAGCGCCTATTTTATATACTTCAACTCTCTTGATTTATTTGGAACAAATCGGTTTTGTTTTTTCTTACATGAGAGTGGAGAGTTGTACAGCTTACATAATTTCATTTGCTCTCTCAAATCAGCTCAACCTTCTATTTTTACATTTTTTTTTTTCATTTCAGCGGCTGGAATCGCGTTATTATCGAAAAACCTTTTGGTCGCGACGATGTCACTTCAAAGAAACTAAGCGATCATCTCGCATCACTCTTCCACGAGGACCAACTCTATCGTATCGATCATTATCTGGGCAAGGAAATGGTGCAGAATCTAATGACCATTCGCTTTGCCAATAAAATTCTCAACTCCACATGGAATCGGGAAAATATCGCCTCAGTGCTGATTACATTCAAGGAACCCTTCGGCACACAAGGACGCGGCGGCTACTTTGACGAGTTTGGCATTATACGCGATGTCATGCAAAATCACCTGCTGCAAATATTGTCTTTGGTCGCCATGGAGAAACCCACCTCCTGCCAGCCGGATGATATACGCGATGAAAAAGTTAAAGTATTGAAAAGCATTCCAGCACTTACATTGGACGATATGGTTTTGGGTCAATATGTGGGCAATCCAAATGGCGTTGGTGAGCAACGCGAGGGGTATCTCGACGATCCGACAGTGTCGAACGATTCCAACACACCCACTTACGCGCAGGGTGTATTGCGTATCAATAATGAACGTTGGGACGGCGTACCCTTCATCTTACGTTGCGGTAAAGCGCTGGACGAACGGAAAGCCGTGGTGCGTATACAATATCGTGATGTGCCTGGCGATATTTTCGAGGGCAACAGCAAACGTAATGAGTTAGTTATACGTGTGCAACCCGGCGAGGCGTTGTATTTCAAAATGATGACCAAAAGTCCGGGTATAACTTTCGATATAGAGGAGACCGAGTTGGACTTAACCTATGAGCATCGCTACAAAAACTCCTACCTGCCGGATGCCTACGAACGTCTCATTTTGGATGTATTCTGTGGTTCACAAATGCATTTCGTGCGTTCCGATGAGCTGAGCGAGGCGTGGCGCATCTTCACGCCGGTCTTGAATGAAATCGAAAACAACAAGGTTAAACCCATACCTTATGTATTTGGTTCACGTGGTCCCAAGGAGGCGGATCAGAAGACGTCGGAGAATAACTTCAAATATTACGGTTCCTACAAGTGGATTGGAAAGAAATAGAGTTTGGTGTGGCTAAATCTATGGCAGCAGTGTGCACCTACGTACATACATATGTTTGTATGTATGTAGGGGGACCAATGAATAAGATAAACGCGTAGAAAAGACAAATACTTAAGCGATTGTATAAGCAATTTGAAGAAAATGATTGTGTACATATGTACATACATATTTGTATATTTGTATATTTGTAAATGTACTCGTAGCTTGTAGTTAATGATGTAATGAATGGATTGTGCGAGCGACCTCTGAACTTTGTACCAGAGCATCGGGTATACAATAATACTTTTTGTTAAATGGAATAATGGATTTGTAAATAAAATAAGTTTTTTAAGCCAATTTTTTTTTGCTCAAAATGAAATACAAAATAAAACCTAAAGGACAAGTGTAAAAACTGTTTTTTTCGCGCAGTCAGTTGAAAGGTAAGTTTGAAGTTGAAATCCGTTAGAAAAGTGCTGCCAATAGGAACTGGAAGAGAAAGTGAGAAAGCGCACTCGTTCGGGTATCAGGAAACTCGCTAAGAAGAAATGCGTTGCCAACTACTTTCGAAATTCGTAATTTGCTTGCAACGAACTCAGCCCTGTTTGAGTGCCACGAGAAGTAGTCAAAGGACCTTCGTGCTCGGTACAACACACATCAACGTGTGATGCGGGAATTTTCCGATTTCTACACAAAACTTTGCGAGTGTGGGATGCATGGTACAGTAAAAAGGGAAATATGTGAAAAAATTGATATAAATTTATTAAAAAGCTGAAAAAATACAAAAATATTGTTCAAAAAAAAGTTAAGTGATAATAAAAAGTAAGTTGGAAACAAGAAAAAAAAACAAAGGAAAATTTTCACTAGTGAAAGCGGAAAGAGATGAAGCAAGTAGAAATTACAGTAAAAGGAAGAGGGTGAAAGGTGTTGTTTTTTGGGTGTTGACAGTTGGAAAGAGAAGTTTGTTTTGCGCAAATGAAGGTTCGAAAAATAATATTCAAGGAAGTTTAGTAAAAATTTCAAAATAGTGCGCAAGTAAAAACAACAATAAACAGGTTCAAAAATAAAAACAAATAATAAAAAGTAAAAGAAGTTAATTTATGAAATTATTTTGGAAAAAATCAAAAATAAATTAATATTATTACTATAGGCATTGAACTTCAAGTCAAAAAAATTAAATTTTAAATAAATTTAGATTTATATTTCCAAATTTGCAGGTAAAAGTATTACGTTAAAAGCTGCTAGTTAAGTAAAAGAGGTTTTGAAAATTTTGGGAAAGGAAAAGGTAGGCAGCCGCAGTACGTAAATATGGTAGCTGAAGCATAAAAGTGTTAAAATCTGAGTCAAAACAAATAAAATTGTAAAAGTTTAAAAAAAAAAGTACAGACAAGTGAAAGCGTTTTTTACACAAATTATAATTTTTTTTTTTGGGGAAAATTTAAAAATTGAAAGATCGTAAAATAAAAATAATAAAACAAAATTTTAATTTGTTTAAACAAGACAATATTTTCCAATATCACGCACTAGGGTGTGCACATAGACACATATGTATGTACATACGTTTACACATACATAGTATGTGGTTTCAGTTCCATTCCTTAGAACAAAGCATGTAAAAACAATAACTCTGCAGAAGAAAAAAACTCTCTCGGCATGTGCTGTGCTTACAAAAACAATACGTCCAACAGTTATAAAGGAATTATTTGCCAACCGTCCAGCAGCTAGCCGCCATACGCTACTCACCTAACTTTGCCGCTAATTCTTCCCCTTTTGGCTTTAATACTCATGCTCATGCTCATTTATTCGCTCCTTTTGTTACACACTTTATTTATTTCAATACAATTCCTTTTTCGCATTCGTTCAATTTTCGTTGTTTAGGGTGGAAAATGTGCCACTGACCGTACCACAACAATATCAAATTGTCCCCGTTGTAAGCGACGAGTAGAAGAAGAAGACTTAGTATTCGTTTGCAGTCGCCAAAGGTGTGTGAGTGTGTGCGGAGGAAAACAAACAAAAATGTACAATAATTGAAAAGTGAAAATGAGAAACTTAAAAGTTTGAAAAGATTGAGAAAAAAAATGTTTATTAAAAATTAAAAAAAATAAAAACAAATATTTTTCATAAATAAACTCGCATTTTAAGAATTTCACTTTCCGCCTGTGTGCGTGTTCTTGTGTGCTATGCACCAAATATACTGCATACATATTCACGTATGTATGTATGTATAGGCTTCAATGCTGTAACAAAGTTATGACGGATAATAACTGTATTTATCAGCTGAAAAGTGTTGTGCCAATAACAAAAAAATAGCGCAAAATAATGACGTTTTAACTAAAAAAAAACATTAACCAAAAAAAAAAAATTATTATATATTAACTTTGAGCAGCGTTGGGCGTGCTGTGGCAGCCATCAGCGCCACATTATTTCCTTATTTTCTCCCTGTCACTACCTACACGCGAATACGCCCTGTTCAAACAAAAAGTAGAGTTGACACAAGCAAATTTGCTGGCAGAGCTGCAGCGGCCGTCGCAGCATCGCTTCATAGTTTGCTGCTAAAAGGAGGCCAATTGCTTTGGCAAACATCAAACGGCAAGAAAACGCAACGCAAACACAAACAACGCGAGCAACGACAACAACAACAACAACAACAGCAGCAGCAGAAGCAAACATTTGAGTGCGACAAGAAAATGCATTCCGTGGACGTGTATGAAAATGAGGATGAGCGACGCCATGGCCATGATGACACACGCGAATTGCAGAATGTGGATTGGCCCTTCTTGATAAAGGTGAGTGAGTGTGTTTACAAACAAGTGTTGTTCGCACACATGCATACATACATACACATTTTAGAGAAACGAAGCAGAGCAAAGCTTAACTGGTATTTGAAAATTCTAGTTCTAAACTAGTATTTTAAGGTAGATGTAATGCGAATTTGCAGCATTATTAACGGGAATAATAAGAGTTGCCAACACCAAGCCAGTGTTGTGTTGGTTAGGTTTGAGATTATCGCTATAAAACCTAAAAATTGCGGTTTGTGGCTCGGTGTTCTAAATTTTTTTTTCTTAAGTGGTGATTCAGTATGCATACATTGACTAGTATTTTACTAGTTAGAAGCTGATAACATTTCGTACGACAATGCGGTGCTAAAATACCAGTTTTTCACGTAAGGAAGAAATTAATTTTTAAATAAAGTAACGGCAAACTGTTTGTATTCTAGCGCACAATTAGCAACATTCCCTGCAGGGTGTATATGTATGTACGACTACATACATATATGTAAGTAGAGACTTATATGTTTATTTCCATGTAAAATTGAGTACGCCAACGAGCTAACGAACGAGCGCGATTAGGCCATGACCTGACCACCACTGCATTTTGGAGCAATCCTTAAATATGAACATTTACTCACACTCACACTCGCACTCGTACTCGTGCTCGTGTCTCCATGCATGCGTGCATTCGCTCACTTATGTCTTGCACGCTTGTATGAATGTTCTGAAAAGTTCCTTACTATCATCAGCTATGACACAGCGTTGGTAGTATACGAGGGATGTGTGTGAGTGTGTGTGTGTGTGTGTGAAATATATTGCTTACAGCGTCGATTGAAAGGATTAGAACTTTATAAGCTGCACAAAGTCTGTTGGCTTATTAACTTTTGAATGCGAGGTTACTTGCGTCGCCTTTTCACTGTGGAAGTGTCATGTGACTGCAACTTACATATGTATTGTACATACGAGTATGTACTTACATATATGTATGCGAATTAAGGCTGACAGCACTGAAAGGAATGTAAATTATTTGTCAAGTGATTTGCGTTGGAAATGAGCTTATATCGAGGACGTTCATGAAATTTATAGAAAATAATCTCATTTTAAAATTCCTCTTTGAACCCGAAAAAAAAATTGCCTTTTCGTTAAGCTTAGGTGCACAAATATTGCTCTTTTCATGGATAAACTCGCACTCTGGGTCGCAATAACTCTCAACTTTTCCGAAAATTGTCGATCTTCAAGTTAATTTTCGTCTAGCTTACGTGGAGCTATAACGTTGAATATTTTCACTCTTTCTAGGATTAGGCACCGAGTCGAGCTCCTCCTTCCATTTTGGGTAAGCGGCTTGATATTCTCTCAACAAATGACGGACCTATAATTTATTCTTAGTAGCCTCTGAGCCGCACTGATAACCACTTGACTATTACGATCGCCACTCTATTCAGACAATCTCACATGATCTACTCATTTTAAAATTTTGTCACTCGGCCTTGGGCTCGTTGGGCCATTAGAGTATCTTCCATATGTGTTAGACATATTGAATTATTTCAGAAGATCGCAAGTGGAATGCAAGTATTTCTTTTTCAAGCTCATTCGTCACCTTTTTCCCCGATTTCCGTGAGCTGACACTAATAACTGGCTCAGAATGGGTGCCTTATTTGCCGCGTATTTATAATCTGTGGTAAATTATCCTCCATTTCCCACATATGGAAACCCATAATCTTTGTTTTTCTTTGTCGATCGTTTAAGAGTTTCTCGTTTATGCTACTCTCCCTAACGTTTGTGGAATACATTTAGCTTTACGTAACAACATCGAATCCTCATTATAAAACGTTAAGTTCGATTTATCTGAATGTTAGTCCGTATAAGGTTGAAATAATGTAATCCTTTATTTTTCCTCCGATCCATACACGTACATGCTACTGCGTAAACCGCAATTTCAACCACAGGTTCTCCCTCTTTCTTCATACTGTCTATACCCAGAAAAGCCACACAAGTGCGACAAAGTAAAAAGGACAAAAAAGAAGCAACCGTCAATCGGTGTGTACAAAAATACGTGCAATTTAAATAAAATACAAATAAAAATACAACAATACTGAGTTTATGAAAATCCGGGTTGCTTCAAGAAGACTCGCTTTATTATATAGAAATATCAAAGCGAGACAAAAGTGAAATTGGAATTGTGAAAGTGTAAATGAGACTGAATTGGGGACACTACTGTCTGTTACGTTAATAGTGTGTGTTAACAATGAATTCCTTAAAAGCGGGAGCCTCCCATACGTTTGTCGCGCAATTTCATTGTTTGTTTTATTCTTTTTTCTGCTTTCCTGCTATCTAAATTTGGCAAACATGCTCAAAAATGTGTTTATTTGGCCACGAATCTATTTCCTTTGTGCAATCGGTGTATTTATTTTCGAATTCAAAGCTTTTGTATAACTCCAATGCATCCCTGTAGAAAATCTTATGCCTCAGTTACTCCATAGCCAATTTTAAATGAAAAATTTCCGGTTCTTATTCTTGTCTACAACTTCTGCAGATAGATTATACCTCGTAAGTATATCCAAAACTGTAAATATCTTTTTTAATTTAAGTGCGATCGTCTTTTATCTCATGTTGGCCAAATGGTAGTGGTCATATTGAGCTCCTCCATCTTGAGTTGGCATCTTTGAAGAACACATCTCCTTAAGTGAGCTTACACGTAGAGTCATCTGCGATGTTTGATATCCGAAAAGATCGGAAGAGGATTTTATGACATCACCATTGAGCTGAAATAATTGACAGTCTTATATTTCACCACCAATTCCACCTCAAACGCACTGCAAAGATTGCGTAAACAAAAGGATTTGCAAATACCAAGCTCCATTGAGTAAACGCCGCTACTGACCTTGTTATTCAGTTTTGATCCATCCGTATCAAACTGAGGCGATTCTGTACTTTCAAGTGTTATTCTGTCCGTTTGGTCTCGAATCTGTCGCCAACTCAGTGAAAGTTTTGCACTATCCACATCTGGTAGACGAAACCTTCTTCAGATATTACTATGCCAATGGTTTTTAACTTTCCATTCGGCCATGTTTTGTAGGCTTCTTGTGACTGCATTATATAGCCCCATAATGTCAATGAAGGTTAGATCCAAGAGGCCATTCATAGACTCAATGCTCTACTAATATACAAGAGTGCCGTCTCTGCACTATATGAAATGTAGCCGGAACTGATTTTTTCTCCAGATTACAACTTCAACAACTGCTACTGCAACGTACAGCAGTTTTTAGGTCGGAGTTTTGCAAATGTAGAAGGAGATAAACGCCTTGCGCCACATTTCCTCCGAGCTCTGTGACCAGCTTAATTGCCTGTACGGAAAGGGTTCCAGTTATCTTGCAGACTACTCTTTGGAATTTTATATTTTCTAGTGCCAAGATCCAAAGAAGAAGCGAAAGGACTCCACCTTGTGGCGTTCATCAACCTTGCCTGCGATACTCCCGGGATTTCTGTCCTAACGACCCTGCATCCGAGCATAAAACTTTCGTCAGTTTACCTCTATTCAAATATGCGAAATAAGTGGCACCGCTGTGAATTCTTCTTGAAGTTGGCTGCTATGAACATATGTTTTCGACAAAAATAGCAACAGACATTTGGAGCTTGAAATTCATCATGGAATCGGAAAAAAAATATTGATTTTATTTAGTTATTAATTAAATTATCTCTGAGTAATAAGCGATTGTTTTTAAGCAAGCAAAGCTATTATATATTATGTTTTCGGGAAGTAGATGAGAGTTTGCCAAGTGCCAGGGTGGCTTATCCATCAGTAAGCTTATATGGAGAACTTTATGTGAGTATAGTTTTGGGTGGAACCTTAGCTCCGTTTGTCAATTTTTTGGCGTTTATGTGCGTAGTAGAATGGATTGTTCTTAAGGCTGCGGCAGGAAAGGAGTACGCTATCTCGAATTACTGTGCTCCTAAATCAGAAGTGGTATACAATCTTTGAAATTTCCATTTATAGAAGCCGCTTTTTGTATTTCGTTATTCCCTTCTTGTGCTCTCCACATTATTTATTAATGTTTTTTGGTGCAACAGCAGTTTACGATTTTTTATATTTTTTTCCTTTTAACTTCGAATGAGAGAAGAATTCTTTATTTTTTGAGCTGCAAATTAGTTTGGTTTTTGCTGTTTTAGTTATTAGTGCTCCATTTATACATTGCCAACGGATATATTTTCAGTTACAACTGCGCTTATTGTTGATTTTTCACTTGTAATACGAGCGAAATGGGTACTTAATTGTTGTTTACGTTGTTGGCCATACTTTCCTTCAAATGTATATATGTATGTAGATATCACGTTGCAACTAACCACTGCGTTGAGTGCTGCCACTGGCGTTGCTTGATTACAAATTTTCGAGTGTCCTCCTCCGACGACCTGTTTGCGCTATGACTCTTGCCAAAGGAATTGACCCACTTTTCGTATGTTTTATATATGCGAATGTAAATAACTATGTATGTATGTGTGTGTACGTATGAAAGTGGCCAGCATTCGCTGTCGCCTGTTGTTGTCACCGTTGCCGCCAACTTTCTCGACGCCAACAGTCCTGTATTGACTATAGCAAAGTTTTTTTTGTTGTTGCCAGCTATTGGTTTGCGCTTAAAATGGTTGCTATTGTTGCGTCTGCTGTTGGCATTTTGCTTTAATTGCATTTAAATGCGGCTATGACGCACTTCTTATCACTTGCGTACGCACATACGCGCATACAAATGTATGTAGATTGGGATATTTACATACTCGTATATGCAGATATGCCACTTAACCCATGTGAAGCGCTGTGGAAACAGAGCAAACAACGCTCTTCACTGTCCACACTCTATAACCCGCCCTTTGTTGTAAGGAACCGCATGCTAACTATTCAGACATTCCAGACAATTATCCTTTCAGTTTCATATATCCCTTATCCGGTTTCCCAGTATCTTTTTATTAATTGGCGTAGGCATCGGTTACCCGTATGTAGCCGAATATACTATTCGTCGCTAACGTCATGAAAACACCAAGTAAAGCCAGATTCTTCTCCGCATCTACTATTTATTAGGCTCTACTTCAAAACATGTTAGTTTTCGCCGTAAATGGTCTATAAAAAAGGTTAAAAACAGCTGGAAAACTCATAATACCAAGACGTTTTTATTATGTCACCGCCATACGCCAGCAAATTTACGCTTTTATAGAAAATTCAATTCCCAATTCTCTATTAAAGACATAAAGTGTTATCTTCACTACAACCTTCTTTGGTTTCGTGCGGGTTGGAGAGGTCATTCTGTAGCGGTTTTGGTTTAAGAATTTTGCTGACATGAAATAAAAGCTCATAAAATTTCATAAGCCGTTTGGAGGTGGCCTTTGGATAAATTGTAGGTCCCTCTATTTGTTGGGAAAACCTTCGTGATGCACACCACGAACTGGAAGAGGAGCTCAGATGAAAATCTGCCCGTCTTCTTTTCGAATTGGAATGCTGACATTTGGCTCAAATCGCTTCCCTCAACTTAATTTTCGCCTCTAATAGCACTCAGCTCTTCTATACTGCTTCTTCTGCCCTTCTTTTTACTAGGCTAACACGTTGAAATAAATAACTTTTTAATTGCAAATGGTTACAAGTGCAATCCTTCCATTTTAGCATATTGAAATTGTGTCAAGTTGATTGATTTAAGTTTTCCATTACGAAGTTGCACGGATTGGTGATCCAATTAAACACATACAAATACACGTATATACAACTGCATATGTATGATTATTGCAAGAGCCTTTTTTAATGGCTTTCCTTTTTTTACATTTTCTTAATTTCTTAGGGTATTCTCGAGAGTCCATCATGCACTACAACAACACCGGACACAGTGACCGCATTACTATGGACAATAACAGCCGTTTTCGGTATCGTTTATGCGTTGCTCGGTGAGTTATTAAAAAGAAAACACAAATACTTTCAAATGTTATAGTTTCCAATATTTTGTAAAAACTTTAATAAATACTCGATTCGAAGGGCCATGAGTTCACATATACTTGTACTAATTATATAACTATGTATATATGTACATAAATATGTTAGTGCTTCGGTCGTGAGGCTAAATTATTAATAATAAAATAAAAATTCGATGACGAGAGAGCTAGTCTCATATTTGAGCTCCTTTCGACAACAATTTTAATAATCAAAACAATTTTAAAAATTTCGATTGCTGTAAATATCGCATATCAACTTACCGACTCTCTCGCTTGAACTCCGCATAGTTTTTCTTTTAATTTCTTTAGCTTTTAAACCTTATTGCTGATTCTAATATTCCACTTTCACTTTTTCTAGTATGCCTAATCTTCATATTACATACACTCTTTCCACTTCACAGGCTATCGCTGCCTACGCGCTGTTGGCTTTCTAAGCGGTCTACTCGTCGGTGCAAATACTGTTTTTATTTTGCAAGACTTTCAAATCACATTTCTCGGCAAGCCAGCAGATTCCGCATTTGCCATTGTAGCAGGCTTAATTGGTGCGGTAATTGGCTCCACATATCCGGTTGCATCGGTGCTAATCAGCGCTTTCGCAGGCGCATTGGTGGCTGGTGCAGCAATGGCTGTTTGTGTGGCCACAATGCCCGATAATGAATTTGGGGTAAGTGTGATTGATTGCATGCGATAATTGAAAGAATAATACACTATATACTTGTATGTAAATTAAAACTGTCGGTAAACAAGCACAAATAAACACTTTCACTTCTTTCTTTCCCTACTGCCCTCTCTTTGCAGTATCGAGAAATATATGTAGCGGTTGCTGGTGGCGCTGTTATTTGTGCGGTGCTGACATTGTGTTGTGTCAAATATGTAACAATACTAACATCGAGTATTGTGGGCAGCGCGATGATTATTGCATCTATCGATTTTTTTATGCATAGCCTAGATACGATAAATTGGGTGAGTTTTATTTAAAGAATAAAAATAAGTAAATAAACAATTAAAGCAATAATTAACAATTGGTGTGTGCCAATTCATAGATAATACTAACTCATGCTCTCTCTCATACATATGTACATATGTATATATTCAAGATTTTAAATATGAAACCTAATCCGTCGCCACCGCCGTGTTATGGCGGCATTTTGATTTGCTCTTGGCCGGTTGCGATAATCATCAGCATAATGGTGCAATGTTTTATCACAGCCTGGCGTGTGGACCATCGCAAGCGCGTCTACCAACGGCATCATCATCAAATGGCGCGTTGTGGCGCTGGCGGCATTGCAACGAATCGCATGAGTGGACGACCGCGTGAAACGCGTGAAGAGGCAAGTCAGCGCAAGTATAGATATCTGTATCAGGTACGCACAGCGCGTGGTGATATTATTTCGCAGGTAAATAAAACATGTTGGCTTCACTTATTTTGTCATTTAATATTATGATGCTGATTGGATGAAGAATAGTGCTATTGTGAATTTTAGTTTTTTTTTACTTACTCACAATAGTATATATTGAACAGTTGTTGCATGAAAGTTGCACAAATTAAAATTGTGTATGAATTATTAAAATAAGTGGAATTATGTGTTGAATTGCTAAAAGTTAAAAAGCAATCAAACATTAATGTTGGATAATCAGCCAAGATTCCAATGCAACTGCTCAGAAGTTTTTTTTTAATGTAGACTCGACTCGAATTTGTGTTTATGCATGTAAATATTTTTCTTTACAGAACTTCGTGTCCGCGTTGCAGAAGCGCATACAACTCGGCGGCACGGAAACGCCATCGGAACGCTCTATCAAAACAAGCTCCAACGAACGTAATACATTTCGCAGCGATCGCACACACTTCACCACTATACCCGATTCTGAAATGTGTGATAAAATCGAAATTGTGCGTGATCTGGGATAACAAACAAGCAACAGTTATATGTAAGATGGCGCAAAGTGTGTAAGATGACAAAACAGTGAATACCGATAGGAAAAGGAAATGGAAAGTCGGAAATAAGTATGGCGCTTCCGAGTGTGCGCGAATGAGACAAATAGATAATGCTTGTGGTTATCTTAGAAAGCGCGTATGTGTATATGTAGTATGTGCGTGAGCGTGTGCGTCGATCGTTGAGCGGAAATGTAATGGCCGCCATAAATAAATAAGAAAAGTGATACAAAATACAAGGTTGCATTTAAAATTAATGTGAGTCTGTCTGTATATAACATACGACGAAGTTGAAGTTAATAAATAACTATAGGAGATGTGTGCATTCGAAAGAAAATGTTTGAAAGTGATAAGCTAAAGTAAAATGTGAAACCAACACAACACGCGTAAAACATTTAAAGTATGTAAACTAAAAAGGTTGCGAAAATGTCAAAATTAAGTAAATTTCAATAAGCTTTTGGATATAGAAGTTAAAAATTTGTATATGTAACAAAATGCTGAAATAAGATATTAACAATTCAAATAAAAGGCAGGAAGTGCAAGGTTTGACGAAGAAAAAACTAAAAATTATAATAAAATATTTTAAGTAAAACAAACGTATTTGTTCAAAATTTTGTTTCAACTACAAGAACAACACTTTTTTAAGTTCCTCTTCGGAAAGTATAGAAAATTGTATATATGTACGTTTGTATACTATTATTAAAAGTATGACCTACATACATACATACGTAAGTGTAATTTTATAACAGGGTTTTATAGGCTTTAACTTACAAAGTATTTGATTCTTAGGCATGATATTTTGTTGAAACGACAGTATTTAGTATAAAGTTAGTTTAAGTATCGAAATTAATATGTTTTCGCAAAAGTAATTTTATAATAATATTTTATTAGAATTTCTCAGATGTTTTGAACAACAAATATAATAATAGCAATTAGTTTGGCCGTGAGAAAAGCTGGTCGTTAGTTAAAAAAAATTCTTGAAGCAATGTCTAAACATAATTAATTGTGAAAAAGTTGAGTGCAAGTAAACAGAATTCAGTTCCATCCACCGTAATGCACCTACAATTTCTTGAGGTTCATATTATTTTAACACTGCCAGCAAAAAAACTGAAAACGTTTATTCGTAAACGTGAAAAAAATGTCAAATTTAAAAAAAAATGCACACTTTTTCGTGAGAATAAATTCGTTTTATATTTTTTGTATAAATTATTAATAAAAATAAATAAAAACTAATTGCACTCGTACCTTTTGTTGTGACATTTTATAAACTACTAGCACCAAAATATAGAAAAATACTATTTTACTGTAGAAATTTCATTTTTAAAATATATTAATGATTTAAAAAAAAAATAAGATGTAGTTGCTTATATTTTTATATACAAAAAGAAATACATATTTATGTATGTATATGAACATGTCTATATCTATTTTTTATTAAATAAGTCGAATCTACTATGAATTGTTGTGAATACTTATGAAAGTTTTTAGCTTTCTGCTCATACGTATATATATAAATATTTATTTTACTCCATCTGCACACATACATACATTTCATGTTATATTACTAGTATACTACGAGTCTGTACATATTTAAATATGCTATTTCATAAAGCTACTTAGTTCTCAACTAAAATATATATAAACATATATGTATGTATTAAACAACCAGAAGTTAATAAAAAATATATTAAATTATTTCAAATTTAAAAAGTCGCATATACCGTATATATGTTTATAACTAACTGGAATATATGCGAATGCGTAACGTAAACTTAAGCCATCAAGTATTGTAGTTTCTCACATTAAAGTACTTCCATACAGACATAAGTAATGTAAAACATTAAAATTTTTATTTGCAATTTAAAAAAATATTTGTTGTGCATTAATGCTGACTCATGCATACACGTATGTATGACCATATACATACATATTATATGTATGAATATTATATATCAAATTCTTATCATACAAAATTTTTAATTTTATTAATTTTAAAATGATAAAAAATATTTAATGTGTGAAAACTTTTATGTATGTAAATTATATACATCAAACAGTTTTTAGGAAAGTTTAATTAAAACTTAAAAATGACAAAAATGCTCTTTTATGTAAAACATAATAATTAAAAATATAATGAACTAAAAAATATTTTTTCAACTACTTTTTCCTTATATGTCTGTATGTACTCCTTAACAGATTGATGTACTTAGTTTTTAGGAAAAAATATCAAATAAGTAACGGTGAGCGAAAAAAATTGGTATCAACTCTCCATGATGAGTTAATAAGAATTATTAAATAAAATTAAAGTAATTACTTCTCATTATGAATGTACATACATACGTACAGAAGAAAATATATTTAATATTTTGTGTAAAAAAATTTAATACATACATGTATGTGTGTTGATCCCTTACTCTTATATTAGAGTTTAATAACTTTATTTGATCAATGTTTTAAAAAGAATGTTTATACATATTTAAAATAAAAAATTATTTATTTTTTTTTTACTACAACAAAGATTACAAAAATGCCAGTAATAATATATAAATAATAAAAAATACCAGAAAAAAAATTATAATAATAAAAATATGTAAAAACATTTAACTAAAAAAATAATAATATTGTGAGTAAAAAACAGTTACGCGCAAAAACGGTAGTACAAAGTGAATTTCAAGTAATTCAGTTGTGCGAAAAGTGTAAACTAATTGAACGGAATGTGTTAAAAACAATAATGATTACCAATTGAGAGTATAAGTTAATAAATAAAATAATAAAAATCAAAATAGAAAACGTGAATAATTTGTTGCTCTATATAATTTTTGTAAAAAATTAATTCTACAAAATTATATATTTTCCTCAATAAAGTTTTCAGCATCATTGAGTTTTTTCATAAAGTATTTTTAAATATTTTTTAGTTTTGATATTTTGACTTTTGATAAAAGTTTTTTCCCCTACTTCATATTTTTTTTATAAATTTAAGTATATTTAAGTTTATTTTAATTAAAGCACATGTTTTTTGTGGAACATCCTTTAATCAAATATATATAAGAATATAAATATACCAAAAATGTGTATGTATATAAAATTTTCTTAAATTATATATGCATGTATGATTAAGCGTAACCTAATAGAAACGAAATATTTTTCTAACTAAAAATGCAATAACAAATATTATAACGTAAAGACACAATATTACATATAACAAGCCAAACCGCTTATACAATACATACCAAAGTATATGAGAAGTAAAACAAGTTCCATAAATAATAACAAGAACTACGTTAAGTTTAAACTTAAAAACGATAAATAATATAATAGTGAAAAAAAAATTAAAGCTAAAAAACGGTAATTATAAATAAAAATAAAAAATAAAAAAAATACACAACCGGTATATATTTGCCAAACAAAATAGAGATGAGCAAGAGTATAAACCAATAATAAAAAAATTTAAATATATAAAAAATAGGACAAAATAAGGATATAAAGCAAATAATATAATAAAAATAATTTTTTGTAATATTTTTTGTTGAGATATTGGCCTAAAACCTCAGCGATTACAAGGCGGTTATATATGTACATTTATGACGGCCATATAAATGGTTGAAAAAATTAGCTGAGGGGCGGTAAACAAATTTTTTATCGGTACAGAAACTAAACTGATAAGTTTAAATGTTTTGAACTCGAATCTTAAAAATTTATTTAAATTAATATTTACCTTTGTGTACATATATGTAGCTACATATTATTATATTTTAAGCTGCATATGGAGTATAAAAAAATTAATAATAATAAAAAATTAATAATAATAAAAAATAAAACTATTTAAAACCTTAATAGCGAAAAAAAAATTAATTTCGTTAATAAAGACACACACAATGATAAAGCAACATTTGAAAATTAGAGGAAAGGAAAAAATAATAAATACCATACGTTTTTGCAAGCATAACATTTGTTTAGTAAATTTTTCAAAAATAAAATATTGCATTTAATTTTTTTTTTCATTTAAAGAGATATACAAGAAAATTTTAAATTTTTTAATTGCAAACAAAACGATGTTTATCTTTATTTTGATCTAAAAAAAAATGCCAAAATTACTGTAAATATATATAGTTACACAAATACATATTTCAACACAAAACTATTGCGCGCTTGAAGAGTGCTGAGGTAAAGCATAATAATAATTACTATATCGTTTATTATAAAAACTAAGTTAATTGCGAAATTAAAATGTGACACACGCCAGTACATAATAAAGCATACAAACATATATTATACTAAAGCAGACTTGATTACCTTTTCCTTAATATTTTTTAAACACAGGTAGATAAGAAAGAGTACACATAAATATTTATACGCATAATTTTGTTGATATTTTTTAATTATTTACTAAGGAGGAGTAAAGATCGCAGATCTATATTTGTTGTTATTGATTTATTTTAAAATTTTTAGCTGTTTTGATTACGCTATATATCGACATGTGTATGTTACTTTAACATACTTTATGAAGTATTTATTAAATAAATATACATATACAAAAGTCTATATTTCCTATTACATTTAACGGTATTACAATTATTTATAATTAAATGCAAATATAAACTAAATTGTCACACATTTTGCTACTACACTTTGGCTCCCAATTACGATTAGTTGCTACGCGATGGCAAATAGAAAAATTTACGTAGTGTATAACTCGAAATGGGCATCATTACCTCATTTTTATTGCCACGACGCTCGCTAACCTTACGATTCACAGCGATCAATATGTCGCCAATATGACGCCTAAGGGAAAATTTTAAAGACACAAACGGTAATAATTTAATAAATTTATATACGCAATCAATTACTTATCGCCGAAACGATGCACAGCGTCGCACAATTCTTGTATGAACCAAGTGCCTTCAATCGTATGACGCATTGCCGAGTAGCCGGGCACGGTGGACATGGCCTTTACCAAGTCACCGAAGCGATGCGGATCCATGTACAGTTTCCGTCGTTCCTTTAGGATTATATAAGTGGTAATTTCTTGCATTTAATTTATATTACTGGATTGTTAATAAAAAATAATCTTACATTTATTGGTGATTCGTCCTTTTGGCATGCTTGTATGATGAGCAATTTCGGCTTGCCCAGAAGCATATCACCGGTAATTATATGTTCAATTTCAACGATTTCCACGGGTATACTATTACTGCCGTATACCGAGCCTTTCCCATTTAAGAGATATGTATGTATGTATATAAAATCATAATTCAAATATTACTCACTTTTATACTCACCATCAATTCCATGCGAAAGTATGCACACAATTAACGAATCGAATTGGAAAGAAAGCTTCACGGTTTCCCGTATGCGATGCATCATTTCGATATGTGTAAGATTCTCGAAGACTTGTGGCCGATAACCAAACTGTGTGAAAACTTCTTTCAAGCGTTCTTTGTCCATATTGGAGCCATCGCGTGGTGAAAGCGGCTTATTTGGCAAATATTGCTTGATAAAAGATATTGAAATTATTAAAACAAAATATTCAATATTTTCTGCACATGCATGTAACTGAATAGAAAATTTATACACACAAAAAAGTTCTCTTTTCTTCATAAAACAAAACAAAACAAAAATTAACGTTAATCCCAAAATTTCGGAAAATAATTGTTTGATAATAATTTAATAATTACCTTTAATGAGGGATCGGTCTCTCGAAAGAATTCGAGTTGATTTATAATGAGCAGAATACCCGCTCTCTCGCGCCGCACCTCATATCTATCACTAATTGTCAAATCACAACTGCGTATGGAGGTAGAAGTTGCGCTCTCTTTTACAGGCTTGTATATTTGTTGACTGCCCGACGCCGCAGCTTTATTATCCGTACTGATTTGGTCAGCTGTCGTATTTCGCATGCCACCCTTTTCCGCATTGTTAACAATAGTTTCAATGAGTAGTGTTTTTAACGCATCCATATCATTAAATTTGAAAAATTCCAGCAGTACATCAACATCTGCACCATTTGCTACGCGATCCCCCAAAATGATAATACGCCTCGAGATCCAATCTAATAAAAATATTTCTAAATACGCAAAATCATAAAATCGTAAATGATCGTCGGATCCTTTACGTTGTTCATTGACGCGTAAAACTAATTGGCCAGCTTGTGCCGGTTTGAGACGTTCACAGACGCGATATAAAGCTTTCAGCAGCGGATGTATATGCAGACTCAGCTCTCCAATGTGTGGGAGGTAGTGTTGATGCAACTCATTCCAATCGAAGCCCAACTTGCGTAGAACCCGGCGTGCTCCAATAATTGCCAGCGCTTCCACAAGTTGAGCACGCCAATTACGTGGATTAACGCTGATATATTTGGAGAGCAAATCAGCGCCGCCACAACCGCCAGTTTTGTGCGTGTTGGAAAGTATTAGCAACTAAATATTTTAAAAATTTATACAAGTTTATACCTTTCAACAAGAAATTAATATATTAAAGTGTATCGTATTACCTTTTGCAGTGCAAATTCAGCATTAGTGCGATCATCGCCGAAGAGTAGGAAACCGAGAGATACCTGATGATTACAATAATGGAAAGATAAACAGAACCTCTATGTTCCCGGCAATAAAACTCACCAATTCATAAAAACACAGATCTTGCTCAACATATTGCAAATCTTCTACATGAATATTATTCAACTGAGCAACTAAGTTAAAGCCTTGGTGTCCTGCAGATGCCATGAATAAGCAGTTAAATATAAAATAAACAATGAGAAACAATGCGCTAAATTGCAATATGTTTGACTAAAGATTATTTGACATTAGTTTTGTTCGTTCTGTTATCAACTTATGCAAACTTGTATAGATTAACAATTGTTATCTATAATATACATATATCGATGTTGTTGCATATAATATTTTTTATGGACAATTCATTAATATGTTTGGGTGCTCTTGACCAAGCAGTCGAAGCCAAGATTTTTCGTATCAAAAATATGTTAGTTTAAATGATATTAGTCACTGGATAATTCTTCGTTTTTTCAATCGAACACAACTGACTCGAACAGCTGAAAGTCAGCTGATTAACTGTCAGGGTTGCAATCATTCGTGTCTGGATGACAAAGATTTGTAACAAAGAGCGTATATGAATATGAATTAATATACGTTCTTTGCCATTAATGATAGCGAACAAAAAAGCGACATTCAGTTATTTATCCCAAGCAGCAACGTCTCAATTTCAAAATGCATGCAAGCAAAATATCAAAATCAATCACGTTTTTCACGTTGTTTTCATATAATGATTCGACAGAGTGACGTCACACCAGAGCAGCTGATTGTCAAAATATACAACAGTGAGTAGCTATAATGTGATTGGCGCAATCTCCGCATTTCATCCTTCTTGCATCGTATTCGCCTTTCATTTGCTTATTACTCGATTTGTTTATAAACAATTTATCATAAATAAAAATTATTTACATGTAATGTTTACAGAAGAGGAGGTGGTAAATAGTTGTCGTGTTTGCAGAAGCCCCAATCAAGATGGAGATTACGAGTGTTTATATGCTGTACAGGTAGTTGAGGAAGATGGTGTGATTCAGGCGCACACATGGCAGCTGACCAACACAGGCAAATTGTATGAGGATATGCTCGGCGTTGAGGTAAGACTTTCTTGTTAATATTTTGTAGCTATATGTGTATTAATTCTCGCATTTAGATTGATGCAGCAACTATGGAAATATACCCTCAGTATCTATGCAACAGCTGTGATTTACAAATGCGGCTATTTCGCAAGTTAACAATGAGAGCACGACGCACACTTGAAGAGTTGGCAAAAATGTATCCCCCAACTGATATTAAGACTTCTGCCGTCTCGGAAGTACATGAAGAAACAGAAAATGCTATATTGGAAACACCAAATACTTTAGACGAGGAATTTTTGGAAAACGAAATATCGACATTGGACAATGAAAGTAACCTCATGCAATCACTGCTAGCTGAAACAAATCTACAGGCACAAAATAATTATGAAGATATCAAAGCTAAATCGTATGACGCGTCACCAATAGAAACAATACATTTTGCCCACGATACGCCGACATTGGAGTCAACGATGGAAGAGGCCGATTCAAAAGAATTTTTAAATGACATACAAGCAGTTTCTTTGGATAACACTGAGATGAGATATTTTGAAGAAGACCAGGAAGCGTCGATGCAACCAACTATGATTGCTAATCAAAAAACCAAGCAGGAGAAACGCAGAGAAATCGAATTTGTTTCGTTATTTGAAGAGCACATTGCAGAAGATCAAGAACAGCAAGCAAGAGAAGAACCAGTAGAATTCTTTGATGTACACTATTTGGAAGACACATATAGTGGGCTGCCAATAAATGCGCTGGAGAGACCAAAAGTCTTTGGTGATTGCAATGGTGGCAATATACGACGTGCATACGAATGTAAGGCATGCAATCTGGAATTCCTGCGTCGCACAGATTTTCTGCAACATCGGTTAGTATTATATTGGCTTTCTTATTTGTGTTTTATTTTAATTTTTTTTTTTTTAATTTTTTGTTTCATTTCTCGCAGCAAATCTGTGCACGACAACAAATTTCCATGCCCCCTCTGTTCGAAACTGCTGCATACTAACGATGCGTTGCGCGTACACTTGCGTCTGCATGGCGGTGAGCCAGCCTATAAATGTGAAATTTGCCAGCGTACATTCAATCAAAAAGTGCATTTCCGCTATCACATGGATCGGCATAATAATGTACGTAATTTCAAGTGCACGCAATGTGAGAAAGCATTTCTCTCCAAACACGACCTGACAGTGCATACGCGCACACATACAGGCGAGCGGCCATATGAATGCGAAATTTGTGGTTAGAATATGATGCATATACATATATGGATATATATATATATTAACATGCTTATATATTCTTATCCAAAAGGCAAGGACTTCCTCATACTGCAACACCTTAAAATGCATCGCTACTCGCATACAAACAAATCCTTTGAGTGCCCTGAATGCAAGCAAAAATTCATATCACCATCCACGCTGCGCATACACCAACATACCATACACGCGGCTGAACGCCGATTTCAGTGTGAATATTGTGTTAAACGCTTTCGTCGGAAACATCATTTGATTGTAAATATATTAGTATTTGACTTTTATAAATATTAGCATTTTAACTTTTTCACGTTGCCTACTTTCAGGCGCACTACCGCGTACATCAAAAATCTGAGATGGATACAAACAATTTTGATGACTACGTCGAGCAAGGCGAAAACGATATCGATATAGATGGCTATCAAATGCCAGCGTCTGATGCGCAAACGCAACAGTTAGCAGTGATAAAGGAAGATGAGTGCGAATATCTGGAAATCAACGCCGATGAAAACATCGATAATATATTAGTCGTTGATGATGACGACGAGGCGGCAGATAGGCAAGCCTTATATGGCGCTGATTACGTGATAGGCGTGGCGGAAGAATGTAACGCCAATTTGACATTTTAATTTATGTACACACATACCTTTATATATTTAAAATATTTAAAAGATTTAAAAATGGCAATTAATTATGTATAATTTTAATTTTAATTATGGTGTTCTTATTGGGGGTGGCCTTAAATAAAAGCTTGTAACTAATACAAAGACAAATACGACTATTGAGGTTAGGTTGCCTTGGCTTCGGTACGAATTTGGCAAATGATGATGCGGGATATGCAATACAGCTACGAGTGCAGAAATTAGATGCAGCCAGCCCGTAAACGCCGCTTCGTGCCCAGCCTTCAATGTAAATACGACACATTTGCGAACAAAACCTTATTTATAACTCATTTTGTGTTGGCTTATTTACCAGAGTAGAAAAATTCGAATTATGGACACTGTTAAGCAAACCTTAATTACGTTTCCCATCATACACCTTGTGTATAGCGAAAGACAATACATATCACGCAATTTTTTGTTAATTTGTTAATTTATATTTTTTAATTTTTTATTTTTTGCTTTTAGTTTCGTTTTTTTTTTTAGTTTTTACGTGTATATATAATTTAAATATTAGATGCTACTAAATACGTTTCTCATTCATTTTTAAGGAATTCTTCTTCTACATCATCTCCTTTTCAACTTCATTTAATTTTTATGTATTTATTATTATAATTTTTTGAAGCACTTGTTCTTTTTTTAAGATATAACATAAATTTTTTTTTACGCCAGACGCGTTAAGCTTAGGAAAATCAACAATACGGTAAATATATATTTATGTAGACTTGTTGCTGTTGCTATAATTGTTGCAAACATTTTTTTTTAAATATATGTATGTATAATTGTAGTAGCAGTAGTAATAATTACTCTTATACATATTACATAAAACAAAGGTTTTGAAATTTTTTTTTTTTTTTGAAAATTTTAATTTTTCCTTTTCAAAATTCGCTAGTCTTTTATATGTGTTTTAGTTTTATTGTTTTCTTCTTCTTCTTCTTCTAACGCGTATATACTAGTAATTGCGCGTGCAGCTAGCTTAATATATACGAGTATGTACATATTATATATAGGTATGCAAATTTATATAATTAAATTAAATGCGCTACTCGTTTTGTTCATTTTTAATTCTCATGATTTTGAGCAGCTGTGTGGTTTGAAATGGTGGTTTTGTAGTAGTAATTATTAGTATTGCTCTTGGTGGTGTTTTTTTTTTTGTTTTGAGCAGCTGTGTGGTTTGAAATGGTGGTTTTGTAGTAGTAATTATTAGTATTGCTCTTGGTGGTGTTTTTTTTTGTTTTGATTTAAATTTGCTTGTTGTGCTACGCTTTTTCTGCATATTTTCAAGTGTTGGGAAATAGAATTTTTGGAAATTTCAAATTTACATGAAGCAACTATGTATATGAAGTTTGGGTATTCTGCGCATAGAAACAGCGAAAGTTACGCGCAATATACATATAGATTTAACAAAACTGTATTTTTCGTTTGTATAAAAAAAAATAAATTCAACAATAAAGGAATTTATAACTAATTATTAGAAATTGAATGAAGTAAAGAAGGATGCGGAATGAGTAATGTGCAATTGTGTGTGTGTGTGTGTGTGTGGTTCGTTGTACAGCATCTTTAAAAAATTAAAAAGTTCCTATAGATAATGAATCCTCTATAACAAAGATTTGCATAGCATAAGCATATGTATAGCTAATTTAAGAACAGTTTTGTGGTAGGTATAACGGTTGCAAATCGAAACATATTTTTACAATTTTGACAAACTATTGTTTCTAAAATTATTAGTTTTTTTATTCTCTCTTTTTTTAAATCAATCGATTTGAAGATTTGTTGTAAATATCTTTGAAATTTTGTAGTTGCTTTTTAAATTGAAGAATTTTAAAGGTAAACGACTTTCTGCCTGCCAGCCTGCCTCTGCCCCAATGAGTGATATGACCAACATTTACCAGACAAGGCACACTAATACTTTTTTAGTGGTAAAATAAAAACTTAAAATCAAACAAATTTTCTTTCACACAAGCATTTAGGTATGTATGTTTGTATGGAATATATATTAAAAAAAATTTAAATTCAAAAAAATAAATAGCTTAGAAAGAAGGTAAAAGACAAAAAATTATTATTATTAATATTATAATAAGTATTCAACTTCAACATCATCATTATCATCAACATTTTAATCAACGCCTGCGCATCCACACCGCTAAACGCATAGCAAACGCTTAGATTTAGCTAATGTGGGCCATAATAGCAATGGCGTTATAGCTATGTATATGTATGTAAGTATAAAAGTGTATGTTTGTTTGCTGCGATGTGTAGTGTGGGCGCATGCGCAATGGGTTAGATGGGGTAAAAGTAGTATGTATGCAAGCAACTGTGCGCAGGCAATGTATGGCGAAAGGAATATTTCAATAAATGTGCAGAATTTTTTTTTAGTATTTATGATTTTAGAGTTATCATGTATGTGTAAATTGTTACTCCTACCGATGATGATGATTTAAAAATAATTAGTTTTTGATGTGAGCATGAGTATATTTAGTTTTCTCCCTCTCGCTCTTACTAAAACACCACAATACAGCGTTACGTCTATCAATCTTGTTAGTTTTCCATTGGAATGGTGTTTGAGGGTGTACGATAACAATTTTTTTTTTTTGCTTTTTTATTCACATTGTGGGTGCGTTAGTTTTTGAAGGGAGTATTTTTGCTGCTTATTTTGTGTCTACATGTTGCTTATTGTTGTTGCTCAACATCATAATTTCTGCTTAATTCTGCTTTTTCTCTGTTAACCATTTAGCACTGCTATGCCTGTGCTTGCAGGTTTTCTAGTGTCTTCATTTACGTGTATATTAATATCTTCAAATACATATATGTGGTTGTTTTTGTTGTTGCTTTAATTGTATACTGTGCATATCAGTTTGTTTTCTTTTTTTTTTTTGTCACACATTTGCATTCAATATCAATGCTTAGCGTTTGCCGATGGTCGGTTTAACGGTGCATGACAACATCTCCTCCTTGGCCATTTTAGCACGGAAATCAGCCATCAAATCTCGACAGCCGCTGGCCAATTCTGCAAGTTGTGTGAAAAGCGCCTCGCCCTGTTTGCAATACGCGTCCTGATCGTAATCAACATAATTGGTTAGATCATAGAGTCGCAGCGACTCAGGCAAAAATTGTGACAAAAACTCATTGACTATTCTATGCTGATCCACTACCATTTCTTCGGTTTGTTGCAAATCGGAAATGGCTGCGTGTTGCACAAGCAACTCATCAGACATATCGTGCTCCTGTAAAGTTAAATGTAATCGGTCAAAATAGTATTTCTATGTGCAGTAGATTGCAGCCAAAACTTACACTCAGTGATCGCAACAACGCCAAATCGTTCTCCGACATCTGTCCATTGTTTTTATTGTTGTTATTGTTATTGTTCATATTATGATTATGCGAACGATTATTCTGTACGACCATTTGATCTTCGTCCTCCTCCATAATGGCATGCTCACCATCACCCTCACGCATCATATCAGGCATATCCTTAACCACAAGCTCCTTGACACGATCCGCATAGCGCAGCGTATTTAGTGTATGTTCGCATGAACTTAAACCCGGCGATATCATCGCAATCATGCACGTCTTGCTCTTCTCACCAATAAATGAATCACGCAATACTTGTGTCAATTTCGAAACACGGAATGGCAAATGTGCCGACTGTTTACCCAAAGCGCGGATGCACTCCTTGAGCGCAAGCAATGACTTATTAATTTCAGCGCCCTCCATACGTGTCTGACGATTGGCCGAAGATGTGTCAGCACCACGCTCATTGCCAGCCAAATCGATAAATGAGAATTTACCATGTATTTTGGTTGAACCAGGCGGACGCAAGACAATCTGGAAAACAGCATGCGAACGCGATGAATTCGAGTTGGCCGACGTTTGTCCGGAGGTACGCGCCGTATTGCCAAGCTGTATAATTTTGAGTACTTCCTCGACGCTATCGACCACTTTCTCAGTCAGACCGACGACTTGCACTTGCTGTTTGCCATCTTCGAGTACGCGCAATTTTTGTTTGTCGGAGAGTAAATCAAAGACCTAGTAAGTAAGTGGGAATATTAACAAATGTGTATAAATCATTTTGGATTTGAAATTTATTTTAACATACATATACATACATACCTTGCCACTGTAGATCTCAAAAAAGCTAGCGGATACAACCAGATTGAGCGCGCGATAACGCGGACTTTTCAAATAAGTGAAAACATCGCGTGCTGCCATTGCATAAATACCATTCTTACAGTCCTGCACTTTGCCATTGAACTCACCGCCCATGGTATGTGTCTTGCCCGAGCCCGTTTGGCCGTAGGCGAAACACGTCGCCATGCCACCATCGAAAATTGTCTGCACTAAAGGTTTAGCAGTGTACCTGTTTTAGGAATACAAAAAAGGACGTAACGTTGATTAACTTTGAATAAAAATGCATTTTTAAGTAGGTGTAGGATTGCATAGAGCTAAATGGCGAGTACTTAGTAAGTATAACGACTTGCGATCTTTTGTCTTGAATCGTTTGTTACTAACTAGTTTGAAACCAAAGTTTAATCTCGTTGAATGGAGTTTAGGAATGCAACTTTGTGCATTTAACGGAAACGACAGCTGTATAACTATTTTATGTGCAATTTCGGGTGAGAGGATGGATGGAAATTTTTTTATTTCGATACCGAGAAATTCTAACTTTTGATTAACTATTACTTTTTGTTCCAACCCTAGTACGATCGTGAAGTAATCGATTAAAAATAATTGTTTGACGTAATACAGCAAGGGACCTGATAAAGTAACTTACTGCTAGTGAATGAATTTTCTTTAAAAAAAGAAAGATAATAATTTTTTTAGTCATTTAAGGCCATTTGAAGAGACAGTTGTATTCGGCACACCTGTTTTTGTCATCTTAACATATTAAATATACTTTTTTTTAACCCTTTAATATATATAAAATATATATATATATATATATATTCAAATGCTGTAAATGCCGCATAATGGATTACAGTTTTCGATCTCAAATGAATTACACGTATTTATTTAAAAAAATCTCTTTATATGTACATACATTACAAAATTTTGCCGGTTGCAAAGTCATATACGTAAATATGTAGTATATGATCTTGACATCATACAATAATACATTTATGACTAATGAGCAGTTCAAGTGAAGACAAGTATAGCAAGTAACACGAGAGTGTAGAGCAAATTTTTGAGGTGGCAATGCAAATACAAAACACTTACACAAATTAAAAAAAAAAGCAAACGAAACCAATTTTCCGTAACCAAAATTTGCCGCAAACTAAGCTAATGTACTTTTCGTTGCTCTTTTACATGCATCAATTTTAGCAAAAAACTGTTTACCTTGCCAACACAAGCCCAAAAGTTAGAGAACTGGTTAAAAGTGGTTTTAAGCGGTTGCCACGAAGTACATAGATATGTATAAGTATGCATGTATAAATGAAAGATAGTGCTACTGCAGCAATGGCTAAAAAGAAACCACAAGCAAGAAAAATGTTCGCCTCTGGGTGTAGTGCAGCCCTATGAACCCACCAAGTTTTTAAGCCTTGGAAACGAGCATTCACAAAAAAACCGCAAATCAAGAAATGCATACGAGGAAAAATAAAATGTTGCAAAATATTGGTCACGATGGCAACAAATAAGCCTTTTTTATAACTTCTGTGCTCTAAAAAAAATCATGAAATTTGTGTGAAATGTAAGCGGTTTTAAGCTTTTCTTTTTTCTATGCTTTACTTCCTTATTCTGCTTTTTACCAACGTTCTTGGCTTTCACAATACATTAACACGCCCAAATCAAATAATAAAAATTTTCAACTGACGCCGGTACTACACACATATATAATATATACATATATACCTATGCATGCGTTTGCTACGGGTGGAAAAGGAAATTTTGGAAAATATGGTACAAGTTAAAATAATTGCATTAAGCCTTTAACGCCTTATTATTTCTCTAGCCATAAAAAGGCAAAAAAAAAAGAAAGTATATTAAAAGATAAGACGACGCAACGACAGTTGGTTGGTCGGTTAGTCACAACTTTTATGGCATTGGTAAACAAAGAACATATGGAGATGTCTACGTAGTAAGCACGACTTGAAATAATCACATACACATATTCATGCACACAAAACATAAGCTCGGCTGTTTTGCGAGTGTATGAAGGCGCTGGTGAAGTCAGTGCTCCGGCCCAGCTGGCTAGCCAAACAACAACACTTGCTACGTAACTCAGCGCAAATACGGAACAAACGCACACACATGTCTATCTATATACGTTTGTTTCGCCAGGGCAAGCATACAAAATCGCAAATGTTTACAACCAAAGCGAGCAGCAGCAACGTTTAAATAAATATAAAAATACACAAAAAGCCATGCTAACACCGATTGGCCAACTTATTAGATATAATGCTCAATTGACTATCGAATAAGTGTTAGTAGGTAGAGTGGCATATATACCTATAAATACATGCTTTTATACATACTTGTAGACCATGGCATTGTCGCAGCGATCATCGAATGCGTAATCGAAACGGAATTTGTGATTTTCCAGGAATTTCGTCAAATCGACTTTGTTGCGTGGCTCATGCACAATGAGCGTGTCCTTACGCGGCACCGAAATAACATCGATTTCTTTACGTGTAATCTCCTTGCGACTTAGTGGGCGCTTACGTACACACACCGTTATTTGATGATCCTCGTATATTTGCCCATCGACAAGTGGATTAAATTCTAAAGTACTCTGGTATTCACGAATCATTTGGGCAGTTTCCCAATTGGGATTGCCCGGATCCTGATTCATGAGCGCATTCTTTTCCTCTTTGATTTCAGCTTGGCGTGCACGCCGTTTTTCACGATTCTCCTTCAGTCGTTCAACTTCTTTGACAACATAGGAACGACGTGCGCCCACATTACCTGCCACCGAGCTGGATGCTATAGATGATGAATTTCCGGCGCTAGTGCTCATTGCAATGCCACCACCGCCACCGCTGCCACCACCACTACCGGCTGCTGAGGCCAGCCTTGTGGCATTGTTAGTAGTGCGCGAGCGGACTATACCCGTTGTCGGTGGTGGTGGTATATTTTCAGAATGTTCTGAAACAGCAGATGAAGAGAGCAGACTGGTGGCATTGATAGTTGCTCGGTTGGTGCGGTGTCCAATGGCTCCTTGGGTGGCATTGCGCGCGAGGTTAATTGGTGCAGTCGCTTGCTTCTTCGGTTCAGGAGCGGTATTTTGTTCTGGTTCAGGTTCTTGCAGAATTTCCGGATTCAATGAGAGTATCGCATCCAATTCGACTTCTTTGCCTTTAGTTTCGCCGCGTTCGTACCATTCTACGGTAATTGATTTACCAGATTCGTTAATTTTCGAAACTACTGCGGCATGCACTCGACCATCTGTGCGCTTAATTTTAACGCTTTGACCAACTGAAATGTATTCCATTGTGGGAGTTGTTGGAACTTGTCCACTTCTGCGGCTGTGCAGCTATGCAAGTTTAATTTTAACAGCTACGTCTTCTGCGGCCAACTTTGCGGCTTTTAAATGCTTTACTTTTGCCGTTTAGGGCTGTGGTGTGCACTTTTCAATGTAGTGGAGCTATTTTTTGTGTTTTTGTTTCTTTTTAGTTTTTCGTATGCGTTGGCTGTTTGACTGCAATTGAAAGGGCACTTACTGATACTTTACAAATTTTTTTTCGTCACCACTTCTTCAATTCGTTTGCCGAAATTTATCCCTTGTTTTGTGTAATTGCTAACTAAAGTATTCCTATTCTTAATGGTTGTTTCTATAGGAATTATTTCGTTTTTTAACACCTCAGCGTGGGGGTTTCACTAAAGATTTTTTTCCGTTGCGACGATTACTCACTCACTAAGCTCGACTATACTTCTTTGGCAGCGGTTGTGTATGGCTTTTCAAGTAACGACACAGGGAAGTAGACGAGTATAAACAGCTGCGCGGAGCGCGGTGATCCGGCGGAATTATTCACTCGTTGAATTCTTGCTCGTTTCCAAGTGCTCGTTGCTTTTCTACTTCGCTTCTTTTCCTACTTTTTGTTGTTGCTAATGTGGTAATTCGCTGAATATTCGAAATCCAACTGACATTCGACGCTCGTAGCGGCAAATTGGCACTCGCTAGCCGTCACTTATTTCGCTAATTCTCTTTTTTTACTAGTGTCGCTGTTTTATTTTTATTTTAGTTATCTTATTCGATGATTCTTTCAACAGTATGGTCCAATTCAAACACACACAATAATAACGTTCGGAGAAGTTGACGATAATGAAAATAGAAGAAAAATGCAATAATTAAGGATTTTTTTTTGTATAATTTTGTTCTTTTTTCAGAAATCTTCTATTAATTTTGAAGCAAAATGCAAAAGTTTTTTTTCGATTAGCCAAAGAGTTGAAGACTTTATTTCAACTGACAAATATTTTCATTTGATGTGGAAAAATTTGAACATTTGCTGCTTTATTAAGACGTTTTCAATGCAAAAGGTAAATAAATATTGAAAGAATGAAATAAAGTTTGGTTATAATTAGGAAAAAAACATATTTTTAATCAAAAAATCGCATTGAATCAAGGTAACGCGCTTACGGTGTCAAATTTGAAGGAATGTAAATGCGTTCTGCTCACGTTTTCATTCCTTTTTGTTTCAGCATCGCACATTCAGCTGATTGAATTTTCCGGAATGCCGTAAAAGTGTAAAAAAAAAATCAAAAGCTTTTAAACAAATGCGAACACAAACTTTTAACAAACAATTTGATTTTCCCACGCCCAAATTATTTGGCGTGAAAGAAACAAGGCCAATATTGGATAATGCAATGACGGCACTCAGCAATAACAAATCGTTAGCAACACCAATGAGAAAAATGACAAATAAAAAAAAACAGTTCGCAGACAATGGAGGCTTCTAAAATTAAACACCGGCTGTTGTAAAGTCATTTAGCCCTTTTCACTACATAAGTAAAATTTGTTTACAGTTTTTATTAATCACAAAACTAAGTCGATTTAAACTCACAATTATTTTTAAATGATTTTTAACATAAATATGAACAGATGTCACAGTAAATGTTGCGACGGTTATGGCTGACAAAAGCAAGACATGAAAAATGCACGGGTAACTTCAAAAGCAAAAAAAAAACAACTGCTACGCATATGTATGTATGTGAAATGGCAGTTGAGGTGATTGAGTGGAAATTAAAAATATATGCAAAGCATGAAGGTGCTTCCACACATTACAAAGAAAAGTACTTTCAACTCATTCAGATGACAAATGTTTACTTCCTCTTTTCTATCGAAATTTGACTTCGAAATAACCAATTTAAAATGTGATTTCTACTTTGTGTAGTTCAAGAATTTGTTCGCTTCTACGCAAATTTTGAGGGCCCAGAAAAGAAATATGTGTACTGCTAGATATTGGAGAGACTAAAAACTATATAAATATGACGTAAAGTATTGGGGTAATCGCTCCAATAAAGAAAAAATAGTTTAAGAAGTTGGTATGGACATGGCTCGAACCCATGATTCTCCAGCTATTTACTCAGTTGTAGTAAATGCCATTAAATTTAAATTTAGACTCAAAAAACCTTTAAAAGATAGAATTTTCCATCGCATAGTTACCTCATGGCGAACGATGATGATCTTGCCATCGATTTCGACACATTCAAATTAAAGCCTTTTATTTGCCATGTATGACAGTGCCTTAATCGAAATGAGACAATGTAAGAGTGAGAAGATATGAGTTGCGTATGAGCGCATTTTAGCAGCAGCTGATTTGATATATTTTTCGAATGGAAGATGATAGAATGAAGTATCGTAGAAGGAAAGGTATGCAATAAAATACAAATAGATTCGGAATGCATTGCAAAGAGAGTTCCCAAAAAAAGGTAGTAAAATACACTTGTAATTTAAATTGCAGTCATTGAACTTGTAAATTAAATGCGGTAATGCTTTTCGCTCAATTGACTTTATTTTAAAAATTAAATCTGGCGCATTGTAGACTTAGTACTTGAATGCTAATTTTTTTAGGTGGGTTAGTAAAAATGTACATAAATACAGGTAATGCTAAAATACGGATACTTTTTCTATAAAAAAAAATATATAGCCACATTGTAAATTTCATGATTTTCAGGAGCAACCCACGTCTCTTTTAAAAGTGGATTAATCTTTAATATATTGCTTACATATCATCAACATTACAGAAGATATCTTGGAAAGTTTATTATATAAAAGTTTTAAGTGTTTGAATGCCAACTGTTTTAATAAGTGTTTTTAAGATTCCACACAACCCTGTGGCAAATGCATTCGTATACGCGCAATTCACTCATTTTCTATTTCACTCGCTCACAAACTCTTTCGTTATGGCATTTGACGTTTTTGTTTTGTGATAACATTCGCGCCGTTTCGGTATTCGCTTGCCCCCACTATGCCAAACACTTCTTGTTCTCACACTCGCACTCAATACTTTGTGGACTTCAGAAAACAAACACACATACTTCACTTTACGTTGCCTGTTTCACGCAATTGCGTTTTCCCCCACAAGTTCGTAACGAAAAATCAGCAATAAAAAGAAGTACCTGCGTGGAAGATAAAACGAGAGCAACGAGCAAGAAAATTTTCATTTACCAAATTGGTGTAAATTGCTTTGTTTTCTTTTTGCAAATTTCTAACGTGAGTGTGAGTTTTTCATTATCAAAACAGTGCATTATAATTGATAAGATGTTCTTTCGTTGATTTCCATTGTAGCACACTCGCACGAATTGCTAACTTCGATATGGATATTATGGACATACAAGCCGTTGAGTCCAAGTTGAGTGACGTCACGGTGACCCCAATACCCCGTTCACAAGTACAAAACTTTTACAATTATCAGCAGCAACGCGAACAGCGTGAGCAACAACCTCAAATACAAATATCCGCCATACACCATCCACCGCGTGACCGTAGCGGTGGTCCATCTTCAAATTCCTCAAACGCCACAACGGTACTTGACCTGCATCATAGTATATTAGGCGGTGGCGGTAGCAGCCATAAGAGTAGCAACAGCTCGCGTGACCTGTATAGTAAACGTGAAAGGGATTATCACCAACAATCCACAAGCACTTCGGCTGCAGCGGCAGTTGCAGCATTACAATATACACAACAATTGCAGGCGCAACTTGCGCTCCTACAGCAGCAATCGAATACCATCGCTTCACCCGCCTCGACGCAACGTGCCAACAGCGGCAGCAGCGGTAACAATCACAATAGTGTCACTATAAGTAACAGTGTACGGAATGCAGCTGCTGTTGCTGCTAGCAGTGGTGGCAACATTGGGGTTGTTAATGTCGGCAATGGTGGCATGGGTCATGTGGGCGGCGTCCTGGATGTGAGTAACAGCAATGCAGCAGCGATATTAAGTGCAGCACAGTCACAATTAAAATACCCACAATCTACGTCGCCCATAGTCATAACGACACAGACATCGTCCAACATAACAACGCCAATGACCTCCACAGCCAATCTGCCTTCGGCGGGCACGTCAACAGCCAGCAATGGTCTTACCAAATATGCGCAACTGTTGGCGGTAATTGAGGAGATGGGACGTGATATACGGCCAACATATACAGGATCGCGTAGCTCTACAGAGCGTTTGAAGCGTGGCATAGTACATGCACGTATACTTGTACGAGAATGTCTAATGGAAACAGAGCGCTCAGCGCGTCAATGAGAGCAGGCTGTTAACGAAGGTGGCGACGGTGCTGGAGGTAGCCTTAAAGATAGTAACAACGGTGTTGCTTTAACTGCAGCTGGGAGAAGAAATATAATTGAGGGAAATGGTAGTTGTGGCGACACTGTTAATTAGTTGTTTAGTCATTTAGGATTTAGTTTAGTATAATTTTCATTTGCAAGATTACTATGGGTATGAAATGTTTCATTTATTTGTTCCAAAAAAAAAACACATCTTAGTTTCACTTTACTGTTCAATGAAATAGTGCATGCAAATAATTTTGAAAACTACTTAGTGAATTTGTGAAAATTCTTTATTTAAAATAGAAGAAAGTAGGACAAGTGAGCATCTGAGCTTTGCAACAAAGGAAGCGTTTAATGTTTCATTTTTATACGTTTTCTTTACTAAATGTCAAGCGATAGTTGATATTCAAATGAATGTTTTAATTTATAATTTTAAAATAATTTATAAACATACATATATAAATTTTAATAAACAATTTTATTTTAATTTATAATTTGTGTTGAGTTATTTTTTATTTTTAGTTGGGTTTTATGTTTATATAATTTTTTTTGACTTTCGATTACAAATATAGACTAGCTCAGGTTACGCGTATGTATGTATGTTAATATTCAAATTAATGTCGATACAAAACATTTTTACACATACACTAATTAACATAAGTAAGTAAATAGTAATATTTTTAACAATATATAGCAAATATTTAAAGTAAAGTTTATAAGAATTAATTTCAGCGATAACAGCGATATTAACAATAACAGATTCAAGCAAATCACAAACGGAAAATGAAACAATCGATAAATCGATATACTGCCAAGTGGCGATCGCCAGTACCAACGATCGCTAAGTTAAATTTTGGCAGAGTCTGTTGTGCGGAGTGTGAAGAGAATATTTTTATTGAATACAAAAGAAATAACTTTAATTAAATTGTATACGACCAGTTAACAAAGTGTAAACAAAATCTAGTTATTACCTCAAACAGAATGTAGGGAAATTCATAGTAAAATATGCCAAAACAATAATATAGTCAAAATATGTGTTAAGTACAGGGTGTTACAGATAACCTAAATCAGTGACTAAACACAACCGTTTCCGTTGAACGACGGAAGAGGAAAGACAAGCAAAAGTATGTGTACACGTTTGTATATAAGCAGGAAAACCCGACAAAGAAATTCATTAGGGAATTATAAAGCACTAACGCATTTTAGTAAACAAAAAATATACATAGATACATAAATATATATAGTAGATACATACAAGTATAAATACAATATATAAAAGTTTTTATTAGCTGAAAAGTGACTAATAAGTTATACACACATACATTTGTAAAAGTATATGTATATTTCACATGTTTGTTACAAAAAAAAACCATGTATACGAGTTTATACACAAATTATAAGCATACTGAAGAAATTTATAGTAATAAAAAAAACCATAAAATAAACTAAAAAAATATATAAAGCATGTAGATATGTCATACATATGATTTATTTTGCAACGGTTTAAAGCACAAGTAAACAAACTAAACTAAAAAAATTCTATCCAAGACTCATTAGCAATCGTGACGCTTGCAACAGTCGGGATATGGTTTGGTGTTATCCTCGGGTATGATTGCGCAATTCGGTGGCGGTAAAGATGCGGAACAACTAAACGAAATTTAAAATAACTTATTAAAAAAATGAACAATATTTATTTGCAACCTCTTAGCTGATATGCTATCCTCGGCATCACAATGGTAGATCGCACATTCGCCAGGATTTTGAAAACTTTCGTCGATATTGAATTGATGTTCACCGAATACGCAGTCAGCTGTGAAGTGAAGCAACGGATTTAAAAAAACATTAAGCGATCTAAAAATTATTATAATAAATGAAAAATATATAAAAATATAATAAAAAAACATTTATTTTATCCCCACCTGCAAAACTAACGCAACAGTGTAACAACAACATAGCTATGACAGTGAAGAACCGCATTGTCAATATGCAAACGGTAAAGCTATGTATGTCCGCGTTGCGCAAAATTCAAAAAGACACTGTTCAATTTGTGGTACTTTGTTCATTAATTGTGAAATACAATTTGCATACTTAAATCAGCTTTTTAATATGAGAAAAATAAATAAACAACAAAAAATGCAATAATAATAAGGAGGAAAAAATCATAAGCACACGTGTGCAATAAAATTAGCTTGTCTATCGTTTGCACAGGTATATCAAAAGAATAAAAATGAAAACGAAAAATATATTATTTTATGATAATTATTTTTACGTGAGTGTCAGTGGCAGAACAAGAATTTACAGTTAAATATTACAAATGAGTTTTATTATAATAATTATACACTTATAGAGACTTATTTAACAGCGATTCTCAGCAAACATGTTTTATCGGGGCAAAAAATGAATGAAATAAAAAGAAAAAAACAATTTTAGCAGAGTCAACACAGCTTAACAATGAGGTAAAAGTACTTGGTAAGAATTATAACTTTTTGATTTATAATTATTAAAAAAAAATAACAATTAAAATGAAGGAGATTAAAATGTACTAATTTTCGAATGAAGATATTTCTGTATAAGTGAACTTAATGTGTTAAAAAAAGGAATGTATTTACATAATTTCAGATTTAAAAAAAAAAACTTAATCATTCTCGCGGATTTCTATGTTCCCGCAAGAGTTAAGTTGATATCGAACTATTTTAAATACAGTAAAAAATAATTATGCACATATAAACATACATACATATATAATTCTTAAAGACAAGTATGAAATATCTATTCCATCATTTGTCTGCCCAATGCTATTATGGCGAACCTCCTTTAAATCAATTTTCGTTGGCACTCAGCCTAATTTTTTCCAGATCAGACGCATTTATAAAACTGTAATAATTAGTATAGGTGATTGGAACAGGAAAATTGTAAACCACAATGCGCGTATAGTGTTACATTTCGAATACATTTTAACCGCATTGCCCGCATAATGTCAATGCACTTTGCTTTTGTTGTTATACAACGCATTTAGACTTTCTCGACCAAATGAAATTCATATGTATACATTCAATTCACTATACATACATATACACAGCCATATAGGCATATATACGAGTACGTATATGTTTGTATCTAATTTTGCCTAACAAAAGCTGATGTCTTATTTGCTTTGTTTACCCTGTTTCTTACCAAGTATAGAGGATTGAGGCAGTCGCACAGACAAACATATGTATGTACACTTCGTGCCCCTTCCTCTTGGCATTCGGCTGGACTTTATGCATTTTTACAAATCACAAAAGCGTAAAATTCGAAAGTTTTCGCTTTGTTTTCCGCTGCCGCTAGTGTTGCCATCATTGCCGCACTGCATTTTACACATCTGCGCTACATACAAACGTACAATTTGTTAATATTACTTTTTTATATACACACCTTTTTGTTACCTTATTATTGTTTATATTTTGTATTTTTCATTACGTTCATTGCGTGTTGCCATTGCATTCGCATTTTCGCTGTATTTAGGTTTTGCTGCAGCGTCGGCTGCGTAAGCTTCGCCATTCAGTGTAGCACCCATTCGAGCTTTCACACCCACATTAGATATGGTGTTCGCTGCTCTTTGTTTTTGTTTGTATTGTAACTGGTGCTCTTTATCGGCTGACAAACTGTCCGATCAATATACTAGTATGTACATATGTACATATGTATGTGTGTACGTAATATCAACATTGACGCCGGCGACAATGTTGCAATATGTGCGTCACGCATTGCATAAAAGCATTGACATGATACGATAAAATTTACGCAACCACACGCACTGAGCCGATCTAAAATAGTAGACTCCCAACGCTAATATTAAGGAAATTGAACTGTGTGTACTTAAATGGACAGGCGGGTGCTAAGCGGGAAGTGGTCACGCATAAAAGGCAACGAAAATTATGTGAGAACCCAAAAACTGTTGTACAGTAGCGTTTGCATGGGAAAAACTCACTTCGAAGATCTCAATTTGAATTGATGATAAAAACATCTATGAAAAATTAAAATTTTGAAGGAACTAAACAAATATTGTTGCAAAGAAAAAGTAAGAAAGGTAATTGATTACCTACTAGTTCAAATCTACTTATTCTTTTTCTTCTTCTTATTTGGTGTAAACAACCCTTGCTATATTTTTTCTCCGTTTGGCGTAAATTGGAGACACCGTGATAAGCTCAGACTTTTTCACCTGCTCTTTTCCACCGAGTAGAGGTCTTTCTCTGCTTCCACCAGTGGGTATTTTCTTCACCTGACCTAACCTAGCCGACTTAGCTGCTAAATCTCAATTTTTTCCATTATGTCTTCATCGCCGTACATCTCCTTCGCTTTCTCCTTCGCATTCTCCTTCGCCTATGCATCGAGCACCTTTTTCTCGAGAATTCCTTACGCCTGCTGATCGCACGTTGTCAGTGTAAACGCATCAGCAACATAAAGCGGGGCGGGAGGGATTAACGTCTTGTAGAGTTTGTTATTTATGCATCCAGACTTGATTTTACATTTGAAATTTTGCTTCGGACTGATTGATAGTATTGATATTGGTTCCAAAACTGTCTATTTCTTCAAAGTTCTTAATATCAAAAGTGACTTGGATTTTCGTGAATAACCAGACCTCTAATGTGCTCTTGGAATGGAGACAACTGATACTTGTCTTTGCCAGTGGTATACGGTTGGATTTTAGACATCTTTCAAATATTGTTTTGAGCTCTCAGCTGTTTCGTAGTTGTGCAGGGTTAACATTGATTTATTAAAAGCTCTAGAATATGACTGGGTAAGTGTGTTCAGCTCGAGCGATCCCTTGAGGTACACACAAACAAAATTAGTGGCTTATTTACAGCTGCGGTCATAATCTTAGTTGCTTACCAAAACCAGTTTAATTTTGATTTTTCAGTAGTTAAAAGACTTATTAAAGCTAATTAAAAAAAAGCTGAAGCTCTTTGGTTATAAAAAAAATAATAATACTTTTTAGGAAAATCTAATCTTTCAAGCGGTCAAAATCAGGTTATAGGCAATTATCAGGTGTACAACTTTGCTTCCGCCGTTTTCCGATAGGTGGCTGTAACGGCTGAGGCTGCTTGAAATACATAGATGATAATGCCTTTAAAGTAGAAAAGCGGCCACAATATCAAGAGCGACATGACAAAGTCATCCACCAACACGACAATGCTCGGCCTCACGTCGCCAAAGTGGTCAAAAAGTACCTGAAAACACTGAAATGGGAAGTCTTGCCCCACCCGCCGTATTCCCCAGAGGTCGCCTCTTCTGACTGCCACCTATTCCGTTCGATGGCACACGACCTGGCAGATCAACATTTTCAATCCTTCGAAGAATTGGAAAAATGGATTGCTTCATAGCGATAGCGTCAAGAGAGGACCCCTTTTTTCGAGCCAAGATCTGAAAATTGCCGGAAAGATGAAAGAAAGTTGTCGCTAGCGAAGGACAATACTTTGAATAATATATCTGTAAGCACTTTTTCGCAATAAAGGTTTTAATTTTGGAAAAAAAAACGGCGGAAGCAAAGTTGTACACCTGATATAATTGTAGGTAATTAGCAAAATCACTACTAAGATTTTGGCCGCAACTGTAGACTGATTTTTTTTCTATTAAAAAATTATTTGCTTTTAAAGTGCATTTTTCGCGTCCCTAATGTATTTCGTTAAAATCTCTGAAATATAGAAATCATTGTCCTATGTATGTATGTATGTGTGTATGTATGTGTATATGTGTGTATGTATGTGAAACCCATTCCCAATGACTCTCTTTTCGAAATTGAACGCCAAATTCGTTGCACGTCCTACCGAAGTCTAAATACACTTATACACTCACACATCCTAAAATAAGCAAACTAAAAACTTCGCAAATAGAAATTCATGTAATTTTCATGCTATGCGGTTGCAAATTGCATTTTTTTTAACAAAATAATTATACAAAACAAACACACACACAGATAGAGTTAAGTGTTTAACAAAAAAGTGCACGCTTTCAGCCGAAGTGTGCCAACGAGCTAAGCAATCAAGCCATCACCACTACTCCACTAAGTTTAACTACAAAAAAAAAAATTGAAAAGATAATCAAAACAAAATAAATAAATAACAAAAACACACAAATAATGACTTGACATCTGTACAGCAGCAGCTGAGCGCGGAACTTCTAACAAAAAATTCACGATTTTAATCTAAATTGTCTGTTTATTTGAATGCAATGCCCGCAAAGTAGTGAAAATGTTGCTGAAATTAAATTAAAAAAAAAAAATATTTTAATTATTTATTTTGAAGAGAAAAAAGTTGGATGTTAAATAAATGTGTGTAAATTAGAATTTATTTAAATAAAACATGTCCTAGTGTCTTATAAGTTTCAGTAAGACATGAACGGGGATGTTTCATTACTCTTTTATGAAGAAGTTCGGATAGGAACTGCCCGACGAGGCCGATGGATTGCTCGCCGAGCAAAGACCCGACAAGGTGTATGCATTAGCTTCTTTGAGAAAATAAGTTGAGATGGAAGTAATCCCGCGATCTAAGTGTGCGCTGCCCAATCCAAAGAAGGGGAGATCCCATAGACTGCGCTAAATACCGTGAGATAAGTCTTCTCAATATCGCATATAAGGTTCTATCGAGCGTATTGAGTGAAAGACCAAAGCCCACCATCAACAAACTGATTGGATCTTGCCAGCGTGGCTTTAAACCTGAAAAACCTACAGTTGACCAGATATACACTATGCGCCAAATCTTGGAAATGATTCGCGAAAAGGGGATCGAAACACCACCTCTTTGTCGATTTTAAAGCAGCCTTCGTCTAGGCCACTATGGCTTTCGGCAAAACTTATACGACTCCGTACACTGATGTTAAACAACATCAAAAACTACGTCAGGATAGGGAAGGATTACTCCGGGCCGCTCGATGCGGAGAGGTGAACGATGCCAAATCTGATGAGCCGATCTTAGGAGTAAAATTCTAAAATTTATGGTCCTTCGCAGTCGATCGAACGATGAACTGTGCGAGATTTGATATAGTTCCGCGCATAAAGTGGCTGGGGCTACTCTGTGTAGGCCCCATGTGAGCTGGTGGTGATCACAATATTTCCCGTGAAGGAATGTAATATCCAAATGATATGTGAAACCTTGCAAAGATCCACAGAAGCTTTTTCGAAATCCCAACCAACAAACTCCTCGGCGGATAATTAAACAAGCTTGGGCCGAACGGACATTTCCGGCTTTCCGGAATGATCTATTGCACTTTCTGCCACTGAATGTCGAATTAAGGGGAATAATAAAGACAGTTAGTAAGAGGCTAAAAAGGGCAACAAGGAAGCAGTTTCTAACCGAAGCTAATGAATATTTTACCCCTGCGGGTTAGGGGCTCAAGAATTTACCCGCGGTAAGGCATGCCTGTCGTAAGAGGCGACTAAAATCCAATAGTTCCCGCGACAGTCGGGTCTTTATACCGGAACGACCCAGATTTTTATCCGGCCAAGGACTGTCACTCCCGCATATGCCTAAAATGTAGGAAATAAAAAACCAGCAAACACATTTTTCTCCTGCCAACTTAAAAGCGGTATGACGGTAATGGCGCTAGAGCAACAGGTTGGAGCATGGACAAACCGCCAATCATTGTCAACTTTTAAAATGTATGTGCATAAACATATTTATAAATATGAACAGGTTTAGTCGGTTGAGATGTTTCTTTCAACTTTTTTTTTATTCAAATGCGACATATTGGCACATCACCATCATCGGCGTCCGCTCCAGTTTATCTAGCTCTAGCTCTAGCTTTTGAGCGTCACGTTGCAAACAAGCTCATCTAAAGCTAGAGGATAAATGATCATCATCGCTCTTGCCGTCTACAGCTGTCTATATATATAATTGGAGCTTTATAACCGCTGAAGCGATTTTCGGCCGAGCTCTTCCTCCACCTTGATGTTTTTATTTTATGTCAGAAATACACCCCGTGGGGAATGTCAACCTGCCGAGGAGCGACAGCAATTGGGAAAAATAATATTCTTTAATTTGGATGTTAGTGGGACTAGGACTCGAACCCTGACCATCCGAATGGTAGCCGCAACGCTAACCACTCGGCTACAGCGACCACGGTAGACCGTGAACAATCTTCAACATTGCTGGATGGCGCACAAAGTGAACACTCTGCAGATGGGTCAGCACGTACGGAATGTGCTGCCAACGAATTTAGCGCAGCATAGAAAAGAAAATATAAATTTTAAATAACTATTAAAGTCGTTTGTTGGCAAAAGCTGCCTGCACTGCTGCTACCTACAACCATCACACACGTACAGACGTCCGTGCACAGCAGAAACTCGTTGTGGATGCGCGCGCGCACTTTTAGTTAGACGCTTCAATGGTCACATCAATAATCGCATGCCGGACCGGACCGGACCGGACCGGGTCGGTCTTTTGTCGTTTGCCGTGCTCCATCGTTGGAATGTGGTAATGCCAACGGCAGCGAACTGCCAGTCAGCCACCAACCAGCAGATAAGCAAACATCGGTGGCAACACATTTTTGTTGTTAAACATCCACGTACGAGTGTGTAGCATCCCAAATTGTCGGCCAACTGATTGGGTGTATGTTGAGAAATTATTATTGATATTTTGATAATTTAAAATTTTAGGTTTTACATAAGAAGAAAGAAAGAAAGAAGCAATTTCTGCAAGGTTTTCTATGTTTTTCTTTTGAGACTGCAAGTCATCGCTGAAGACATAATTATTTTCAGCGTTAGAGTTGATAAAATTACATAAAATGATTTCTGTGCTTTGGGATCTGGGTTCTGGGTTCTGTAGGATCTGTAGGATCTGTGTTCTTAGACGCGATGATATTTATTCCGTGCTTTTACAATGGCTTTTCAAGAGACCAGCACGACGTTGTGCCCTTCTCGTTCAATGATTTATCATGCGCTACTGTCTTTTTTTGCTGTAATCGGAATTCAGAAAAGTCGGTTCGTCCGAAATTCGTCTTTCTCGGCGAACTATATTACGAGTCAAGCAGATTTTGGGCTCGAGGCTAAAGACCCGCTGGTCTTTACGATCTTTGCCTTGTTTTCGTTGTAATAGGAGAACAAAAAATATCTCATCATTGAAAACTGCGATTTCTGGTCATTTGAAGGTGAACTAGATGAACTTGTTATGCCTTTGATGGTTTAAGCGTTCCAAAAATTCTGTGCCATAGAAGTTGAGCGGTGCGTCCATCTCTGTCTTTATTGCGGCAAACACAAATTGAAGCACATTGCCATGGTTCGGAAGCCTAAGCCCTCCGCCAAAATTTCCTTTTTTACAGTGGTTTTGTCGCCACCAGTTCTCTCGGGAAGAGGTTGTAGTGGAGATCGAACTGCTCGGTTCCTGAGCATTCATAAATACGACGATCTCTCTGGAAGATCGATTTTAGTGAATTAGCCACGTGTTCTTTTCAAATATTTGCTAATCTTAACTTACAATACCATTGTGGTTAAGCGCTTCCCTCATCGTTTGCGTGCGAAAAAGATCATTTACAATCCACAAATCAAAAAGCTTTCATTAACAATTCCATCAATGCTCACAAATATCGCCTTGACTGACTAACGATGGTGGAACGCTCGTTAGAGGTCAGAGACTTCGCACCAAAACAAATGCTTGAGACATACCTATATATATATATACATGGATGGGCTTGAGTGTGCTCTGTGTGTGCCATCATTATCAACGACATATGAATGTATGTACGCGCTCAGCGATTTTCCCAGCAACTAACCGAGACAGCGATCAATGAAACCACAAATATTCTATTGCGACCACAAACGACGGTACGGAAAGCCAAATTACACCCGTACGTGTGTGTGTGTAGAGTTGCATAGAAGTGAGGCGACGGCGTTGCAATTTGAAAGCCATTGCAATTGAATTTCAGTCGAGTCACACGAAGCAATTGGAGCCCGCGCAGTTGAGTATATACATATGTATGTACGAGTATGTATGTGGGTACATACAAACGGTCAAACAAGCAACTAAACGTGCAAAAGCGCAAGAACTTCTTACGCCGTTGACGCGCTGACGCGTTGACGCGCTGAGGAGGTGACGGAATCACCAGAGCTTAGCAGGGCGATGGGCAAACGCGCGCAGTCGAACGGTAGACATTGAATATTGAACTTATAGACGGCGGACAAGTGTTTGTGTGTGTTCTTGGCGTGAGCTTGCAGATTCTCACTGCAACAGTGAATTAGACCAACGAGTTGCCTCGCTGCCTCGCTGGCTCGCTGGCTCGTTGGCCGGTTGTTTGTTTACTTTGAAAAGCAACTGTTAATCGAAAGACCGTTGGACAGTATGGATGATTGACTGGCTGACCGGTTGGTGGCTAGCGGAGGTGCAGAAAAATTTGCTGACTCCGCCAAAGAGAAGAAAAGGGAAACAATAAAGCGTGTATGGCGATAAACAAAATTGTAACAAAACGATAAAATAAAATAAAAAGCGGAGAAGCAAAATTCATAGCAGGATTATAGAGCGCGAACATTTGGCTGGCTGGCGTCGGCTGCGGACGAGCGCAGAAAATTGTAAAGTCACGCGCAGACGTGTAATGAGCTCAGATGCTAGTGGTTGTAGTTGCTGTTGTTGAACGTTATGTATTTGCTATTTTGTCAACGGATAGAAGCAGTTGCTGCTGCAGATTATGAAGTCCTAAGGGAGAAACTCTGTTTTGAACGCGTCGGGTCGTGTGTACATTTAGGCAGTCGTTAGGTAGAAGAGGCGCAAGTGCAGGCGCCACATATTGCCATAGCCAGAAGTGGACAAAGCTATTGGCGGACTGTGTAGCGCAGGCGCGTTAAGCAGCCGTACTAAGCAGCGTCCATTGTGCCGCGTCTTGATAACCAAACACCTCAGGCATATAAAATTATTCCAAACCAGCGGCATGCACGACGAACGCGAGCCGCGCGCCTTGAGCGGCTCGTATAAGAGCGCTGAGCACCATCGTCGGCGTATTCGTGCAAGCAAGTCAGAAGACTGGCTGGTGACTTGAAGTATGTGGCGCGCGTCTGCAGTGGGGCGGCGTATTCGCGTGGTGAGCACTCGGGTGGCCAAAGCGCGCGTTGTTTTTCGTTTCTTTGCTTGTCGTCATTCGGCGTCTTCTCAACAGTGCTCAGCTTGAACGTATTCAACGCTACAAGCGCTCAAGCAGTCTACGATTTGCACGCGATCAACAAACACCGTTCGTCGTCATTGGCGTGATCTTGCTTTAAATCATCATCTTACGAAGTGTTGTGCGTTAACGCAGTGTATTTACGATATACAAACGTCCGTACAAATATACAAAACAATCCGGTATTCCGCGACGAAATCCGGTATTCCGGTTGCACTTTGCATTGCTCGCCCCCTTGAAATCGAGTTTAGCTTTAGCGCTGCAGCCAAATGTAAATACGAAACAACCTTTTAAAGGGTAAAAAACAAAGCAAGAAAATATTGAAAATAAAAGCAATAAAGTGGAAGTGGTTAAAGTGGTCAGTTTGCTTGGCGATTTCTTAAAAAAATATTTTTTTTTTGTGTTTTTTTTGATATTTTTTGTTGGTCTGATCGCGCGCGCTTGTGTATGTGTGCGTGTGTGTGTGTTGTCTGTTGTCTATTTTTTGTATTAATTTTGCTTTTAACTTAATTTATCCGTTTCTGTTTTGTCCTTTTCTTAATTTAATGAAATTTAATTTTTCTCACACACACACACATATATATATATATATGCATGCATGCATACAAACATACGTATAATACATATGTATGTTTGAACATACACGTATGTGGAGCCATCCGCACACACCTTTTCCGCCAATAATAAAATATTTGATAAATGACCGAAAACTTGGCTGGATTGGATTATACGATTTTTTGGATTTCTGTTTTTTGTTTTTGCAGCGTCGCGTTTCGAAACAAAAACTTTTGCCATTTACTTATTACATACACGTACATACATACACACTCGTAAATAGTTAAACTTTTGGTTTTTGGAGTTTTGGATACGTCAACACACCATATACATACATACAGACATACATACAACCGCAAAAGGTTATAGAAAAGGTAAGTGGGACACACATGCTTGCGCCCGGGCTCTGCGAGGGCACTACAAATTTCACTTAAGAATTTGTAGACATTTTTTTTATTGTTTTATTGTTTCAATTTAAAACGGTAAAGCCGTCGGCTTTTGCTATCTGTGAAATAATTGCTGGCAAAAGATCAGGAGTTCCTGCGTTGGCTTGATGTACGAGTCACCCTGTTTATGCGCACTGGTGGCCGCTAAAGGTGGCTTCTATTGTCGGCAGAAATTTCATCTAAAGTTGTTTCTTTATATACTTTCCATTGCTTTACTTCAAATTTTAATCTCCACATTATGTGAAATCGGTGGCCAGACTGCGTTGGAGACATTGGAAAAAAGTCTCTCAAAAGCCTGAATCACATGATTCGCTCTTTCAATATCGGATGGCGAATGGACTCTCCCTCTCTTCAAATTCCTGATGCGTTAGCCGCCTCTGTTTCTATCTCTTGTTCTTGTTCTTTGGGGTTTTTCGATTTTGGTTCCCCTTAAATGCTTGATTTGAAATAGAAAATTTGAAATCACAAAAATGAAAGTTGTTTGAGATATTTCTTAGAGTTCTGATCGTTCCTACAGAATTAAAATAATTTCCGTAAAATTAATTTTCTTTCGGAGGCACTTAATACCCAATTTCACAGCCCTTCAGATCTATAGCCTTTTTGCGATTTTCAACTTTTTTACTTATTTTTCGGTAGCTGTTACGAGAGCTGTTGCCGATTATTTTCGATTAATAGAAGCGATATCATGATTCATCGATATTCCGGTATTCGCAAGGAAATTCAGTTATTTTCAAGCGGAACTAACCTCAATCATGGAAGCCGCTTCGTGGTTACTCTACTCTAACACGGCAGTTTAACCTATAGGAAAATAGATATACCGACAACAAAGCTCAAAGATCGTAAAAAGTTGCAGAAAAACAAGCTTTCGACTGTATATGATGCTTCCATGGCTTGGGTACTTGGTTATAGCGACATACCAGGACACTCAAAGACTGACGAGCTGCCTAGAAAAGGAACAGTCCAAACAGCATGATGTGGGCATATATATCTCTTTCTCGGCAAAGTATCTGTTAAGACTAGCCCTCAGCAATGGATGGCAGAGTGAAATCAATTTGCAATGCCACCAGACTTATCAAAGAGAAGAGTCATTTCCCCTTCTTAAACAGTTTCTCCATAAGCATAACAACTGACTTAATTACCTGAGCCTGCCTTATGCGGCCTCATGGTAGACGGCTAGCCTGCTTCTCTAACGACTTCTGCCGCAGCTGCAGGAACATATGTAATAGATGAGAATCAGAATCAGTGGAACATTACCACTGCCACTGCACAGCTTTCAGCGAGACCACTTAGTATTTGCTCGGTAGCTAATACTTCGATTGCAGAGCTTGCAACTGCAGTACATCTAGAGAGCTGGTTGGAATTTCCTTCACAGGCCCAACATAGTTCTCACAACGGACCAGCGGGTCTCAGTGCGACCTCCTTAACTAGCTAACGAGCCACTGGAGCATTAAAAATAATTGGAAAATAGTCTTATGTGAGACCATTAAACAAACCTCATTGCAGCACTTAATTGGCAATCAAATAATCAAATTAACAAATTCACCAAAACACCGAATACAATTTGTCCAAGTATTAAGTTAACGCACAACCTCGAATACTCGGCAAAGCTGCAACCTTTGCACACTCGAAATGCCTTCCAATATTAATTATTTATATTACCAGCCATAATTGATTATTATTTGTAGCTACAAGCAAATTTATTTTGTCGGTAAACAATTTGTGTCGATAACTTGCGGCTTGGCATGGCGACTTTGTTGTTTGTGGCTTGAGTGGAGGCAGTTTCCTGTGAGGCAGAGAGCTTCATAGTACAATTTTTAATTGCAAAAAATATAAACAAATAAATATGCGATCACTGTTAATGGCTCATAATTGTTTTGTGGTAAATAACGATGATTACATACAAAGTAATTTACAACAAATGCACGACTAAGTAACCACGTAGGTGTGCACTTCCTTTGGAATGAGCTCATCTGCGAATTCAAATGAGAAATGAAGAGCGCATATGACATGCTCTAGCAACTATTTTTAAATTAGTGCGCTGTGAATGCGACTTCGTAAGCTGATGCTTGATGATGCATGAAAAAATCTTAAAACGACGCGATTCTAGCTCCAGTGTGACATTCCGCTGTAGTTGAGGGCAAATTTAGTTAGATTTTTTGAAGAAGAAATGGGTGTTCATTGATTTCAATTGTAGGTGTGGTTCGAAAAGTTAATTTTGTTGTTGTTGTTGTTGTTGTTTTTGTTGCTGAGTAATGTTTCTAGACTGGCAATACTTGGCAGGATGAAAAATCCGGGTGGTTCCGATTAAAAGACCCGAGAGTCTCGCGGGAAATTTTGAGTTTTAGTCGGCTCTGGAAACTTCTTGAACACCTACTCGGCAGCCGCTTGGAAAAATAAATGTTTTTTTTTGGATGTACAAACTAATTCGGCCCATTTATTTGTGTTCAAAAAAAATTTTATTTTTTTTTTAATAAAAAAAGTGTTGATCGGAAGCGACTACGTTTTCCAGCGCTCTAGCAATTGTCGAATACCAACGCTAAAAATTATTTCCCTCTGCGATGCAATCATTGAGCCATTCTCCGATTTTATAAAAAAAAACCGCCCCAAACTATTTTGTAGACGTCGAAAAAGCCAGCAGTTGGAAGGAATACGGTGTGGAGAATACAGCGAGTATGATAAGACCTTCCGTTACAGCGTTCCCTGGTAATTTATGATCGTTACAGCCGCTTGTAGCTGAGCTTTGTCATGTTGCAAAATCCACTTGGCTTTGTCTTTCCTTCGTTTCTGGCCGTTTTTCAAGCAATGCACTACTCAAACGCATTGGTTCTAGCCGATAACGTTTCGCATCAACGGTTTCGCTTAATTTAGCAGTTTACACTACATCTTACCCGCCTGATCCTTCCATAAGCATGACCTTGGAACAGTGAATCACCACTTTTGAAGCGTCGAAATGCAGAGGGTGGGCATTACTTATCGGACAGCGCAGAATTCGATGGAAGGCTTCAGCTCGAACTTTGTTTATTAAACAGAAATCCGAATATTTTCGAAGAGCCTAGATAATCGCTTCCAAGATCGGTCACAACTAGCCTGTGGAGTTATCTTTCAAGAACTAAACGTAGCAATTTCTAACGCCAATAATTTACATCGAATGTCGTAGATATGATGGAGTGATGAAAGGGTGACATCACTGTGCATAACCTCACTTTTTCAGCAAGAAAATTCTTTTAATTTCTATGTAATTCTTGTGTCTTTTTCATCACTAAGAAAGAGAGTAAATTTCGTTTGTTTCCATTTATGGTGCACAATTTATAAAAAAATTGATATTTTCGTTTTTTCGAAAACATTGATTTCTTAAAAAAATTGTGTTGAAACGCATTACCAAAGCAGAATTTCGTTAATATAACTACTCGGAAGTAGAATACTTCCTCTATATTTACATACAACTATGAAAATCGGCAACACTGCAAATTAGCATGCCAATGTTGTCAAATTTACAACAACCGCCCACAAAGTGACTACACCTTTTCGACATTCCTACTTGGTCCCTGCGACTAATGATCGTCTTAAATTGCGCGAGAAGCATTTATTTCACGATTTAATATAAACATCTATTTATTTATTTATGTGACTACGTGTATGTGGCATTCTCTATGGCATTTTAAACATATTGACATCAACATTTTATGCCGTCATCCGTATTGGCATTTATGAGGCCCGACTTGATGTCATTTTGAAATCTACATATTGACATGGATACGTACATATTGTACATATGTGTAAGTAAATAACAGCTCAGAGCGTTTGAACTGGTATTGAGCTGCTGAAAGTGGGGGTTGGCAATGAAAAAATGCTGGAGACACACCTTAAAATAAAAAATAAGTTAAAAAAAAAATAAAAAAAAATATGTGCACATCCATGAAGATACACGCAAATTGATGTACATACATGCATACATACATATGTAGCTATGCAAATTGTTATTAACAACAAATATACATACATATGAAATAACAAATGTTTACACACACACACACACATTTACACCTAAGAATTCCAGCTTATCATGTCTTGTGTTTGCAAAAGCGAAAAAAAGCGCTGAAATGACAAAGTAGTTAGCGTATATTTTTTCAACTTTGTTTCCAGTTTAAATATTTCACATTTTATTATTGTTTTTGCTTTAAAATTTTTTCATTTACATACATATGTATGTGCATATGTATGGATAATTTTTTCCATTCTGACTCTTTTGTACTTTTTTTTTTTTACTTTTTAGCGCATTTTTACTTGCTTTATGTTGTTGTTGTTGTTGTTGTCGTCGTCAACTTTTCAAGTGGTTCATCTTGAAACATAAATGAACCTGTCAGACACTATTTTATGCATCAGAAAAAAACAAACGAGCTTGCACAGTGATGATAATATCATAATACACACATACAAACATACACACGCGTATATACATATCTACCTTGTTTTTTTTTTTGTTTTTGCTCTAAGCTCTGACTTTCGGTCTACGCGGCAACACAGGTTTTGCGTTTTCTTTTGCATTAATTATAATTATTGACATTTTATTAAGCAAGTTGTTGTTGTTGCTGCTCATATGAACTGCAAATGTTGCAGGTTTTTAGAATAATTTACAAGTAGTACGAGCGTAAATACGAGTAGTTGGTGGATTTTGTGGAATGAAATTCACAAAAAAAATTTAAAATTTAGTTAAATTTTGTTTATTTTTAGTGGTTGATTGGTTGGTGGAAAGGGAAGGTTGAGGACCTCATCGCAAGCGGCCGCACCTCAGCCTTGGAGTAAGCTCATTGTGCGCACCCACTTATCCCAGCCAAGCTTTTGCGAAGAGATCTCTAGATTCAATAGTTTTATTTTTCATTTCTTCCAACCATGTGTGCCTACCTCGGGGCTCACTTCCGTTCGGTTTC